GGCTGCATCTCCTTATCGAGAATACGTTGCCGGCCCTCGTCCACAACACAATGCTTCGGCTCGACCCTCATCTCGCCACGGTAGATCTCGATCGCCGAGACCAGGGGCAGGATGACCAGCATCAGGGACAGGAGCTGGCCGAAGCTCCAGTCCTTCTCGCCCTCGTCGCTCAGCTTGACCGAGGGCTGGCCAAAGGCCTGGGAGAGGGTGCCGATCCTTATGGCGGCGCCGACGGCGATGGCGGCCATGAGGAACATGCCCACCCCCTGGATGATCATGTGCCACCTCTTCTGGTAGTTGCTGTGGAGGAACCAGGTGGCGAGGCCGAAGACGACGCAGTTGCCGGCGATGACGACGATGGTCCCGGCGTACGAGAGGCCGGCGGACGGTCCGGGCCCGGCGCCGTCGACCTCCCAGACGCAGGCGATGGGGAGGGTGCCCTCGCCGAGGCCCTTGGAGACGGACTGGAGGACGAAGACGCCGCAGACGGAGGACAGGGCGAGGTTGACGAACATGAGGAACTGGCGCAGCCAGCGGACGACCCAGTCGCGGCGGTAGTCGTTGACGAGGGCCAGGAGGGTCGCGTTGTGGGTCGCCATGGAGAGCAAGGAGAGCATCCAGATGAGGAAGAAGTGGTAGGGGACGAGCGTGTTCATCTTGGCCAGCCCGACACCTAAGGGGATTAGTCAGTCTCGATTGTCCCTGCATGTGAGCTCGAACATGCGAAGAGAAAACTCACTTTGGATGCCGATTCCCTGCATGATTTGGGAGTCGCTGTAGCCATCGAGCATCTTCCTCCGGATGGAGGCGGAGTTGCCGCGGAACTCGGTGACGATGATGCTGACGGAGAGGAGGATGGCCAGACCCGCGGTGATCATGAAGGAGAGGAGGATCTATGCGACGGGTTCATGTTAGAGAGGTTGTCTTTTTTATTATTTAGATGCAATGCAGGTGGTTTGCGCTGGAGGGTGGCCGGGCGAGGCACGCGGGCGACTTACACCAGTCCCAGCAACGCCGGCGTCGCTGGGGGTCGAATCCGGTGCATCGAAGCACTTGGCCGGCTGAAAGAGGGTGTTGTTACTCATGGCCGGCGATAGTCGAGCGGCGGGCAGCAGAAGAGAGTCGCGTGCGTGGGCGCGCACATATGCAGGCGTAGAGGTGGAACAGTAAAGGGAGGAAGAATGAAAATCTAAGCCGTCCTCGCTCGGCGAAGAAGAAGATTCGATTGAGGACAAAGAGCGTGGGTTTCAACAAAGAGAGGGCTTCGTTTCAAATCAAGAAAAAGGTTCTGCCAGGATCCTGCCAACCGCTGCCTGTCTGTCAGGGTCGCATTACTCCGTCACTGCAGACATCAAGAGAAGGGCGGTTGCTGCTTCGTATATGGGCTTGGGCGCTGGATTGGTTCGCTGGCAGTGAGCGAGCACAGCCTGGAAGAGCTGCATGAGATGGTGGTGGGGCTCTTACATCATGGCCGGACCGAAGAGGGTCGGGCGCTTGGCCCATGTGCAGGGCCAGAGTCTGTCATGAGAGCGCTCCATCATGCTGTATCAGAGCTGTTTGCAACCCAGGCCTGGCCGTTTCGGGGCCAGCGGACGGCTTCTGCTGTCTCCTGCGTTCGGATGGCCGCAGTCATATGCCCGCTTCCTGCACTCGCTGCGGGCTGCTGCAGCTCAGACCCAATATTGCCTGCCTTGCGTTCCGTACAGTGCAGCTCACCCACGGCTCACGCCCAGCCTCCTTGTCCACGGCCTATTATTATGGGCGGCATCGCCTGCATGACAAGATCACATCGTGGGGCTGTCTAGTCCCACGGCTAGTCCAGGGGCCTAATTAATGAACGAGAAAGGACCACTCTCACAAGCGCCATCCAGCCCTGCTTGTGTCCCCGTTGGTCTTCATTCACTCTACGTACCTTATTGCGAGGGATCGGCGCCAAATGAAACCCTGCTGGGTTGCTGCGGTGGTCAAATGCGACCCTTTCTTGTCTGCTTGCCTTCCAATGTCTTGACTGCCGGAGCGTGAGTGGTGTGCGTGTGCCGACTGTGACTGGCGAGCAGCCTGAGGGGGCAATTGGCGACCAGTCACTCTATTTGTCTCACTTTCCTGCAGCTCGCCATCTTCGTTCCAAATAAACCCCGATGCGCATCGATTCGGTGTGTGTGTCGGTGGGTGTGTTGGGTCCCTTGGTCCCCTCTCCTCCCTCCCTGCATGCCCTTTTCCCCAGACAGAAGAAGTCTTGCGGGTGGGTGCCCAAGCAGACGACACCCACACTGCTGCGACTCCAAAGTCTAGACATGCATCCCCATACAGGGTCAGATCGGCTTGAAGCCACTCACCACTCTGGGAGCTGCAGCAGATAAAGCAGCAAGGATGGCCGAGAGCCTATCCCTTGGTCGTTGGTCCGCTCGTTATCTCTATCGCCGATGCCAGTCCTTGTGTCGAGATATCGGCTTATCTCCCGCCCACGGAGATGTCACAGCTGCCAGATTTTGCCCATTTGTAACACCATTTACGCCTCCTTGGCTGGCCGTCTTGCGTGATGAGGCAGGCGCGGCCGGCGCTGGTTTCGTGCTCGGCAGGAGCTGGGGGGCACCTCTTCCCAAGCGGTAAGGCCGCAGGTACCTGATGTAGTCGCTCCTTCCCATCCACATAGTTCTCTCACGCAATGTGATCGCTCCCGTCTGCAGATGTGCATTTTTGTCGGATTTGCTTTTTGTCTGCCTCACTTGCTCCCAGCTCGTGTGCAGATACGAAGCCACACACCTGTCCCCACGTGTCCCAGCGGTCCATCTTCCATTTGCTGCTTGCCACTTGCCTCCCTCAGCCGTAGCTCAATTCTCACCCAAGATCTCAGCTGTTCTATGTCGTTCAGCCCCCGATTCCCATTTTGACGAGACGGGTCTGGTGTGAGCACGGTCAATATTGGGCATCAAAACAGGCCCCTGCTTTGACCATCTTTCTATCCACGAAATGGCCGATGCGTTCAGTCATTGCCTCGCCTCCTTGATCCGCCTACCATCTGGCTTTGGGATAAGCATTGTCTCTTGTGCAGAACTCCATCTTACCTAAAATTGACACAAATGAATTCTGATAGATCCCCCACCGCGCCCACCCCCTCCCAAAAGATCAACAGGCTCATATCGCTGTGCTGGGCGTAAACGGTAAGCATCTTCTATCTAATCGGGCGACCAGCAGTCGAGCTGAAGGTGATATCACCAAGCCTCTAGCCAATACAAGGGAGCTCTCAAGAGACAATAAACGTACCAACCCAGTTCCGACGCGACACCCGACCATTCAATGTACTTGGCGGCTTGCCACTCGCTTATTCGTTTTATTTTGTGGCCAACAGAGCATTGAGTGTGTGGCCTCAGGCCTAGCAAAGGCGATTCAGGCGACTAGCCGTTCAGCAATGTCCCGACAGTCTGGTCATCACAGTGATAGCCAAGCAATGGCCGCATCTCCATCTACCTCACATGATTTTATGAGGGTGGTCGGGGAGCTTGGGAACTTGCCGTAGGAGCAAGGTTATCCCCTTAGCGTCTAGGACAGGAGCTTCATCTCTCGTCTTTGACCCGTCTCCTCATGGTGGATTCGCGTCTTCCATCTGCCTGATATGCTTCTCTTCCCCACGATCGTGCATCCCATCTGCGTGCACGGCCTCCAACTCACCCATTCAGATCTTTGTTTCCTCTTCTCTCGCAGAGAGGGGGCAGAAGGTTCTTTTTCCGCTGTCTTTTTGTATTGTCATATTTTCTTCTTCCCTCTTCCACCGTCTATCGTATTTTTTTGTGACAATCACTCTAGCTCTTGCATATACATGCATGGCGTGGGTCTAGATCACACATGAGTTTACATGAGTGATGATGAAATAAGGTAACATACGGAGGATGCCAGAGAACGGTACCTCCTCGCCCAACGCATTGCGAGCCCCCATCTCCGACTTCAGGGAACCCACGTCGACGGCGTGCCGTGCCACATAGGTGGTCACTAACCAGGACGCCTTCCACGGTACTATCCGGCGTCGTACAGTACCTAACTCACGGGTAATAAGTTACAGCAGGGCGTGGGGTGGATCTCGACCGATTAATATTGCCCTAAGCTACTCCATACATGGATGAGGGGGGGGAGCTGCGGGTGTCTGCGCATGATCCTAGGCGGCAATCTGGTGGGGAGGGAGGGTGTGGATTGTAGAGAGGGAGTGGGAAGATGGAAGTACCTGCTCTTTCGAGCTCTCCTCCAACTCTAGAATCCTCCCCAATATGCATACATGCAACCCTGAGCAGACATATCCCGTGCTCTGAATGGTTCTGCACTGATCGACTGCAGGATAGGGTAGGATGGCATCGCAAGTGATGGCACCTGATATGTGCCCTCACCCTCTCGGGGAGCAACTCACCCAGCCTTTTTACTGGTCCAGCTATCTCTCACCACTGCATTGCAGTAAACTCTCTTCCACAAATGAAAGAGAGAAAACGACCCGGGCCGGCGGCTGTCTTGTCTCAGCCGTTCGATGAGACAATTTTCTACCTAGCCCACAGGGAGGATACGTATTTCCCACCCATGGCTGGGCTCTGTATGTTCTCAGCAGCAATGCAAGGCAGGCGAGTAGCGTGATTCACTTCCAGCCGACACTTTGCTTTTGTCACCTTGCTCCCCATCGACCCTATTGTCTTGTGAGATTTCCCTTTTCGTAATTCGCAGCAGCGCTGCTCTCCTCCGGACGCTGACCTGTATAAATATCAGCGTTTACCGGCCCCAGGACCTCGCAACTCGCGGACATTCCAGCCTCGTGCACAGCTATACAAGGTGCTTGTCGTCTCTGACTATACTGACTCACCCCTCCCCACTCGTCAAGGGTAACAAGTCAAGACAAATAAACAACAACAAGCCACCTGCTGCCACTTGATCGTCCTTCTCTACTTGTTGCCGCCCAGGGAGATAAATACACCAGCCGTCGGTTTTTCAGCGTCAGACCTCCATCCCAAGGCTATTCGCCCCCCATGGCCACCATATCAGGTTTCGTGCCGCACAATCGCCCTGTGAAGCCACGCAAATCCAAGCTTCTAAAGAAGGCTGTGTCTGCCGCCGCCGATGGCGAGACCGCCGCGGCAGTGGAACCCAAGAACGAGGTGTCAGCGCCTGGGCGGCCTTGCCCTCTGGCTCGACTACCGGGAGAGATCCGAAGAATGATATTCTCGTCTCTGGACTATCATTCACTCATCCGCTTATCAACAACCAGCCGGTTCTTCCATCGGACAGTCGTCCCCCGAACCCTCGCCGACCCATTAGAGATGCTGCAGTTCGTCCTGAGAGCAGCTAATTTCCCACAACACTGGCCCAAGGAGAAAGGCTCCAACCCCCACCCCGGAAACTTCGAGTGCTATATCTGCTTCCGGATCCGATCACCAGACCTCTTCGACGCGAACCAGCTCCAGCAAGCAATCATTGACGACCAAGGATATGTGATTAGAGGAAATGTATCACCGGATACCAAGGTCGTGGGGGTGTCCCTCCGTCGGTTCTGTATCGAGTGCGGTCTGCTCGCCGGGCTCCACGCCCCCTCAGACTCCTTGACTACCAAGACTGGGGTCGAATTTTGGGTCTGTAAGTGTCGGAAGCTGTGGCCAAGGCCTGCTGTTCTGATGTGTCCCGTGTGCTGCGACACATGCCCTTTCCGCCTTCGCAAACATGGCATTCTCGCACCCAAGGTGCCCGAGGCGGCGGCACTCGCTTAGGGGGAGCAGTGTTTCATGTACTTCATTCATATCACCGACTAATATGCGGTCGGTACTGTCATGATTGGGTAGGCGGTTTCTTTGTTTCTGTTCTGGGATGGGATCCTGATAATTATTTCAGTTTTAGCGATGGTGAATGGCACGCAATTCGGGACCAGTACTGTTTTGAAAATATTGTTATTTTTTCTTATTCCGCCACGTCTTTCCTTCTCGTGAGTTGTTCGTACGCAGGAGCATCAGCTTTCGATACTCCCGTCGCCCCTGCCAGTTGCTTTGGTAACTCCAAATGTGCACAATAGTTGAGCAACGCCAGTCAATCAGTAGCTCCTCGGAATTTTTGTCTCGTATTAAACACACCTGCTCTTTGTTTCCACCTTTCGCCGGGATAGATGCAGAACAAACAAACAAAGCGCCGGAGAGCCCACCCCAGTCCCTCACACAAGCAGGAACCTTGCATGTGAATGCATCTACCCGCGCACACTCCCGAAACTCATTCGCACCCATATTTTAGTGATTCGTATGTTTTTTTTTCCTCTTCTTTCTCAGCTATATAACCCCGGGGTTCCCTGGGAGGTTTGCGGTTGAGTAAAATACTTCAATATCCTAAAAACATAACCTCCCGAGGACCCAAACCGTCCCAGGGCTCTTCTTTCTCATGATCGATGAGGCAAAGTTAGAGACATTCAATATTTGATTAATTCAGTATCATTATCCCGAGCGAACGAACCAACATGCCAGATAACGCCTATGAGGATCTGGCCTTGGGTCTCATGTCGGATGAAAGCTGGCCTCCGCTATCTCTGCTCGATGAGGAGCTGGCGGATGGCTTCAGACTGTATTCATCAACTAGCAGCGATACTGTGTAAGCGAGACAAGATATTGGCACCGTTGATTTAGAAACAACTACGCTCTCTGAAATGTACAGAGTCTGACAGCTCATCTTTTCCCTCAGATCTACATCAGCTCCTTTTAGCGATGCCGCGAGCAGCGACCGGGAGTCCACCAACGAAGCAGACTATATCGACGATAGCAACAGTAATAAAGATGCAGGGCGCCTAGCGCACATCGATGACGGACCCTACTCAAGCCAGAAACTCCTCAGCTCCAGCGATATCGTCGAGACGTTGTCCAGCAGATTCCTCTTCGAGAACGACTGTTTCGAAATCCGGCCGTATTCCATGTCGGGTGTGGGCGGTTTCGCACGCCGAGATCTCGCGCCAGGTGAAGTTGTCCTGCTGGAACAGCCCATCCTTCGCTCCAACTACGATGACCTGTTCCGGGACTTTCAACGCCTTGACGGAAGTTCGAGAAACGTGTTCCTCCAGCTATATGCGAGTGACCACTTTGAGCCCAAGCGTGTGACCATCGAAGCCATATGGTCAACCAACTGGTCAGTCTTCTATTCCCGCCCTGCAACTCCAGCACTCAACCTTAACCAAGTTGTTCTTGCAGTTTTTCCATCGATCCAGATTGCCAAGGTCTCTTCGCCGTCGCCTCCAGGTTCAACCATGCCTGCGCGCCCTCCCACAACCTCGAGTACCGGTTCGACCCGACGACGGGCTGCATGATCTTCAACGTGGGCGCGGAACCCATCAAGGATGGTGACGAGCTCACCATATCGTACGGGTTCGGACTTCGGCCTATAGATTTGTACCGCTACTATGGGTTCCGCTGCCTGTGCGGTGCCTGCGCTGGTCTCACCGACGAGGAGATCTCCATGAATAGCATTTGGTGAGAGGGAGGGGGGGAATAGCTATCTTTCTGCAAGCGAGATTCTCTATATTTACGTGGGACTTATTCTTATTCGTCGAGATATTGCAAGGGAAAGGTGTTTTATTATCGGCGGGAATATGATCTGTTTACAAGTGCTTGTTTGTACGGAACGGAGTCAAAAGGAGACGAACAGGTTGCCACACAAGTCGCAGGCCGTGGACAGCTTCGTCCCGGAATAATAATGTTGGTCAGCGGTCTCTCACCACAGCGGTTCTTTTGCTTTATAACTTTATACAACTTATCTTTTGCTGCTCTGGCTGAAGCGGAGATAGAAAAGATGCTCTTGTGGCATTTGAGTCTCATAATAAATTAAACCAAAACTCACATCTCTTATCTATACCTTTATGCCTCTCCCTCTTTCAATGCCTCGAGTAAAAGCCTTGCGGTGTCTCTATCCGTCTTGTCCTCCATGTCTCCCATCTCATCCCACAGGTTCTCCAGCCACTCCGCCGAGATGTCCGGCAGCGGCCCGTCGATGTAAAGACCCTCGTGGCTGCCGGAGCTCGGCGAGTTGTCCATGGGCAGGACCTCGTTCAGGTCCCTCCCCAGACCCCAGATCCCTTCCGAGGGCGGCATGTCCGTGTTCACCACGGCGTCGGACCTGATCCTCGAGCTCACCTGGTCCCGTAGCGCCTCGTTGGCCGCGTCGTCGGAGTTGGTCATGTGCGAGTCGGTGGGCGAGCACATGGACTGCTGCGAATCCGTGTCCTGGGACAGCATCCGCTGCTGCTGCTGGAAGTGGACGTCGCCGCTCCCCATGTTCCCACCCGCAGCGGCAGCGGCGTGCACGTTCCCGTTGGCCCTGTTGGCCTCCACGAGCCCCTTGAGCGGGTTGAACCCGCCCGTGAACAGGCCCCTCAGGCTGACGGGGAAGTCCCCGTCCTCGGGCAGCCGGCCCTTGCTCAGGCTCAGGTCGAGGGCCAGCGCCAGCCGGAGGTACGAGCTGGGGTTCGACGCGAGTATGTCGGTCCAGTCCGTGATGCCCGTCTGCTGCTGCGACCCCGCGCCGTCCTCACCCGCCGACCCGTCGATCTGGGCCAGGTTGACAATGTGCCGGACGATCTCGCTCACCCAGTCGACGCCGTCGTACTGGGGCTGGTACGTCCTCATGGCCTCGATGAGGATGTTGAGGCGGTGCTGCTTCAGCGCGGCGGCGGCGTTGCGGTCCAGGTTGCCTCCCCCGGTCTCCTCCTGCTGCTGCTGGCGGCTGGACAGCTTGACGTCGAGGATGTTGAGCACGAGGGGCAGGGCGGTGCAGGCGACGGCGGAGATGGGCAGCCAGCGGGCGAGCTTGAGCTGGACGAGCTCCTTGAGGCACTCGGTGACGCCCGAGGCGGCGTCCTGCAGCTCGTGGCGGTTCTCGTAGATGATGGACAGGTCGCGGGTGATGTTGTTGTTGCTGCCCTCCTTGCGCGGCATGGCCTGGATGATGGCCAGGTGGAGGACCTCGTGGTGGCAGAGGACGACGCGGGTCGAGTGGTAGTACATGTACATGAGGTTGGTGTACAGGATGACGGAGCCGTGGCGGCGCGACGACGACGACGACGACGGCATGGATGAGTCGACCTGCTGCTGCTGCCGCTGCTGCTGAGTCTGTCCGCCGCGGCCGGACATGGGGAAGCGCAGCGTCGCGTCCTTGTACCAGCGGCGGAGGGCCATCTTGCACTCGCGGATGCGGTCGACGTCCTCGGGGGCCATGTCCCTGCCCCAGCCGGGGGTGTCGTCGAGCGGGAAGACGAGCACGATGATGTCGGTGAGGACGACGTACAGCTCGACGAGCTGGACGAGGATCTCGGCCAGCCACCGCTTCGTGTCCGGGCCGTAGACCTGGGACCGGCCGAACTCGCCCGTCAGGTCGGGGAACCCCAGCACGGGGCTCGCCTCGAAGTCGAAGTGCTCGCGGGTGATCTGGATGGGGCGCCGCATCAGCAGGCCGAGCGTGCGGTCGCGGATGATGCAGCACCACCACACCCGCTTGAGGATGTTCTGCTTGCGGTGCTGCAGGGGGTGCGTCTCGGCCGAGAAGACGGGCATGGAGGCGTAGTGGTGCGCCTCGGCGCTCTTGGCGTGCTGAATCGCCAGGCTGAGCCACGACGTGTTGGGCTTCTTGGTCGACGGCGGCGCCCAGAGGGAGAGGAGGAGGGCCGCCTGCGCCGATGCCAGCGGCGAGGACTCGGCCTCGAGGTCGTACAGGAGCTTGCCGCGGCGGTAGAGGCCGGCCCGCGCCGCGCGGATGTTGGGGAACCCGAGCGCCTTCAGCGTCGTCTTGGAGACGAAGTTGCAGGAGGCGAACAGGATGGTCTGTAGGAGGAGCAGAGACAGGCGGTCGTCCGGGGATGTGCTCCTTGGGTTCTGGCTGTAGAGGTCCCAGAAGTCCCCCTCGTTGACCAGAGGGAGCATGGGATGGACGTGCAGGAAGTATTGCTGGAGGAACTCGTCGAGGAGTGGGCGGATCGGTACGCGCAGGCAGCCCTGGAGCTCCAGGAAGTTGACATCTTGCGGTGGGATGTTGGCAATGTTGCTGGCCGAGATGAAGGGATAGTACGAATAGACAATGTCCGAGTTCATCCCCTGGGAGTCGTCCCCGAAGCAATGGGATGTTGAGCTGAAGTTGGCGTTGGAGAGTATGCCGCCACCATTATTCCGAGCTTGGAGATCTACAGCATCAATGTCAGCCTCAAGGAGAAATAGACTAGATCCAAAAGCTTAGATATCCTTATCCTTTGCTAGCTCGCAGATCCAGGGACGGACTCACCTGGCATTTGACTTGTTTGAGCGGGTACTTTCAAGTTTGTGGCCGGCAGACTCAGGTTCTCGTTTGCGCCAGGATTTGAACACACATGATTGTGATTCCCAGAGTTCAATTCTACATTAGAGTGGTGCGGTACCGATTGTTGGTCGATCGCAGAAGCCATCGGGTAGTCAGTGGCCTCATCTTGTCTCGACTTGACGACATCTTCAGCGGAACGACTGTCGGCATTTACGGAAGGGGGGTAGGGAGGATACGAGGCCTCGACATCCTCACCCGACTCGCGTGGACGGCGACTGCGACAGAGTCATATTAGCGATCCGAGAAAGGGACAATTGACTCGACGATGGAAAGCAGCAGCAACAATGAACGGGCAGGCGGCGTACTATCTAGAGGCTCGTCCGGTAACAACACAGGTCTCACTATCCAGGTAACAGTTCATGCACGGGCGTCCTCGTTGCGACACATCGCAGCGGACTTTTCTGGCGCGGCAGGAGAGGCAGGCCTTGGAGGCCCTCTTCCTGGTCTTTGTCTGGGATCTCGGCTTGGGATTGTCTGTCGATGGGGCTGCCGCCGGAGCCGAGGGCGCGGCTGCGGCTGTGACGGTAGACACCGCCGTAGATGTCATTGCGGCTCAACGGTGAAGCCAAGGGCGCATGTGTTGGGGATGTTGTAGGGAGAAGCGCTGGAGAGGAGACGAGGCCAGCAATGGAGCACCGGAGAGGGGATGGGGGAGAAGGGAAAACAGGACGAAACGGTCCCCATAGACTGAAACTGCGGGGTATGGGGTTGAGTTCCCACGAACAGGTTGCTGGCATCCAGTTGCATCTGGGGACATGGTGTGCATGGTTCCTCCGAGCCGGAGCACCCCAGATACTTCCACCGGAGGGTCCACGTCCCACGGATTGATAATCCAGCCTCCTTTTCTTCCCATAGCTTAGTAGCTAGGAAGATCCCAGGGCAGGCGGATGTCATTACCCGGAACAGAGGTTAGAGCTGAGATACGCTTCTCCACACCACCTCACCGGGGCTTTCTGGAGTTGCGATTTCCGGAGTACCTTCACCTCTGCTCGATATTTCTGTCTGTGCACGCGGACGGGGACTGATAATGGCGATCCCATTGGAGACCAGTCCCCCGATTCATCGTCCCCGCTCTACAAACTGGTTCCATCCAGACTTTTCACAAATATGATATATCCCACCCAGGCTCGAGTTGGAGGCCAGGAAGATGATGATTGGCTAACGGCTGCTCCCCCGCATTCCCCATGGCTGAAGTGGGGCCGAGGCACATGCTATCAATGTGGGGTAGGTCCGGAAATAAGAATAAGGCGTAATGGGAGAACGATTAATGGCCAACATGAATAATGAATGATCTTTGACCCATGATAATATCATCTTTGCGAACCTGAACTAGAAAATTCACCAATTGGCATACATTTATGTGATAATCCTTAGAATATTCCTTCCTGGCGTCTATGCTGGGATACTTCTAGTACTCTGACTAGGAGAAGTCATTTATTTAGTCATGTGTGTCATACATGCATAGGGTAACCTGCAGCTAACCACCTCCTCTCGTGGTCAACTTGCCACTAGCCATCATATTATGCAGCGCTGAACTTTCTAATCGATATGCATAACCGTGGCTTCCTAACTTGGAAATCTCGACCCTCATTTCTACTCTCCTTGGATCACCCTCGCGTACAACACTGCCTCCCAATGGTCAACATGCGTAACTACCAAGTGTGTACTTATCACGAGAAGAACACTTATTCCCGATTCTCACCAAGACCAAAGGAGGCAAGGCATGCTCTTGATTTGTCGATACACCAGCGTACCCAGTCTCATCGTCCCGATTGACGCCTCATTGGCGAGCATGTAAAATCTACTGGTATGTTCGTTGACCAAGCCACTCGCCAAAGCAAGGAACACACGGGCACACAAGAACACAAGAAAACCTCCCAACTCTAGATTTCTCAAACCCTAGACTTCCCTCGCATTAGGACCTTTGTATACCCCAAGACGAGACTCTGCCGTCTCAACTTTTTTTACTCTATTCGTAACTAACGCCATGCTATGCAATTCAAAAATAACTATTACAATTTCATCTTCTTGTCACACCTCTAATCCCAAAGCCTGATCTCTCCATCCAGCCCGGCCGTGATGACCTTGCTCGTCTCCTGAGGATGCCACTGGACGCATGTGGCGGCCTGCGCACCCGCCTTGAGCTTGTGGTACATCTTGCACGTCTTCCAGTCCCAGAAGCACACGTACCCGGCCGAGTCGCCCGAGGCGAGGAACTGGCCGTCGGGGCTGCACTCCAGGTCGATCGCCATGCCCGCGTTGTTGTGCCCCCTGTAGCTCTTCTTCCTGTTCTGGCGGAACTTCTCGTTCGCGCCGTAGACGAGGATCTGGTTGTCGGAGCTCTGGTAGGCGACGTACTTGCCACTCGGGTGGGAGGCGGCCCGAGTCATGGGGTACATGTCGGGCTCGGCAATGTACTTGATGGGCACGGGGATGTTGTAGTCCCAGGCGCGAAGCGACTTGTCGTCCGAGGTCGTCATGAATCGCCGGTTGTTGTCCACAAACACAATGGTGTTGATGGCCGCCAAGTGGTGATCGTACTCCTGGATTGTCTCGCTGGGCTTCCTGATGTCGAATTGCACAATCTTCTTGTCAGACATACCTGCAAGGAACTCATTCGAGTGCTCAGGGTCTGGATTGAACTTGATAACGTGTGGCGTCTTCCCGGTGGTGAATCTGTTGAGGCACTTGCCAGTCTCCGTGTCCCAGAGTTTCATCATGCGGTCATAAGATGCAGTAAGGAACTGAGTGCCATCGGTGTTGAAGCAAATATCCGACACAGCCTTGGAATGGCCAGAGTACGTCCGGAGAAGCTCCCTCTCGTGATAAAAGTCCCAGATCTTGACAGTAGCATCGGCGCCAGCCGACAGGAATAAGTGGCCCGAGTTGGGGAAGAAGCGCAGGGCCGTGACAGCCTTGGCGGCCGACTTGGTGTGCTCTTTCCAGGAAAAGATTTGCTTCTGAGGGATGTAGTTCTTGATGCTGCCAACCTCCTTGCGCAGGTTGATCTCGAGGTCCTGCGGAACATGCATGTAGGTCCTGCCCTGGTAGTCGTGCTCCTCGGCGCCGTGGAAGGTCGACGTCTCGTCGCCAAGCGCTTCTTCTGCTTCCCGGCGCGCAAGAGCATCGCTAGGCGCCTGGACTACCGTGCCGCTCTCTATAACATCATCGTCCTCCTCTTCCTCAACAATTTCGTACTCCTCATCGCTCGCGAGCTCGTGGTCCTCGTCGACAATCTCGTATTCCTTTTGCTTGTATTTCGCCCAGGGCCCCACGTAGGCGCCAGCTCCTTCGGTAATCATGGCACTCCCTTTCCCTTCTCTGGTCGCTCGAATCTTCGCAGCTTCGGCCTTGAGCTCCCGGTTGGTCTGATGCTCTCGCTCGGGCCCGCCCCTGCCTTCCACCGCCCGGTGCTTGGCGCGGAATGTGTGCTCGCTGATGAAGGTTTCCTCAGCATGTCCCGTGAGGACGTTTTTGCGCTTCAGTGCCGTCGTTTGATCCCGGAAAGGGTTCAGAGGCCCGGTCGCGGGCCTCGAAAGATCCTCTGCTGTGTACGGCACAACAGCGTGGTCGGCCTCGGCCTGCTGGCGCACCACCAGCGCGTCTTGCGGCGCCATATTGGGCGGGTATTCTCCGAAGTCTGCCATTGCGCTCGTCGTCGTCACCGCCGTCGTTGGATGTAGGTTGAGGATAATGGTCGGGAGATGCAATGCAAGCGACGCGATGCAGCGCCTGAGCGCGCCTACTAGAAAGTGGCATGCGTCACGTGACCATTTCCAAGATTTTTTGCGATGTCATCTTTGGATATCACAAGCTTGCGGGTGAAAGCAAGGCGAGTGCGAGATAAGGACATGCGTTTTTTTTCTCCTATGGTTTTCTCTTCTACTATTATTATTTATTTATTATCATTGTGGCTGCTTCTTGCTTCACTTCTACTTAGTAGTTTGAGGGAGCAGAACTTGGAAAAATCCAAATATATGGAGGTTTATGTATTTTTTATGTATTATTAGTCCATGGTGACAGTCTCTCTACCCAGTCCCAGCGGTTACATAGTTCTGCAAGTGAGAATTCACGGTCCACCACTGAGCCGAAAAAGAAGCTGTGCCGGAGATGAATGCGCCCCAAGAGATCCTGTGTCCCAAAGAAGATAACCCGACCCCTACTCTGTGCTAATTTGCTACACCCCATTTCGCCGTGACGTTGCTCATCATGCTCTTTAAACAGAATATACCCGAACATCCATCATGTGCTTTGTGCTCCCTCGTTCCTCTGCGCGCCATTACTGGATCCCGCCCCCCGACCCCAGCGAGGATTTCTCGGGGAGGGATTTCACCTAGCATACATTGTTGCAAATACCCAAACCGAACACCGTCTAAATCGTGAGTGTGTTAGAGCGTCGGTTGTGGCGAACCGGAGCCGTTTAGGAGGACTCGTCACGGATAAGAGCGACAATCATGCTGTAGAGGTAGAAGAAGAACATGACGAGGTGGAAACCGAGCTTGAAGAAAGATTCCTGGGAATTACGTTAGCCTCCGCACATCTACGGAACAGGGCGAGGACAGGTATCTCACCTTCTTGTGGACGTTTAGCTTTCGGAAGATCTCGGTTGCGTCAAGGAAATGGGTGTTGTTGATGATCCTGTTGGAGCTTTGGTTAGCAAGACGAACAAGACTTGGGGGTGGCAGACCGGGCGGAAAGGCCGTACTTGTTCGCATTCCATCCGAGGAGAGGCAGATTCAGGATCAAAGGTACCCAGTAGCCATTGATAAGGAACAGGAAGGTGAGGAATCCATGGACGGCGGCTTCGGGAATGATGTACTTGTTGAGGTTCTTGCAAAGGTCGATGGGGTTGGTGTAGTCGCTAAGACGCCCAGTTAGTTGCGCATACAGACACGAGAGCACGGCAAGGCAGCCCGGGGCCAAGAAGCCGCGCGCTGCCGAGCCGCGGAGAGCTGGTGATGCGGTGCGTACCATTCCAGATCGCTGTACATGATGGTGAAGAAGACCTGCAGGAACAGGTTGACGGCGTTAACCAACACCGCCAGCAAAAACAGCCATGCTTCGCCAGACATCATTGGACCGGTGTTGTGGTGAGACGGGGGGGAGATTGATGCAAAGGTGAAGCTGTACGACGAGGATCCGGACGTGGCGCGCGAGGTCAGAGAGGCCGGATGATGATACGTAGCGATAAGCCGGATGTGGTTGTGCAGAGGCTCGACTTGAAAGGAGGCGTCACAGCAGCAGCGTTGTCGGTTGGGAGGAAATGTGGCTTGAAGGAGAGGCCAGCGACAGGGAGGTGAAGCGATCAACAGGCTCAGCTTGGTCGAGGGTTCTTGACTTGTGACGAGGCTTGATACCGGAGGGGTGGCGGGGGAGAAGAAGGAGGAAGAGCTAGGAAGAATCAGCGAGAGAAGGCTTGATGCGGTGGTAGGCTAGGCTGGCAGCGGACTGGTGGTGGTGCTGGTGGTGCTGTCGGTTACAGGTAGCAGCAGGCCGTGTGGAGTCGGACAGGACAGACGGGACATAAGCAGTACGTGTTGGAGAGGCCCAGGTACAAGGTCGCTGCGGCCGGCTCGCCGCTGGGGCGCTAGAGTTGGCCACAGTGGTTCATTGCTCGGCCGGTGGTTGGTGCTTTTCGGTCACCACTGACCGGGGGCCTGTCAGACGTGTGCGCCCATGCACCACCGGTGTCCCGCTCCAAAGTACCGCCTGCAGCCACCCCAAGTACCTGTCGCCGTACCTACAGATGCCTTTCACAACCTTACCTGACCTAACCTTACCCGCTGTCGTCGTTTTCAACAGCGCCGCAGCAGCCAGCTTCCAGTGCGCCCGCCGATGGTTGGCCAGAAATTTCCCTCGATTGCCAAGGTCGTGCTTTGCCCAGCCAAGTCGGGACGAGATGATGACATCGCACGCTAGGCACATGCCCTACCAAGCTTCCCGCCACGCCAGGTCAGGTTGATCGCCACAGGCCGCACGTTGCTCTGCGCCGTCAGCCAGCACGGCCGCTCACAAACGGCTCTCCCCTCGCCCTCGTCAACGGCACTCGAGTGCCATCGCAAATGCACGCCGGGGGCCAGGGGCAAACATCACAGAAGCTGAACACGTAGTCTACACACACATACATATATACAGGGCAGGGTTAGCAGGTGTAACAACACATCAGGCCAGATTTCAGTAATCAAGCCCGGCGCCATTGCCGTCGATATGCAGCCCGCTCACAGGATCAGACAGAGTGCTGACAAGTTCATTTTTAGCCATGTGTGGTGTGACGCACTTTGTCTACATGTGCGAGTGGGGGTAGCCTATCTGTCACCACATTTCCGTCACCCAGTCCCGACTTGTGATTTCTATAGTCTTTTCTGCTGTTTTTCTTTGCTTGGCTTCTACAATGCTAGAATAGTGAGTGCGGGGCATGCTTATGCCTCGCTCTTCGTCTCCTCAGTCCCGGGCATTGGGATAGGACCACCAGGAGAGTCTGCATCTCTTGCCGTCAGGATCTCGACGCCGGTCTCTGTTACCAAAAGCGTATGCTCTGTGAATTTGTAGTCAGCATGCGTAGTCCATGTGTACCTGAATGTGAGAGCATCGCGAGGGCAACGTGGTGCGTGCGGGGGGAGGGGCCGTGTGGTCTTTACCGAATTGCGCGGTGCGCTTTCCATCAATCGTCGTGCTGGTCCAGTTATCTGGCCAAGTGATGTCCCGGTACTTGCCGAGCGCGATCATGGGTTCGATGGTGAATGTCATTCCGGGTTTGCACTCGCCGACCGTCTTGTTCTTGGCGTAGTGAGGCACGTTTGGAGGGCAGTGGAACAGAGTGTTTACGCCGTGGCCGCAGTACGTTCGGATGACGCTGCAGTTCTTGGTCTTGGCGTGCTTCTCGATGATGTTGCCAAACTCCCGGATCAGGGTTCCTGGCTTGACGGCCTTGATGGCCTCGTCGAGACACTCGCGGGCCGCCTCGACGACACGCACGTTGTCGGGATCCGCCTTCGACTTGTCACCGATGTAGTAGGTCTCGTTCAGGTCGGCATGGTAGCCCTCGTGGAAGAGAGAGACGTCAATATTCAGGATGTCGCCGTCAACCAAGGGGCGCTGATCGGGGATGCCGTGGCAGATGACTTCGTTTACTGAGGTACAGCATGACTTGGGGAAGTGGTTGTAATTCAGCGGCGAAGGGTAGGACTTGATCAAGGGCCGTGGTTAGCAGGCTTGGCCAGTAGCAGGCATAAGCGGAGACAGAGGTCCCCCCGACTGGACGGGAGAGTTGGGACAAACACACATTTCTTTCGATGCAGGCCTCGTGTACGATCCTGTCGATCTCGTCGGTCGTTACACCAGGCTGGGCCGCAGCGGCTGCGAGATCGAGAACCTCACGGGCGAGCTTGCAGCTCTTGCGCATAGCAGCCTGACCCTTGGCATCTAGGATATCAATCTTGTTCCGGTTGATAATGGAGCGGCTGTACTTGGGATTGCCATCCTCCCACCACACGGGATGCGGGATGGACTTGGGGAGCGTTCGGTGGGGAGAGAGCGGGTAGGCTGCGCGGAGCGAACCGGAGTAGTGGAAGTTGGGGAACGGATCGTACGTCGCAGCGCCTAAGTAGGGGTGTAGTGTGTTAGATGACGGCACTTGAGCAAGGGGACGGGAGCTTTCTACCTAGAGTCTTGTGTAACACCTTGTGGTCACTCTGCGAAAAGCATGTTAGACTGGAGAGATCGGAATCGGAGCACCATACATCCACATGGGATGTGAATGGGCGATGTAGATGGTGTTGGCCAGGCTTGCTCATACCCAGTTCTTCTTGAAGCAGTCCTGAGTACAAAAGAAGCTATCCTTGATACCCAGCTTCAAGCAGGTCGGGCACTGCAGGGAGCCGGCGTCGTTGGGGCAGTCGACGCCTAGGCACTTCTTCTTGGTGGGAGGCTCAGAAGTCATGGCGACAGCGGATTGGAGAATGCGCAAGAGTAACAGCAGTGTCGGCAGGGAGGGAGGAAATCACCCGCGGGGAGATAGATGGTCGTCTGGGCGTGGGAGTTTGCAGGAGAGCTCCGCGAAGTGTGTTTCCCAAAATAAAAATAAATAATCAAAAATCGAAAACCAAGACGGAGAATTGCCCCTCCCTCCATCGCTGCCGTTGTCGTGGTGGGGCTAATTGATCTCGCATGGCGAGTAGGTAGCTCGAGAGCAAACATGTCAGATCTGATGGCGGTAGATTGTTGTGTCTCTGTTCCACGGCAACATGAATTTATATGTGTACAGCATCTACACACAGCTCTCACCATCTCTAGGGACTTGGCTGGTCTCAGATTCAAAAGGGTTTCGTTTTATGGATCGGTTCATGGCAACGACGACAGGGATATTTCCGATTTGATTATACAGCACTCTAGAGTTTAGCGGTGGTTGAGGCTTGGGAGCACTAACAAGACCGGGTTAGCGGAGGTTCCCCCCACATGTGTCTCTGTTCTGTTAGAAGGCTTCTGAATTATTCATCCATCCAGCCTTTCGAGAATTTCCCTACAACGGGTGGCAACCAACTAATTCGCTGGTTGAGTCAGTCTAGGTCAAATGGAACGCAGAACCGGTTACGGAGGGCAAGTGATATGGCTGTTCCCCGTGTGACAGCCAAGGACATCCATGCCTTCCGTTCCTTTTGCTTTTGCCTGTCTGCTTAATTTCTAATCCCCTCAACCCCAGATCACTACTAGCAATAGACTATGCGCTACAACCGTCCTCAACTAGCCCGTTTCTTTTCTTTTCGCTCTCGCTGAATCCATCCGTCCTCTTCTCTCAAATCGTACCACCGGGACCAGAGGAGCCCTGCCCAACCTCCATGGCTGCCTCAGCGCAGAAAATCGCCATTGTTGGCGCCGGACCGGTCGGGTCTCTGGCTGCTCTTTATGCCGCAGAGAGAGGCTACCAGGTTGAGTTGTACGAGTTACGGCCAGGTACGTTGTTTGTCTTTCTGAGTGCGCACATCGCAGGTGGACCGGGGCTTGGTGTTGCAAAATTGTCGCGTGCTCCGTCTCCGTTTCCAGCCCGCTTCGTGATTGCAAAATCTCGTCATTGAAGCCTGCTGTTTTGCTTGGTACCTTTCATCTCATTTTCCTTTTGTTGCGCGCACATTAGACTGTGGCGCGCCGTTGTGTAAACTCAACGGGGGTATTTAGCCTTGTCTCTGATCACGGTTAACCTTCTCGCGAATAGATCTGCGCAATCCTGGCACCATCCCACTCAACTTCACAAGGTCCATCAACCTTGCTGTCTCAGAACGCGGCATCAATGCTTTGCGTAATGTTGGCCATGCTTCCATACTCCAGCATGTGATGAGCCACACCGTCGCAATGAGGGGGCGCATGATTCATGGGAGGCTCCCTAATGGTGAGCTATATGAACAGTCTCAGGATTACGACATTCAAGGAAGAGTACGTATTCGCAATTCTATTCATATATTCAATCATCATTTGTCCCATTGAAGCAATTACTCACGCGAATCACCAGTCTATCTATGCCATAGACAGGTCAGACCTCAACAAGCGTCTCCTGGACACTCTGGACAGTCTACCAAACGTCAAGTTACTCTTCAACCACAAACTGACTGGTGCTGATTTCCGCAACCGGAAGGCTTGGTTCGAAGTCCGCGATCAAAAGAACCCGGCCAATGGACGCCCCAGGGAAATTGAAGTCGACTTTGACCTCATGATCGGGGCCGATGGCGCCCACTCTGCGGTCCGCTACCACTTGATGAAGTTTACGCGCATGGACTACCAGCAAGAGTATATTGATACTCTATGGTGCGAATTCAACCTGGCGCCGCGTCAGGTTGCCACAGCCTCCCAGAACCCATCAGACAAGTTCCTGATATCTCCAAACCATCTGCACATTTGGCCCGGCAAGGAATTCATGTTCATTGCTATTCCGAGCGAAGTGAGTAAAAAAAGATCTCTTTTCGAAATAGTTTTCTAACGTGGTATTCTAGGATGGCTCATTCACATGCACGCTCTTCATGCCTAGTAAGGAGTTTGCCTACCTAGAAAGCGACCCATCCTCGCTACCAGCTTTCTTTGACCAGCACTTCCCGGGAGTTACGTCCTTGATAACAGGCAAAGAACTCGTGGAATCATTCACAACCAACCCACACCTGCCGCTGATCAGCGTCAAATGCCGGCCCTACCACTACGGCGCATCCGGTGTCGTCATCGGCGACGCAGCACACGCCATGGTACCCTTCTATGGCCAGGGCATGAACGCAGGCATGGAGGACGTCCGGATCCTATTCTCAATTCTGGACAAGCACGCTAGTCTCAACGAGAGGAACAGCCCCGTCGGAGACGACGAAAACCCTGCTGTTGGTGCCAGGCTGCAGGCACTGGCCGAGTACTCCTCCGTGCGAGCCGCCGACGCCTACGCCATCAACGACCTCGCCCTGCAGAACTACGTTGAGATGCGGGCGTCGGTTCTGTCCTATCGCTACCGCCTCCGAAAGTTCCTCGAGGAGTTTGTGAGCGTCTATTTCCCAAGCATGGGTTGGCAGACCAAGTATGCCAGGGTTAGCTTCAGCAACGAGGGCTACAGCGAGATCGTGCACAGGAGCGACCACCAGGGCCGAATCCTCGTGCGATGCTTCCTATCACTTGTTGCCAGTCCCTTCATTGGTACAATTGCGTACTGGGGTTATAGACACCGGAAATGCTTCCGGGGCATCTTTAAGGCTCTGTTCCAGCGCCGTTAAGGGAATTGATATTATTCTGGGCTATTGGTTATTGTGACGTAGGCGGAATTTGACATATAGACTAGCACGCTACTCCCTTTTAAAATTGTCACTAAATTTGTATCAGCCATATATTTATTTCCGTTCAATTCACTCGTGATGGTATCAGAGAACCTCAAGTTCAAGAGAGAAGAAGGTGGGGCAGTGGATGCCCCCCAATTGGCTGGGCACTTATCCAACATCGGCTTAGTCATCTCTCGTTTTTGATGCTGCTTCCGACTCTAACATCGAAATTTTGGCTGCGATTCGCGATCGACGACGAAGAGGTAGTGTGAACAGACATCCTCAACCCCATCCGCGCCACTCCCAGTCCTGATACCCTTTCGTGGCGGGAGGATATAACTCTAATTATACGGAGACATCTGTATTGGCAAAGGTGCGTCCTTCTAGCGCTTGAAGGCACAAGACTTCTCTAATGCTAATGCTTCGCAGGCAACCCAACGAAACACATTCGAGCTCGCCAGCTCACCAGATCCCGAGCTTGGCCATCGTACCCGGGCCGTCAATTCACCCAACACGAAACCGAATTGACCTTCCGGGCCCCCAACCGAGGCCTCAGACCACCCACAATGCCCTCCATCCTAAACGTGGCCAACATGGCCTCCCACCTCCGCAACGTCTCCAAAGCCCGCCTGGGCATCACGTCCGTCAAGAACACAAAGTACAACATGCGCCTCGCCCTCGCCCTCCACCGCTCGGGCTTCATCTCCAACGTCTACCGCGGCGGGCCCCAGCCCCCGACCCTCGAGGAGATGGTCTCAAACCCGCCCGAGGTCGTCACCAACCTCAACGCCGCCCGGATGCGGCTCTGGCTCGGCATGAAGTACTGGGACGGCAAGCCCGTCCTCTCCAGCGTCACCATGATCAGCACGCCGAAGCGCATCATGACCGTCGGCATCGACCAGCTCGCCAAGCTGACGAGGGGGTTCTCCGCCAAGCTGGACGGCGGTGTCGTGGAGGGCCTGAATCTGGGGGAGTGCATGTACGTGGGCACCGATAAGGGTGTCCTGGAGGCCAGGGAGGCGCTGGCGCGGAAAGTGGGAGGGGTTCTGATATGCCGGGCGTCATGAGGTTTATTACACTGCGCGGGGATGATGTGGTGGTTTGAATGTATCATACGCTGTAAAGAATTAAAAAAGATTATGTACAATTATATACAGTAAGGAGACCCTCCAGGCCAATAGTTCCTAGCAATGATTTATTAAACACATTGTAATCAAGCCTCCAGCTTGTGAAAAGGCACGTCCATTCAGTTCTATGTACAGCGTGGGATATGACGAACAGCTGCACCGAGAACCAGGAGTAGAAAAGAAGAAATAATAGAAGTAGAAGAACAGGAACAAGAAGTGGAAGAGTAAGTAGAATAAATAAATACAGGTAGAAATCAATTTTGTGTTTTCAAATTCACAGAGTGCGCCATCGCTCTATAGGTATCTTAATCACAACGCCTTGCCTTACCTAGCCGTGCTGCACCTCCACCGTGGAAATGTATGCTCCGTCTCTTGATCAAACTTAGGCTCATGATGAAGCGACTGCAGACACTTCACTAGCCTCGGGCTTCTTGTCTTCCGTAAGGATAGTCTGCTCTTCTTCGACTGCAAGGGGAGCACTTATGCTATCCTTACTAGTGTTTGGCTGGGTGGCAGAGTCGGCCGTCTTCTCGTCAGCGGAGGGCAGCTGGGGTTCGGGCTTGACCTCAGCATCAGAGGTGATGGCAACCTCGGGCTTGGCTTCAGCTTCGGGCTGGATTTCGACCTCAGGTTCGGCCTTGGTCTCAACTTCTGGTTCAGTCTTGACCTCAACTTCAGGCTCGGTCTTGACTTCCACCTCAGGCACGGGCTCAGGCTTGGCTTCCACCTCCGGTACGGGCTCAGGCTTAATTTCAAGTTCAGGCTCGGACTTGATCTCGACTTCCGGTTCCGTCTTGATTTCTACCTCAAGTTCCGGCTTGACCTCTTCGACCTCAGGCTCAGGTTTCGTCTCCTCGATCTCGGGCTCCGGCTTGGCCTCCTCAGCTTCGGGCTCAGCCTTAATCTCAGGTTCGGGCTCAGACTTGATCTCGACCTTTGGCTCGATCTCGGGCTCAGGGTTCGCTTCCACCTTGGGTTCGGGCTGGACCTCGACTTCGGGTTCGGGCTTCACTTCAGCTTTAGGGGCGTTGATCTTTGGCTCCTTCACGGGGGCCACTTCGACGGCCTTGACGATTTGCTTTGCTGGAGCTGGAGCTGGAGCTGGAACGGCAGGCTCAGGCTCTTCAATCTCTAGTGCCGACTCATCCACAGCCAAAAGTGAGGATTCCTCCCCGTTGGATCCAACGCTGCGTGCCGTAGACGGCGATCCAGGCTGGGTGCTTGCCCTGACACTACTGCTTCGCCGGGAGCCGCTGGCGCCGTTGGACGGAACCCAATGGGTGGTTTTCTTGGGCGGTGTCAAGGGCACCTTCTCGGTCGTCTTGGAGGATGAGGCCTGAGTCGGTCTCATCATACGTGCCAGGAAGCTTTCATCGACATGGGACTCTCGCTTTGGGGCTGCTTCGGGTTCTGCCTTTTTGGGAGGAACGCCGAGGCTGGGTCGGCCTCGGGTGGTGGTGGAAGACTGTTTCGTTGGCTTGCTTGACGTTCCTGAGTTTGTAACACTCGTCCTGCTGGGAGCTCGGTTTGTGGTCGCAGGGGCTTGCAGCGAAGATTTGGATTGTCCCCGTACGGCGTTCCCCTTGGACACTGAGGAAGCTGTGGGTGCAGTCAAGGATGCTGGCAAATGGACGGGCTTGGTTGGTGACTTGGGCTTTGGCTTGACAAATCCCGTGTCGGACGCTTGTGTGGGTTTGAGGGGAGGGGGCCTCGTGGTTTTGGTGGCATTGGTGTTGCTGGTCGTGGTGGTTGCTGGTTTTCTTGCTGCGGCGCGTTCAGCCAGTCGGGATGTGGGTTTGGCATCTGAAGGTTTTGCTGTGGTTGAAGGAGTTGATTTTGTAGGCCCGGATTGGGCTTTGCTTGCCGATTTTGTAGGGGCCGCTGACTTGTTGGCCGCTGCAAGAGCCGTCGTTGAGGCAGCTTTCCTGACAACCGCGGGTTTCGCAACAGCCAGCCTGGTCTTGTCCTTCGGTTTCTCATTCTCCTTCGAAGTGTCCTTCTTCAAAGTAGGCTTGGCCTTCTCTTCAGGAGCAGAAATTTTGACTGGAGACTTCGACCTTGCACGTGCTGCTGCAACAGCATTTTCGGCGGGTGCTGGCTTCGTGATTGGTGCAGCCGCAGCAACAGGCTTTTCAATTGGCTTCACAGGCTCTGGCTTCACGGACTCTGACTTCACGGGCTCTGGCTTCTCGATAGGCTTGGTAGGTTCTTCTTCCACTGGCTTTTCGGGCTTGGGGTGTGACTTCTCTGCCACTGCAGCGAGCTTCTCTTGAAAGGCATCTCTGCCAATTGGAGCCGAAATATCTCGAGGCGACTCGGGGATAGGATCGTTTCCAAAGCGCTTGCGGGGAGTTTTGTATGTGTCATCGGCACCAACCACCGACGAATTTGAGGCAGTCTCCATGTCGGTACTGGGAGGGCGTCTCGAGGGACTAGGCTCGTAGCTTGGATCCCTCCGTAGCCCAATTACACCGTCCTTTTCGATAGCCACAAAGCTGGATCGTACCTTTGAGAGAGGTCGAGGAGAGTTTGAACCGCTGTTGCCTTTGGGAGGGGGAAGAGGTCGAGTTAGCTTGGACCGAACCGAGTAAACAGGGAAGGTTGGACGAGGGAGGTAGTGGCAATAAGAAAACAGGCTAGTTGGATTGTGATGGAGGGGTACCCAGCTAGAATGGGGAAAGGAGAAGGAAGCTTTGAAGCGTCGGAGGAAGAATATTTTGTCTTATACACGGCCATTGTGGAGATGGCGTGGTAAGACACGAAGGGTCAAAGCTGCAGGGCGGCGTGGCAGGAGAGACAAAAAGAAAAGAATTGGAGCAGCAGGAATTGGACAGTTGGACATTCAAGACGCATCATGCGTTACGCACCTGGTATGCCAGGAGATCTCCCGCGGTCAGGAGGACTCGGGTCGTCCCCCTTGTTCTCAAACATGGCGCGCAGGTTCTTGACCCCGCTCATGATTTCGAAGCTCTGGAGTTACTTGAAAAAAAAAAAAGAACAGGCCAGAGGAGAGAAGGGGTGAGTGAGGGTGACAAAGCGTCGGTCCAGACGCGTGCGCGACGGGCAAGACGCGGGCTGGAGCGATCGGGGCAACCTTGGGACGAGCTTTGCTTGCTTCGCTCTGGGCTTGGGCCTGGGGTTGGGCTGCGTTGGGTCCGTTGGTCTACCAGAGACCGGTTTGGCTAAGCGCGTGTGTTTTGTTTGATTGTGGCGTCGCTACAGTATCCGACGGCGAGCTAGACGGGTATTTGAGCAGCGAAAAAGCGGGCAGACCGCAGCTAGCTCTGTCCTCGGCAAGCTGGTGAGTGAGTGACTGACAATGGCAGTGCTGCGCGGCAGGTCTGCGGGTGCGTGCGTTGCTGTGCTGTGCTTTGCAGTCGCGGTGCGGTGCTGTGCTGTGATATATGGAGCAGCGTATGCATGTAAGAGCGAGGCAGGATGGGGACTCGGCGGCCGCGAATGATGATGATGATGATGGCCGCACTTGGGGGCGGTCCTGCGTATGGTGGTTTATGCTGGCAGTCGAGAGAGGACACGACTACGCTTCTGACAGGATGGACGGACTGGACTGGTTTATGAGGTGGTGCTGGACGGGATCTTCCCGGAGCCGCCCAGCCAGCATTAATAAAAATGAGGAACGAGGAAAATCAGGGGTAGCTACTGGCGACAGCAGGTGGGGTGGTGTGTTAGGAGAACGGCCAGGTACCTGCCAGCCGCCTACCTGCCACCGGCACCAACGCTACCGAGCACGCTACAGCCTGAGCTGCCAGGGTGTCCAGGTAATTACAGCCTGGAGATTCATCTCAGTGCATCCATGGATAGTCTGGATCGATGGCTGCGCGATGGATCACGTAGCTATGTACTTCCGCTCTGACGTATCCTCATGCAGCCATGCCATCGACACTCGTGCGTGCTACATGACGAGGTGCAGCTATAGCGGAGGCGAGATATTGTTTCTATTATAATCCACTGAGCCCGTCCTCCCGTCTCACTTCCCGGGCTTGGTTGGCCAAGGCAGGCCGGAAATTCCTAACGATAGTACCTACCTCCGCCTCTCTTCTCCCAACCTAACTCAACCTCATCAATGCTGCCAGGCGATCGACACAGGCTGTACTTGTACTACCAAAGCAGCGACGACTGCTAGATGCAGCACAGCATTTGATATTACACGGGGGCTGTCAGTAGCCGTACCGGGTCGCACCATGGAGGAGCTGTCCTCCCGCGGCGATTCATGCACCAATATGCCCAGCCCGTTCTCCGTCCAATAAGTGACCCTCTTGTCTCGGGCTGCCCTCCATACTGCCTGGCTTGCTGGGCAGCAACAACCTCTCGCTAGTCATTTCAGACGAAAAATAAGACGGTTCCTGTAGCTTGGAATGCCATAGCTCACGTCGCTGACTCCAGACTCAAGACCAAGCCGAGGGATCGAAAGAGGGTGGATGTCGCATGAAACTGGGGTGGGCATGAAACTTGCGAATGTAGGGGACCTGCTCGACGTTTCAATTTCCAGAAGCCTTGCTTGTTCCCTAGCTGACCCATACCAGCCGCCTTGCATGTTCATGTTCATGCATGCTATTCTTGTAGCATAAAAAGAAATCCTAATCTGGGGTTCCGACTGCACGAGGACAGACGCGGGCTTTCAAGCAGCAGTTACGAGGAGCATGTGGCATGCGATAATTTGTTTAATTGATGCAGCGTGCAATGGGGTGATGTTCACTCTACTATTGGCAATATGGAGCATCGGGCGCTGTAAAGTGGAATAAATGAATTGATGCTGGCAAAAAGCCTCCGCCGGTACTTTGACATTGCAGGCCTTGGAAGCACCCCGCCACACCAAATTTCTGGCCTTGCTCCCTGTAGCTGGCCTGAGACCAGAGGAACCAGCCTCGGCTTACCTAATGCCCCTCCGCCGCCATTTTTTTTTCTCGTCGAGTCTGTCTTGGGCCCGATCTTCGGCGTCCAGGAACCGACCAAGTATCCGACCCAGCTGTGCACATTTAGTCAATTGACCCGCCACGCCAAAATGTCGATTCGTACTTTGAGAATTGGTAAGAAAACACCATCTGAGGAACCAAACGGTTATAGAGAGACCCCCGTATTTCTGACTTTGGGTGTTGCCTTCGTGGTACAGGTCTGATCCCCGGTGACGGTATCGGCAAGGAAGTCATTCCTGCCGGCCGCCGACTCCTCGAAGCTCTCCCGGCCTCCCTCAACCTCAAGTTCGACTTTGTCGACCTCAAGGCCGGCTTCGAGACCTTCGAGCAGACCGGGGCTGCTCTCCCTGACAAGACCGTCGAAGTCCTCAAGAGCGAGTGCGATGGCGCCCTCTTCGGTGCCGTGAGCTCCCCCACCCAGGCCGTCAAGGGCTACTCTTCCCCGATTGTCGCCCTGCGCAAGAAGCTCGACCTGTACGCCAACGTTCGACCTGTCAAGTCCGTCCTGACGGCCGCCAAGCCCATTGACATGGTCATTGTCCGCGAGAACACTGAGGACCTCTATGTCAAGGACGAGAGGACCTTTGACGGCCCCAATGGCAAGGTTGCCGAGGCTATCAAGCGCATCTCTGACCGCGCCTCCTTCCGCATCGCCTCCATGGCCGGTGACATTGCTGTGCGCCGCCAAAAGCTCCGCGAGAGCGGCTCCCCCAGCATCCACAAGTCTCCCCTCGTCACCATCACCCACAAGTCCAACGTCCTCTCCCAGACCGACGGCCTCTTCCGCGCCGCCTCCAAGCGAGCCTTGGCCGATGCCAAGTACAGCGGCGTCACCATCGAGGAGCAGATCGTCGACTCCATGGTCTACAAGCTCTTCCGCCAGCCCGAAGACTACGACGTCATCGTAGCACCCAACCTGTACGGCGACATCCTCTCCGACGGCGCCGCCGCCCTCGTTGGCAGCCTGGGTCTCGTCCCCAGCGCCAACGTCGGCGAGGGCTTCGCCATCGGTGAGCCCTGCCACGGCAGTGCCCCCGACATCCAGGGCCAGGGCATCGCCAACCCCATCGCCACCCTGAGGAGCACCGCTCTCATGCTCGAGTTCCTCAACGAGCCCGAGGCCGCTGCCAAGATCTACGCTGCCGTCGACGCCAACCTCGAGGAGGGCAAGCTCCTCAGCCCCGATCTTGGTGGTAACGCCACCACCGAGCAGGTCGTCGAGGACATCCTCAACAAGCTGTAAACGGACCCCTCCTATGATAAAAGATTTAAACTCGAAAACGTGTTATGAGAACCGGGGAAAAAGGAACGGTATAAAAGCTGGGCGGTTTGTTGATATAGAGGAGATTACTACCGCTGTATTTACTCGTCACATTGTATACAATTGATTTTTGAGCCAAGCTCCTTTTTTTTTTTCACCAAACCAACCTTCGACGTAGAGCTAAGTGGGTGAATAGAATCCCACAATCCAACCAAGCCGCACGGGAATATTCTCGTAATTATCCAAAAAAAACGTCTCGTGGCATTAATCTAATCTTTTTCTTTTATCTCGTGCATACAGTGATATGATACAGGTATTGAAACAACGTGCATGAAGAGCGACATACGCCTCTATCCTTTTTTTCTATTGCAGCGCTGGAATCGATGATATAGTACAGCTAGAGAGACACGTTACTTGGTTCTCTTGGCTTCGAGCTCAGCCTCGTACTTGGCGATCAGCTCCTTCCTGTAATGATTGTCAGCACTTCTGTTTTCTATCGACTCTGCAATGGGGAGACACGGGAGGGGGAAAGGGGGAACATACTGCAGGTGTGGCGGAGCTGGCGCGTAGTGGCTAAACTCCATGGTGAACTCTCCCTTGCCCTGCGTGGCGGCGCGGAGCTGGGAGCTGAAGCCGAACATGGCGTTGAGGGAGCAGTCGCAGGTGAGGGTGAAGTCCTCGGTGCCGATGTCGGTGTCGTGGATGGTGGCGTTGCGCTTGTTCATGAGCATGAGGATGCCGCCCTGGAACTCGTTGGGGGCGGTGATGGTGGTCTTCATGAGGGGCTCGAGGACCTGGCCGCCGGCCTCCTTGAAGGCCTTGCGGAAGGCCATCTGCGTGGCGAGGTTGAAGGCGTGGTCGGACGAGTCGGTAACGTGGGTGGCGCCGTCGTTGATGATCATCTTGGTGCCGATGACGTGGTGGCCCAGGAGGGGGCCCTTGTCGGTCGCGGCCTCGAAGCCCTTGGCGCAGGCAGTGAGGAACTTGTCGGGGATGTTGCCGCCGACGACCTGGCTCTCGTAGAAGTTCTCGCCGGGCTTCTCGTAGGGCTCGATCCAACCCGCGACGCGGGCGAAGTCGCCGGGGCCGCCGCTCTGGCGCTTGAACAGGAAGTCGAAGTCGGCGCGGTGGGCGATGGTCTCGCGGTAGGCGACGCGGGGCTGGCCGGTGACGCAGTCGGTCTTGTACTCACGGCGGAGACGCTCGACGTAGACCTCCAGGTGCAGTTCGCCCATGCCGGAGATGATGGTCTCCTCGCTCTCGGCGTCGACGTGGACTCGGAAGGTGGGATCCTCACGGGTGAAGCGGTTCATGGCCTTACTGAAGTTGTCTGCATCCCCGGAGCGCTTGGGCTTGATGGAGAGAGACATGACGGCATCTGGAACGAACATGGACGACATGGAGTAGGGGAGACCACCGTCGGTGAAGGTGTCTCCGGAAGCACAGTCGACACCGAACACGGCACAGATCTCACCAGCACCGACGTCGGAGACATCCTCCATCTCGTTGGAGTGCATGCGGACAATGCGGGGGATTCGGACCTTCTTGCCCGTGCGGGAGTTGAAGAGGTAAGAACCCTTGGACAGAGTTCCTTGGTAGACTCGGATGTAGGTAAGCTGGCCGTAGTTGTTCTCCTCAAGCTTAAAGGCGAGACCAACGAAAGGCAGGGAGTTGTACGGCACAAGCTTGACAGACTTCTCGTCTTGGGATCGATCCAGGGCCAGGTTGTCGGTATCAGCAGGGTTGGGCAGGTATTCACACACGGCATCGAGCATGGGCTGGATGGCCTTGTCGGCCAGGGCGGATCCCATCATGACAGGAGTGAACTTGCGGGCAATGGTGGACCTTCGGATGGCAGCCTTGATCTGTTCGTTGGTGGGTTCGACTTCCTCAAGGAACAGTTCGGCAATCTCATCATCGACATCAGCGAGCTTCTCAATCAGAGCCTGGCGCTTCTCGTTGGCGAGTTCCTGGAGGACGGGAGGGACCTGGTTGGCCACGCGGACTTTGACACCACGGGGGCCTTCAAAGTACATGGCCTTCATTTCGATCAGATCAACGACACCCTCGTGCTCATCCTCGAGACCAATGGGGATCTGGATAGCAGCGGCAGGGATCTTGAGTTTCTGGTTGATTTGCTCGACGGCCTTCCAGGGGTTGGCGCCCATTCGGTCCATCTTGTTGATAAAGGAGATACGGGGGACATTGTAGCGCTTCATCTGTCGGTCGACGGTGATGGTCTGGGACTGGACGCCGCTGACAGCACAGAGAATCATGACGGCACCATCGAGAACGCGGAGAGCGCGCTCAACCTCGATGGTGAAGTCGATATGGCCGGGAGTGTCGATAAGATTGATATGGTAGGTTTCCTCTTTTCCGTCTTCTTGCTTCTGCCAGTCGCAGAAAGTGGCTGCAGACTGAATTGTAATGCCCTTTTCCCTTTCCAGATCCATGGAGTCCATCTTGGCGCCAACGGAATCTTTTCCTCGAACTTCGTGAATCGCCTTGATTCGGCCGGTGTAGAACAGAACTCGCTCAGTAACCGTAGTCTTGCCACTGTCGATGTGTGCCTGGAAACCCTGTGTATCAGCGCTGGACTGCGTCGATGTGCCATATTGGAAAAGGAGCGCCGTCGACTTACAGCAATACCAATGTTGCGAACCTTGGAGAGCCTGGCCTTCTCGGCGGGGTTCATGTTGGCAGCCACATATTCGGGGGTAAGACTGGAGGCATCGGTCTGGGCCTTTTTCAACCTAAAAGCAACCAATTCATCAATAAAAGTCCAACATGGAGGGGTGGAGGCGGGGATTGAAGCACGCACGCTTCTTGAGCAGCGCTGGCAGCGGGCGAAGTCTGGCTGAATGCTCGTCGGCCGCCAGCTGCCCACGAACCAATTGTGGGATTAACATCGCGAACTGAGAGGCTGCCTATCAGACGGCAGTCGAGCCACCTGATTGCCCCTAATCCCCTCATGATTGCTGTCGAAAACAGGCTGAGGAGGGTGTCTTGACTTGTCCAGCGCACATGGGCCAATTGCGCTGACGGCAATCTTTTTTTTCTATGCTCCCACTTGGGTGCCGGAAAAATCCGCCGCCGATAAGACTCTAATCGCGCTCCCGCCTCTCGCCGTGTCCCGAACCATTCATTCGAGGACTATTAATAATAATTGCATGGACATCCATGCACCAATCATTTTGAGGATGGAATGCAGGCATTTTTGGATGAAATTGTGTCTAATAAAGTGTGGTTTATATACTGGTATATATTGCTTGAATACATTCCTTCATCTCTATAACCTTCGTTTCAACATCCAGGGTGATCTTACCCAGAAAAGCCTTGATACCAAAACGCCTTGCCTCCTCGTGGTATATCCAAACCTAAATTAATTGGCCTAATACATCTGAACATATCCGAAACGCCATTTTCTTACCCATCGTCATTTAGCTTAGGCAAGACGAAGATATCGAATCCTCGCAATGAAGTGACTGGTCTACAGCAACCCGACGCTAAAAAGAACAGCACTGGCCAGTGAGCTGCTCAGCGGGAGCAAGATGGGAAGCATATTGGCTTTCCCAAAACCGGAGCTCTCGTTTGGATTGTCTCCGTCTTGGAACCCGTCCGCCGCTTTCAAATTCGTTGTTTCGGCCATCGGGAAGTCCACCACCGAGTCTATCGGGCTGGTAGTTGTACTAGCCGGGGCAGCGGTGGCACCTGGAATGGAGGCGCCTTTACTTGGGAACGGTACAATGTTGGTTTCGGTTGAGTTGAATCTTGTGGGCGCAAGACCTATCTGATTATTTTCCAGGTCGTATACCACGTAAGCAGACCGTAGAAAAGTATCGCCAAGCACATACGGTCCTGTTGTGTAGTTCTGGATCCCAAAGGCGCACAGATATTCGCCTGTGTAGGGGCCGGAAGTGAGTAAAGGCGGATCCCCATTCGTCAAATCAATGACCAGCTCATCCATTGTGACATTGATCGTGGGGCCGCCGTCACCCGCGAAACCAAACGAGAAGTGGCCCGGGTGGGCATTGTGGGAGCATGGGAGGATAGCCATTCCTAAAGACGGTTGATACTTCGCCCCAACCTCCTTCCATACAGCCTGTGCCAGCTCTGTGGGAAGGTAGCTCAAGGTAGAGCCTGAATCCAGGAGCACTTCGATGGCACTTTCAGATGAAGCGAGAACATCGGTCCCGCTGGGGCTCGTGGCTTTGAGGGACGACATGAGGACGATGAATTCGGTATACTTGTCAGCGTCCTCGTCGAGTAGTACGTCGATTTTAGTTAGCGGGCCGTCGAACTTTCCCGTGTCAACACCACCAAATAGGATGTTGCCGGTGTTCGCATCCAGATCATTGAGCCAAAGACTATAGGCTATGGAGTTGATCAATCCATCCTGCTCCATGGCAACGGGGAGATTAGCATAGGGAGAATCTTTGTTCGCCGTCGACGCTTCATTGGTGGCATATCCAACCCCAACCAGGCCATAAGTAATATCAGTCTTTAAACCGAGTCCCATTGTAAGGTTTTGAACATCCTTGCCGCCTATTTGGAACCTGTCTTTGAAGTAATCGCCCGTGGCATACTTGTCGTCAATATAGGACACGTAAAACTCGTCCTCCCCAATCTCATAAAATGTTTTAGAGCTGCTTGAGTTGACTATAAAACACCATGTCAGCACAAAAGGAAGCCCACACAAGCTTCATGATTTTCATGGGGGAAGGGAAAACGCACATGAACCAAGCATGCATAAACCAGACTTGCAAACTGTTGCATCACAGTGTGGTATCCAAACATCGCTACTGCCAGTATCCAATTGCATAGTCATGTTTTGACCAGGGCTACCAATTTGGACTGTAGCAAAGTAGCCCCCCCTTCCTTTCTCATTGAGGATTATCTCCTCGAAGGCAGATTTCGACCTGCGCTGCAGTGATTCCCCTGTTGCCCGTTTCTCAATATCCCAGGTGACAACTTGCGCCATAGACGTCAGGGTCAGCGCCAGCACCAACCCGAGATATCCCAGCCTCTTTTTCATCCCGCATTCGCAGGGCGAGTCAAGGCCCAGGTCTCCGTAACCTCTATTGGAAAGGGCTAAGAGAAGCAAGACCCTTCCTCAGGCCCAGAAGCTTCGCCGGTAATTCGTAACACTGACGATGGCGAGATTAAGCATCTGGACAGACAAGTAGGCTTTGAGAGCATACGTGAAGGGCGTTGAGGATGAGTTCTTGAGCGAGTTAGTCAGGGAAGAAGCCGAGGTGAGTGCATATAGTATATTATTCGGTAATGACAGTTGGTGTATGTATTGAATTAGGTAGAAGTGAAACAATCACCCAGACGACGGGTGGTGAGATGAGATGGGCGAGATGGATTACAAGATATGGTGAGCATCGAAACAAAAACGCAGGGAACGGTCTACATCACGGCGAACGCAGCCCGAGGAGGGAAAACGGAAGAAAATGACAAATGCGAAAAGAGACATGAGCGAGGAGAATTATTGAAAGGCCAAGAGTGATGGAAGGAAGCGTCGTCATGATCTTTCCTAGTTGGGACGTGATCCACTTCACTTGGGGGGCGGATTCAGAAAAACCCCTAGCCGCGTGCCAAGCTGCTGCTGAAGGCTGCCGCGGACAGCCCTGAGGGCTTCTCTCTTGGCGACTAGGCAGTGGAGGGATGGATTTCGCATCAGGGCTGCTCACTGTCTGACAGTAGGCCAAGAGTCTAACTGGAACCACGGGAGCGTGAGACGACGCTAATACTGTGTAGTCTCAGAGGGAACACGCGTTCAATGCCCAGAGCGGCCTTCCTGGCCAACGCAAGCTAGCAGGGACCCATTTGCTTGGCCTGAATTGCGTGGATGGACGACTTGCCGAAAAGCAACCCTATCCCAAATAGACCCTGGGGTTGGTCCCCGTCCTGCTTTCGTTCAAATCCCGTCTCAATGCTGAGGCAATACAGATACAAAAAGACCCTAGAAGTCTATTGCTACGTGCCTGTTCTCGAAGGGACGGAAATATGGATACCTGCTGTACCCCGAAAGTTAGTCGCCAATCACACTGGAGATCACGCTGGGGAGACTGTGCTACCCACAGCCCAGAGTCTCCAATAACCTTCCATTGGAGTCCTCGGGCGGCCGTCCGGAGTCCCATGCCCTGGTGCCTGGATTCTGACGGCGGCCAGACCCGGATTTGAAACGTTCATGCAAGAGGCTCAACACTCCTGGATCCAGTAATTGCTTTGGTTACTTGGTACTTTTAACGTTAGGCAAGCCATTTGTGCAAGTCTGGTATGCACTGATGCAATAGTGTAGTGCATTGATTCAGAAGCGAGGCGATAGACTGGCAGATACCGTACCAGGCGCGTCAGAAGGCCTTGTCATTTGACCAGCACAATCGTCAGCAGAGCTCTGCTCCGAGATGCTTCAACCATTCAGGTCCGTGTATTCTCGTGATCAGGAGCCTAGGATGTTGCCGACCGGCGACCGTCATGCGGGGACGGATAAATGCAGAGTGCATTGGCTTGATTGGCTGCAGCTTGATATTCACTGCATGGGTGGAGAGCAGCTAAGCCGTAAGGTACCAGATGTGTACGTAAGCGGCCCTGTGGCTGTTGCCCGAGAGGAAAGTAACTTTCAGGTACTCGCCATCTGCCTAGACGCCTCCCAGCCAACCGCAATCATTAAACTCCGGACCCGAGGTGGAACATACTTGTACCTCGCCCTATCGTCATCGTCCTCCATGCAACCTACACCCGACCTCGAGCTGTCATTGCCATCATCGACTCAACCATCAGTCGTCGCATCTTGCAGCCAGTGCGCCGTCGCACTTGTGATCTGACTGCCATGGCTCTCCTTCGGTTAGGGAGCCTCGTTGCTGCGGCAGGAGCTCTCTTGCCTGTCCTGGTGGGAGCTTCCAGCGGTAACTCAACTTACTCGCAAGCCGAGATGCTGCGTGTGCAAGCATCGCTTCTCGATGGACGGCCCTCCGAGTGCCCTCCTTGGTGAGCATTCTCTACATCTGAGCCCAGATCATCGATTGTTCGTTGACTGACCGTGTCCGTCCTTGTTTAGTTTCAACTGTCTGCTCCCCGCCCATACTTGCGCACAATATGCTGGCTGCAACGAGTTCAACGGCAAATGCGACTGTCCCGAGGGTTTTGGCGGCGACGATTGTCTTGAGCCCTGTGAGTTCTTCTTGGATACACAACACGCGTGCGCGAATGAGAGAACATGAGAGGCTGACCCTTGATGCTCCCCTTAGTATGCGGTTCGCTTGGCCGAGGTAAGGATCGACCAATGCGCAATGGTGAGAGCAGCTGTGAGTGCGACGAGGGCTGGACCGGAATCAACTGCAACGTCTGTACCGACAACAAGGCCTGCAACGCGTTAATGGAAACGGGCACTGGGGGTGTTTGCTACCAGAACGGTGAGGTCGTGAAGCACAACTATCAAATCTGCGACGTCACCAATCAAAAGATCACCGATCTTTTGGGGGAACAGCGCCCCGAAGTCACATTTACCTGCAAGGAGGAAGACTCTACATGCGACTTTCAATGTAAGTTCAGCCACGCCGGGATGCAGGCCGCCTGTTGTGTACTTGCTGCTGACACAATATTCAGTTTGGGTTGATGCCGTGGAATCGTTTTATTGCCATTTATCTGACTGCGACTCGACTGCCAACTTTGAAGAAAGCAAAAACACAACGTCATATAGTTGCGACCACATTACTTGCAGCTGTATCCCGGGTCACATGCTGTGTGGTAAAGACGGCTCTATCGATCTCTCCGACTTTCTCGACCAGGCTATCCGTGGTCCAGGTGGGTTCGACTGCTCGCAAAAGAATGGAGGAATTCACAACTGTGCCTTTAACGAGCCCGAAATGAACAAACTGATTTCGGCCTTGATCGGTGATTCGAGCATCTTACTAAACTGCCAGGCCGGCGAGTGTGTTTATGAGACTGAGGTGCCAGGGTATAAGCGGCCAGTCAAGCAGATAAACACTCCTCTGATTGCGGGCGTCATTGCTGCAAGCGGCCTGTTTGTGGTTGCAGTGATCATCATCACATGGTATCTGTCTCGCAGAAAGCTGAAGTATGGTGCTATTCGATTAGAAGACTCGGATGACGAAACTACGAAGCTCATGATTGATCACAAGCCAGTCGCTCTCCAGTTCCAGGACATTACCTACACACTGAACGGAAAATCTATCTTGAGTGGTATCCAGGGAATATGCCGCCCTGGAGAGGTGACTGCCATCATGGGGGCATCTGGCGCAGGAAAGACGACGTTTTTGGACATCTTGGCACGGAAGAATAAACGTGGCCAGGTTGGTGGCCAGTTCTATGTCAATGGTGAAAAGGTCCCTGATTCTGCTTACAAAACTCTGGTTGGATTCGTGGACCAAGAAGATACAATGCTGCCAACCCTCACCGTTCACGAAACCATCCTGAACAGCGCCCTTCTCCGTCTCCCTCGCCACATGAGCCGCATGGCCAAAGAGCAGAGGGTGTACGAGGTAGAGAAGGAGCTTGGAATCTACCACATCCGCAACTCTCTCATCGGTTCCGAAGAGGGCAAGGGCAGGGGCATTTCTGGAGGCGAGAAGCGGCGAGTCGGCATTGCTTGCGAACTCGTTACCAGCCCATCGATTCTATTCCTGGATGAACCGACCAGTGGCCTTGATGCTTTCAATGCTTTCAATGTTATTGAATGTCTGGTCACTCTGGCGCAATCATACAAGCGAACCGTCATCTTCACGATTCACCAACCACGATCTAACATCGCTGCCCTCTTCGACCGACTCATCCTTCTTGCTCGGGGCAAGACTGTATTTTCTGGTCCTTTCAATCAATGCCAGCCATATTTTGATTCTCTCGGTTATGAATGCCCCAGCGGATTTAATATTGCAGACTATCTCGTTGATTTGACGATGCACGCTGGTAATATGCAGCTAGTTGACGATGGGACGGTGCCAACGGATGCCTCGAGCTTGGGTCCCAGCAGCACAAGAGCCGTCAAATCAATCGCAAGCATCTCTGGTGGCAGCACGGCTGGCGAGGCCAATGCGGATTCTGTAACAGCTTCTCGCCCTAATAACTGGCGCAAAAACTCCATCAAGCAGCGTCAAGAACGCGAGCTGTTTACTCGCCGACGAACTGTCGACACAGCAGCTTCCTCAGAGGCTGGTGGTGATGATCAGGGCTTTAGGCTGCAACAAAATCCTGGCACCTCGATAGGTGCCCAACTGACAGAAGATGCCCACGACCTGCCCCCCTCCGCTGTTGCTGCAACGGATCTCGACGTGATCACCAGCGCCTTCACGCACTCAGACATCGCCGCAGCAACCAATGAGGAAATTCGCCAATCTGTTGAGTCTGCGACGCATAGCAATGGGCCCAATGGCAATAACGGGGTAGCGGATGGGCAGGGTGCCAGTGTTGGTATTGGAAAAGGGTACCAGCGGATCGGATACGCTCGCCAGTTCATCATTCTGTCGAACAGGACCTGGAAGAATCTCTACCGCAACCCGATGCTTATGTTGACCCACTATGCTATTGCGATTGTGTTGGCAGTTTTCTCTGGATACCTCTTCTACGGCTTGACTGATGATATTCCCGGCTTTCAAAATCGACTGGGTCTCTTCTTCTTTCTGTTGGCCCTCTTTGGGTTCAGCACTCTGACCAGTCTGAATGTTTTTGCTTCCGAGAGACTCTTGTTCGTCCGTGAGCGAGCCAACGGGTATTATGCTCCAGCAACGTATTTTGCCGCCAAGGTTCTATTCGACATCATCCCACTCCGAATCATCCCCCCTATCTTAATGGGCTCCATTGTTTATCCAATGACCGGCCTGGTGGCTGATTCTGATCATTTTTTCAAGTTTATGCTGGTTTTGGTTTTATTCAACCTTGCCGCAGCTGCAATCTGCCTATTTATTGGCATTGTTTGCAAGGATGGCGGCGTTGCTAGCTTGATTGGAAGTCTTGTGATGCTCTTCAGCTTGCTCTTTGCTGGATTCCTGCTCAACCATGACGCAACGCCCAAGAGCGCAATCTGGCTACAGACACTGTCCATCTTCCATTATGCTTTTGAATCGCTTATTGTTAACGAGGTGCTTCAACTTACACTCATAGATAAGAAGTACGGCCTCGATATTACTGTACCTGGAGCAGCTATCCTCAGCTCTTTTGGGTTCGAAAACAGCGCTCTCTGGTCCGATATTAGAAACTTGGGCATATTTGCTGCCATGTTCATCATCTTGGCTTACGTTGCCATGCATGTACTACTAGTTGAGAGGCGTTAAGACGTGCAATTAGACCTGCAAGCCGATTTCGTTCTGTTTCATGCATTTCCTTTTTAGCCCGCAAGAGACGAGACGGATCAGATAGTGGAGGTGGAAGCCAAGCTTTTGAAGAAGCCTGCATATACCGACATATATACGCATATACTGATTACTGGATGGGTTTTACGTGGCTGCTGCCATATTTTCTGGCGTTTCGGTTTGGCGCTGGTTTTCCTTAGCTTTCCTTGCCAGGTACAGTTGGATATTTATTCAACTGCCGAGTATTCCCAAATAGAACTGTTGAGAAATTGTGATTGTTTGAAGAGCGCTCCCCTCTTTATGTGCATGCCCAGTGCATCTGAATTAGATCATTTCATCTCAATTACACTCGAGCCATCATACGCTACATGTTTCGAACGGTGGGCATAATATAAGAACAGTAATGTACATGTACAGTTGCGAGCTCGCCGAATGCTCACTCCATCTTTCCACCGGTAAATTCTTCAGCAATCTTCTTCTGTCGCTTGACAGAACGGTCATATTCGGATTCCGTGATATCAATCAGCTTGTTCGACATCTTTCTGCTTGTGGCCAACATCTCTCCGAAGGAGAGAGGAGCGCCGTGAATGCCCCATGCGTTCTCAGCACCCCACAGGCCACCCATCTTGCTCTTGAAGTAGTCGTCACTGAAGACGGTCTCAATCTCTTCCTTCAACTGGGCCTCAGTTGTGATGAAGTTCGAGGCGTTGATGTAAAGCTCCATCAGGGCATCGCGCCGAGCCTCCTTCTTCGCAGTTTCCGCCACTTGGATCTCCTGGCGGCGCTGGTCGGCGAGGGCGAAGCGGTTGGGGTCTGAGTGGACCTTGGTGTCCAGGAGCGATTCGAAGACAGACCCGCGTGTGAGCCGGTCGTCCTCGCGCTCGGGAGCTTGAGCAGCCTCGAGATGCCTCTTGTGCTTCTGTTCAGAGCGGAATTTCTGCCTCGTCTCCCTCGCGCTATGCCGGTTCCAGAGAGATTTCAGACCGATCTCGAGGTTGGAGCGACGGGAATCGGCCATTTTGCTCCGCCATTTTTGGTGCTTGTTACGGTCTCTCGACCAACTGACAGGCGGGGCGGTTTCGTCCAGGTATGCCGGTTGCGTTTTGCGGTCCCCATCCCTCTTGTGGAAGATCTGGCGGGGAACCGGCAGAAAACCTCGTACACGCTCGATCTTCTTCTCTTCATTCTGTGGAGGGGTCGGGAGTCGAATGTAGGAGGGCGAATCGGGAGGTATAAAACATCTCTGGGCGGTGGTCGAGAAGCATCGAGCCACAGAGAGTGGTTGCCTTGCCAGAGGCCGCAGCGACGTTACACTAAAAGGCATTTTTGGTAGAGATTCGCCGTTTGGGCGAAGTGCTCAAACCCAGAGGAATTGCTTGCAAAAGACCAGGCCGGCGACGGTGGGCTGGGCTATTCGCGTAGATATATTGCATCAATTGAGATGACCCATGGAAAATTGTTGCATCAATTGAAGCTGGGACGGATTATCTAGCGCCGTGTCCCCGAGATGGCTGGTCAGCGATAAGCCACGATAAGCAAGAAAAAAAGTTGGGTGGGGCACTTACAAGTCGCAGTTCAAAAAAAAAATCCAGCCTCCAACCTTTCCCAAACACTTCCTCCTCATCTTTCCTGGTGCACTCAACCACAACAATCATGGGCACCGGAAAGAAAGAGGCCACCCGAAGGGTGCGCCAAGGGAAGACTGGAGATGGCCTTGGCAATGTCAGAGTCAAGGGAGAGAACTTCTATCGGTACGAACAAACCGCATCTTTCATTCTTGCCTTGAGTAAATGCTAATACCATGCCAGCGATGCAAAGAAGGCCAAGGCGGTGAAGAAGTACACGAGTGGCAAGGAGCAGCGCAATGCAGACGGCGAGATTACCAAGGCTGCCATCTACCAGTCGAGGGAAGTTCCCAACGCCCGCATCGAGCCGAACCGGAAGTGGTTCAACAACACCCGCGTCGTGTCCCAGGAAACTCTCAAGTCTTTTCGTGAGGCCATGGCTGAGAAGGCCAACGATCCCTACCAAGTTCTTCTCAAGCAGAACAAGCTTCCTATGAGCTTGATTCGAGATGGCAATGGAGCGAAAGGCCTCAAGGAGCACGAGGCCAAGATGGCCGTGGCGACCCAACCGTACTCATCGATCTTTGGACCCAAGGCGCAGCGAAAGCGAGTCAAGCTTGGTGCTAGCAGTCTTGGGGACTTGGCCGACGACACTGAAAAGAGCATGGACACGTACCGCGAACGCCTTGAGCAGGCCAAGCTTCTGAGTGGCACATCTGGCGACGCCAATCAGGACGGTGAAACAGATGGCGCCCTCACATTAGCCATCGAACCCGTCTTTGACAAGGGCCAGAGCAAACGAATCTGGAACGAGCTTTACAAGGTCATTGACTCTTCCGACGTTGTCATTCATGTTCTGGACGCCAGAGACCCAATCGGCACAAGATGCAGGGGCATTGAGAAGTACCTCAAGGAGGAGGCCCCACACAAGCATCTCATCTTCGTTTTGAACAAGTGTGATCTCGTTCCGACTGGTGTTGCTGTAAGTTTATTTCCCGGTCTCTCTCTCCCTACACTGTCGCAACCCCGTTGTCCCATTCTCCACTGTCCCAATAGTCTTTGTCAGGACGTCTTCTATTTTTACTTCGTGGAGAACGTCTGTTACACTATTGGAAGATTGATTGTGATCTCAACCGCCTTGAGCTTGCTCTAGGTAGATCGACGCCGTTTTGGCAACGGTCACGAGATGTAACTTTTTGTCTGATTGAGTTGAAGTCTGTCTGCTCTCTTGTTGGAGCATTTCGTGGCATACTTCTTAGTTGCGACAAGAACATTTTTTCCCTTTGAACATCATTTTCTTTAGTCACTACGATTTTACCATTTGAATAATTGTGAACTCGTGCTGACCACATCAACAGGCTGCCTGGGTCCGACATCTTTCGAAAGAGTATCCCACCCTCGCCTTCCATGCCAGTATCACCAATTCCTTCGGGAAGGGATCACTCATCGCTCTTCTCAGACAATTCTCAAGTCTCCATTCGGACAGGAAGCAGATCTCGGTTGGCTTGATCGGCGGACCCAACACAGGAAAATCATCCATTATCAACACTCTTCTGAAGAAGAAGGTGTGCAATGTTGCCCCAATTCCTGGAGAGACGAAGGTGTGGCAGTACGTCAGCTTGATGAAGCGCATCTACCTCATCGATTGCCCGGGTGTTGTGCCTCCGTCCAACCAAGATACCCCAACGGACCTCGTGCTTCGTGGTGTGGCTCGTGTGGAAAAGGTTGAAAACCCTGAGCAGTATATCGGCGCCCTTCTAGAGAGAGTCAAGCGACGCCACATGGAGAGGACGTACGAACTGACCAACTGGACCAATGCCACTGAGTTTCTGGAACTCCTCGCCCGAAAGGGTGGCCGTCTTCTTCGTGGTGGCGAGCCTGATTTGGATGGAGTTGCCAAGATGGTGCTGAATGACTTCATGAGAGGCAAGATTCCTTGGTTCACGCCACCTCCACACACCCCTGAGGAGGGAGAGGAGGGAGTCAATGGCCGAGAAGGAAAGCTTGGAGAGATGCCAAAGAAGCGCAACCGAGAGGAGACCCTGCCAGAGTCTGAGATATCAGCAGATGCCCAACTCCAACAAGAAGCTTCTTTCGCTGCCGAGAAGGATGAGGAGTCTGATGACAGCGAAGGCGATGATGGGTTTGAGGGCTTCGGTAGCGATACCGACAAGGGACGGTCTAGAAAGTCATCATTTGGTGGCACTCTAGCAACGCAAAGCGAGGACGGTAGCGGAGACGAAGACGTCTTGTCTGTCGACGATGATTCCGCTGACGAGGAGGAGGAGGAAGCTGAAGAAGAACCAGAAGAGTCTGATCCAGCAGAAGAGATCACCAGGCCCAGCAAGCGACGCAGGAGATGAAGCCAATGCTAATATATTTATATTCATTGGGGTGATACACGTCCAAAATGGCCGAAAGGTCGAGGCGCCGGTGCCTGTGAGGTCTTTCTCAACAAGGACAGTCGAGCGCGGGCGTTGCAAGCACCGACATCCCAAAACGTACCTATCGCTGCCCACTTACAATCATGGCCAGCCAGCCTATCACGAACGACGCCTCCTTACTTGTGCTTTTTGCCAATTCATTGGTGATCTGCATAAATAGTATGGTATGGATTGGGGTGAAACTCGTTTCCTTCAGACGAGCCGTACTCTGCGGTCTCTTACGAATTCTGGTCCACCAAGAGCACTCCACACTAAGTCATGTTCGCAACATGCTGCCTACTTGGTTCGATCTAAGGGCGGTGCATCTGGCCAGTGAACAGCAAATGCGGTCGAGGACGTGGGATGCCCACAGGTAGACTTAAAAGTAAAAGCGACATGTGGGGCAAACGAAAGAAAAAAGGCCTGGATCTATGATGCTCTCGCTTCCTTCAGACGGAAGTCACACAGCAGTAGATCCTCAGGTATATTTCTCTTTCGCCCAAGGTAACTCGCGTCAAGGATCAGAGGACCTCATCAGTGATAGAGAGGATACGGTGAGTCTTAGCGACCAGCGTCGTTTAAGACGTCTACATTTTGAAATCCAAATTTTCAACGGGCTTCGGCCTTACTTCTTGCTCCCACACCGCGCAATCCATTTTCCCTCTTCCAAGTGAAATGCCCGTGAAATTACTGGTCATGTGGCCTCAGTACCTGCGAGACGAAAGGCGAGAAACGAAAAGTGACTGACGGACGGTGGCAACTGGCAAGTGGTTGGTGTGCCCCACTTTGCAGCAACTTCCTGAGCACGGACCACTGAGCAAAGAACACAGACTCGATGGTCTCGCATCAAATCATGCAGTAATCGACGTCGATATGCCTCCAAACGAGAAGCCCCTCGACAAGGCAAAATCAATCAGAATATGGATTCAAGGGGCTTGACTGATAATCAACGCCCCGAGTCCTGCTATTTTCAAAAAATCAAGCCCGATTTACAGTTGTGCGTGGACCGTCAGAGGTCCGAATGCCAATCATGCTCGACACTGGATTTAGGATTCTCACCAACTTTACGGAGTGTACTCACTCTCGTATTAGGTTTGCTCATCTCTGCACGTGAGCAGACTCCTGCAATGGTGGCTGGGAACTTGGACACTGATCCCATCCGTCAATTCCTCACAATTTCTTCCAACCTTCTCTGCTTGTCAATCCAGCAAATCCATCATCGTTCCTCTCCCGTTGATACCAGCACTCGATATTCATCTTGATTCCTAACCGCATCTTCATCTACGTACCCAGATCTCATATTTTCATTCGATTTGTGGACAAGAAATCCCAATATTGCGACCCTATTCCACAGTCACTCTCACGATGATGTCGACCAAGATTCGCGCCGCCAACATGGCTGGAGCAGGAGCATCCACGGTTCGATACACTTTGCCTTTTCATACATTGGGAAATGCTAATGAACGATTTGCGTCCAGGTTCCAGATCATCCGGCCGCAGCCAAATCTGTGCCTCGAACTATGCCCATGTTCTCCAATGTCAACTTGCCTTCCAACAGCGGTCAGTATGGTAAGTTATCTCCTCCGCTGGAAGCGAGCAGAAATCCTGAGCATTGGATGGGAACTAACAAAGTTTGAAATAGCTGGAAACCACCACATGGCGATGCCGAGCCATTTGGTTCAGCCAGCCGTTCTTCCTGGCATGATCAAATGGCAGCAGACTCATGGTGTCTCTGGGCCCATGGTGTCATACATGGCACCTCCCAATCCCCTCCAGATGCCAAATTTCAAAGGACTCCCTGTCCAGAATGGCAAGAAGCCAGTCAAGAAGGTTGAAGGAAAAGGCTCTCATCCTTCCTCCTCACCCATCACGCCACCAACTCCCACACCCATTGGAAAGAAGGCTCGTCAAGCCATCCAAATGAAGCCTGCCGGAGTGAACAAGACTGACCGATACGATAAACGCAAGCCAGCAAGTTCGAAGAACTTTCCTACTACCCCAAAGGCCATAGCTGCCTTAGCCGCAGCTGCCACACCGCCGCAAACCCCCAACAGTCCAACTGTTTGGAAGCGCCCAACAAAGGGTCCCAGCACGCCTTCGGCTGCGATGCTCCTGGCAGTCGCGGGCTGCGAGGATTGGCAGCTTGACATGGCTCGCGATCTAGGTCTTCAAGACATCGCCGGCCCATTCGAAATCGGCGACGCTATCTACGTAATCCTTTCCAAGAGTCGCGAGGCAACCAGAATCGCCAACCGACGATGCGACCGAAACGGCCGGTTCGCCTGGTTCCGTCACTCTGACAACGTCCGGCTCGAGGAGAAGCCCCAGCAGCAGAGTGGTCAGCCCGTAAGCAACGCTGACGGCTCTTTTCGCGGATTCAAAGCTTCGGAGACCACACTCGTCACCCCGCGCGCCTAGATGCCGCCCGCGGATAGAGAGTCCATTCTTAGGTGCCGAGCTCAGAAGCCGGCTGCTTGGCCGCTTTCCGGTGACCCCATGTGGAACTAGATTTCCGCGGGTATTAACGAAGTGATCTCCAACCTGGCGGCTGTGAACGTTTCAGACTCAGGTATGATGAGCATGAGTTTTTATGACTTACGAATTGGAATGATGACTTGGTTCGGATGGTTTGTGCGAGAGATGAACGGACACTCATTTATGTGTGCTTACTGGTATTAAAAAGGCGTAGGTGGAAACGAAAAAAGGGTGAAGGCTGAATAGTGCTCGAGTCTCATTATTGTCCTTCATTTTAAAAATGTTAACTTGCTAACGTTTATTAATGATTTTGACCTCGCGCATTTGCTTGACTAATAATCGCAAGTGATTGTGTTTCGCTCTGAGGTATTCATCAACGAACAAAGTATTTTTGTTGATCTGAAAGCAAGAACTTAATTTTTGCTTTCGCTTAAGTTATCAACATAATAAAATTTCCGTTCGGGCTTCTATTGTTGAAAAACGACCTAAGATGGATCATTCTATTGCGGGAAGTTTGTGGTTTGGTGACGACAACTATAGGGTAGGCAGAATCCGTAGGACCGACCTCGGTGGTGATGAAATAATTTCTTGGAGGTGGGATGAAGTCGATCACTCTGACTTCATAGCATTATTTAGTAGAAGCTTTGCCACTGATATCCCGCACATTTGGCCGACCTGCGGAATCAGCCCTGCCAATTGAAAAGCCCGAGAAAAAGACCTCACATGAATTGGCCTCGTTACCTGCTACCTCAACCGACCGACCGACGATAAACTCGACCACAAGGCGCCCTGCCCGCCATCATCATGGGCGCAGGACCATCCAAGGCTGCTCGTACAGCCACCCGCAAATACCCAACAACGGCTTCAAAAGCGGCGGTGACTCGTCCCGCTGTCAGTCGCCCACAGCCAGCTCCCTCTGCTGCTGCTGGTGGCCCCAAGGAAGACAGTGAGTAGAACTTGACAAAATGCCCAACCCTCCTTCTGCTTGCTAACACATCTCGACTGCCCCAGCACCCCCCAAAGAGATCGACCCCGACGCCGCCCCGGGCGACTTCTCCGCACGATTACACCAGATGGGCGTGGTACAGCCCAACCCGACCTTCTCGCCCTCCTCTCGAGCCGCGCGCAAACATGGACCGCCGCCGCCGCCGCGCCCCCTCGAGCCCAACGGGCCTACCGCCCCGCTGGCTCCCCGGTTCGCGCCCTCGACCAGTAACACCACGCTCTCCGCGCTCGACGCGAGGCGGCGGCTGCAGGAGCTGGCCGACGCCGAGCTGGACCCCACGCGGCGGAGCGGCCTCCAGGGCAGGCGGTTCGTCGACATGCGCACCCTGATTGATGCGATCCGGATGCGCGACTCTGGGCTCCCGCTGGCTGGCATTGAGGAGCGGCTGGGGCTGGAACCTGGCTTGCTGGGCAAGCTTAACGGGCCGGAGGTTCTGTCGCACGTATCGGGGCCTAAGTAGGGCCAGGGCAATAATGAATGTAAAATTGAATGTATTGATAGGAATGTACGATCATGGAAGTCGAAGTAATGAACGTTTGGACGCCATTGGCAGCACTTCCCCCCCACCTGAGCTCTCTGGCCTTACTGATATGGATGTATTGACTGAGAATCTGATGCTCATGACGTGTTCATTGTTCAGGGTTGCTGAGGGAGAATGGGCTGTGCTGCCCCGAAAGCTGCTATCTCCAAGAAGCCAAAGTAGTCTGACCTTTGAAGGAAATATAGGTGCCCTCTCTCGCGACATCTTTTCTAGCTGCCGTTATTGTACAATGTAAAATCCTTCAAACTCTGCTTAACTAATTGAGATCATTGTTCGTCTCTACTATATATACAGAGCCATTAAAGAGACCAACTAAAGCCTAGCGAGTTCGCGGCTCTATAGACTTATCGTTTGAATCTTAGTCGAACTCATTTCCTTCTGATTTTCATGAGTACCGTATGTAAAAAATGCACCTCGTGAGCTAAAAGACCTGGCCATTAAGGATTTGAAACCTTTTTGGGTACGTATCTCTCTGGCGAACAGTAAAGGTTCTTTTTCTGAAGAGGGAAACCCTATTTCCATGAATAGAGATTCTGCGCTTTTGCCATCTGACACTGAGTAAACGGTACTCCAGTATGTCAAGCGTGTCACCCAGATGAGAGCCCCCAAATGATGTGGAAGCGGGTTTGGAGGATCATGTACAACAGGAAAACGGTGGAATTGTTCCGCTGACTAACGAGTGTTGTTCTACTTGCCAGATCGGCGTGCTTTTAATTTGTTCGGGAATAATCAACTTCTCAAATTATCTAGCTGTTTCCAGCGTAGAGACTGAGTTTAACCTGTCGTCTCAACTCCAATCATCTAACCAGAAGAATAACAGAGAAGCCAAGGTCAAGGCCCGCGGCTCGATTGACTCGGGACAGTTGTGTGCTGCAGAATGGATAAAACCGCAGCGCAAACTGCCCAACACCCCCCTCATCACCGCCGAAGCTTCTACATCGGCGGACGGTATGTTGAGGATAAGGAGGGGAACCATTCGCTCCAGGGGCAGATGTATGTTGAGCACCTACAGCCAAGCCAGAGTAGTGAAATCAAGCCGTTCCCCCTTTTGTTTATTCATGGCGGAACTCGCACTGGATTAGTGAGCTGGCTGCTTCTGGCTCTCTGGCCTGCATGGATGCTGACGAGAACCAGGACTGGATAACAAAGCCTGACGGTGAGCCTGGATGGGCCTCGTACTTCCTTTCACAGGGATACGAACTCTACCTTGTCGATCAGCCGTTCCGAGGGAGGAGTCCTTGGAGCCCGGGGATTGGAGATGTAATTGTCTATCCTGCGGAGCAGATCCAGAAAATGTTTACCGCCAGCAGGAACTACAAGTTATGGCCGCAAGCCGAGTTACACACCCAATGGCCTGGCTCCGGCATGATGGGCGACCCTGTTTTCGACAGGTTCTACGCCTCGGGTGTGCAGATGATCAAAGACCCGGTCCTTCAGGAGGGAGCATCCCAGGCTGCGTGTGCAGCGCTATTAGACACAATCGGGCGGCCCGTCATCGTCTTTGGGCATTCTGCTGGCGGACCAATCCCATTCTTGCTGGGCGATGTGCGGCCTGGCCTGGTCAAGTCCATCGTCGCACTCGAGCCCCTGGGGCCGCCGTTCTCCAAAGTCTCGATCAGAACGGTTCCCGGTTCTCCGTATGGCATCTCCAATGCTCCGATTACGTATGAGCCTCCCGTCACAGATCCTGTTGCGGACCTGGCAACGCGTGAAGTGAAGGCAGCAGCACCCGACCTGCTGGACGGCCGGCTGCAGGCGAGTGACACACCACGGAAACTCGTCAACCTTGAAAGAATCCCGGTTCTTGTGGTTACGGCCCCGGCATCGTACCATGCTCTATATGACTGGTGCACTGTCGAATATTTACGGCAGGCAGGTGTTGATGCTACCCATTTGAAGCTGGAGGATGTAGGGATACTTGGGAACGGACACATGATGTTTATCGAGAAGAATAGCGACCAGATTGCTGCAGAGATCCAGAAATGGTTAGAACAGTAGGCGAGTCATCGGCGTTCCCCGACTGAATCAAATACGACTCGAATTCGTTTATAATATGCCTCGCTTTTGATCAAGCTGCGGGACGGGGTCGGAGAGCAGATGGAGCCACCCTTGAGGAGACCACGGGCGCCAACGTTGACGATCTCCCGTATCTCTCTGCTGTCTTGCGTCGTAGATGGCGAGGTGTTTTATGTGACCATGGACCTCCGGATGCAATGCGAACCAGGGTAACTCAATGACTATTATCGCTTTTCTTTGGGATAGCCAAAATCATCCAAGTTTCCTTGCCCGCTCCTGCTTGAACTCCCAACTCCTTCGCCCGATGTCTTAGCATTTCTTTGCTTCTTATCATCCCTCTCAACCTCTGCAAACGTCGGCGGAGGCTCCACCTCAGCAGGCGGTACCATCCATGACTCTGCCATCTGGGCTGTGGCAGACTGTGATTGTGTAAAACCTCCCGGTCTCCCGTCGCTGGTTTGCGGCAAAACCTTGACCGGTTGCGACCCGTGAATGGTCCAGTCCTCACCGGCAATCTCACATTTGGCAGTCCATGACAACTGATGACTGAGGCTGACATTGAACGTGGTAAAGTCATGAAAAGCCGAACTCGTGCCCGTATGCCCGCCGATTCGTAAATTAAGTGCCTTGCCAACGTCTATACGCGATGCCTTGTCAGAACATGGGATCTCCACGGTGACTCTACGGCCTCCGTATGCCTCGCTCTGCAGATCCAACTTCTCCTTCCAGTCCGTCTCGTGCGCGCGGAAATAGCCATCGCACCTGATGTCACACCAGGACTCGAGCGTGGCTTTGAAAGAGATAAGATTCGGCTTTTGTTGCACGTTCCGGATGATCTCGCTAGTATTTGGCCAGTTTGGTGTCAATCGCATCAAGACGGGGATCGGATAATGGCCAAGCTGTATTACAGACGGCACGCTCACGTCCAGCTTGAAGAAGAATGCCGGTACTGACTTGGTGCCAAAGAACTTTTTCATCTTTTCTGTCTTTGAAAGCTCCGCATTTTCCATTCCAGGGACGAGGCGTTGCGTGCAGACCGACCCCGGGCGAGCAATACACTGTAGATGAAAATCAACAATTGGAGGGTTCGGGTTGAAGGCCAAGATGTGGATGGGCATCGTGGCGGTCATCTCATCCCAAGACCCCTTTCTCTGAAAGCGAAGGGTGGCCTCGATGTAATACTCGATGAAGCCCTCTCTACTGCCCCAGCCGCTGTAGAAGGAGGCTGGAAGTGGTTGGTCGCCAACGTACGCAGGATCTATTGGTATAAAGGATTGCTTTGCATCGTACTGCTGGGGGAAAAGGCGTGCGTCGATGTTCTGAGGTATCTGAAGTGCAAAGGGCCACTCTTGCTGATTGGGATTGCCTTCTGGGATATGCACAGGGCCAGCGAAAACACTCTGAGTTTGGTGGAGAAGCGTGAAGCGGCCGCGATATGTGTGACGATTGTCGCCTCTCTTCACGACCATTTTGGATTTGGTTCGCCCATGAAACGCGAGATCAATCCGAGCTTCAGCGGAGACTATGGGCGCCCTTCGGTGAATCTTTCCAATGATGGTATCTCCAGGATAGAAGGCGGTTCCCTGGCCCTCAAGCTCAATGCCCAGGGCTGGGTAGGATTTGCGCGGCGTAGGTGCCATGGTGGCGGTCGCTGCTCAATTGCCCCGGTAGTTCTGAGTTCTGAGAAAGATCTGGGTTTAAAAGATAAGCAGATGGGCGGGTGTGATTTGAAGGAGGCAGTATCTCGACTCTAGACGGTGTCGTATAGATAGACGGAGACATGTGCCAAGCCTCGGGATCTGCCACTTCAGCCGCTAAAAATAACACTTTTAGTGGCGCAGTGAGCACCCTAAACTGGCAACCTCCTTCCAAAGCACCTAAAATATGTACCCAAGCTATATGTACTCTGCACTTCTTACATACAGTTAGTTGGCCGGTAGATTACCTGTTCGAAAGGTACCTGCAATAACTATACTGTGATTGATTATTTTGTGTAGAAGGAACACTAAAGTTGTAGAAAAAGGAAATAGTTTGATACGTGATGGACTAATGAGAGTTTAAAACAGACAACCGTTGTTATATAAATGTTCTACATTACGATGCCACTTGTATTCCCTGGACCTAATGGTCGAGTTCAATTAGGTATCGCCTTGACAATTAGTGATGAGGATCTTGGATTGGGGGTAACACAACCACCACACCATTGATTTGCGAGTTGAAAATGCAAGCTACTCACCACATCAAAATCAAACAACATTCTAGAATAGCCATGAAGAGGGGGTTATGATTTGTGCGTGTATTCTTTTTTGATTAAATAGTTCACGCTTCTGTCTAGTTAATTGACCTATCGTAGTGGCCGTAATTCGTGGAATGAGGCATCTTCAAGAAGGGGATTTCAATAGAAACTATGAAATGAGGAAAACATGTGGTTTTTCTACAGATATTGAACCGAGCTAATTATCCCAGCCTAACCCGATATGTGGTGGACCCTTGGCTGGTAAATCTTGTCAGTATCATTGACAGTTTGAGACCAAAGTCAAGGAGAGTTCCATGATAGAAGTCAACAACTAAGGAGGGCATCGACGTACAGTTTCCCAAAAAGTATGATCCCTCACAATTCTTCCAGAAGTCTCAGAATGGGGGCTTCTTGCTATGCATTGCTTAGGTGCCGCGGAGAAGCAGACATAATAAGCATACCGACGATATATCATGGATCTCCCATAAACACCGTAGGTAGTCACAGTTGCTCTTTTCTGAAAATAGATGAAGCTATAGCTACGCTTTCAGATTAAAACATACTCTCAGGACTTATATAGAACTAACTCTTGATTTTAATTCTCGTATTCGATACATACGAATTATTAATCGTTTTCTACTGACACATGCATCACCATGGTACATCTATACTACACTCTGCCATCGACGGAGCCAGCTAAGCACTCACCCATATCCTATCGCTCCCCTATGAAAAGATATAGGCCCAGTCTCAAATTACGGGACGACCCCGTGGGTCTGCTCAACCTTGTGAATGACACCTACCAGATGAAAGGCTGGAGTGTGCCAAGTGGGTGACTTAAAGGGTGATATAAAGGGTGACTTGAAATGTAGCACACCTAAGCCATAATGTTGAATGCTGAGTGCGGTTGCTACAGTTAGTCAAAGAACAATACGTTTATGGCTTACGTCGCAAGAAGCCCAGAGCGGCGTATCCGGATGTGTTGTTGTTTCCTGACTCTGGGCGTTGACACGAGTGGTGGAGGGGACATTCAGTCATTCGTCTGTGAGTATATTCATAACATGTCACGATGTCAAGAAAGTGGTCGGGGTCCATCCCAAAAGCCCGATTTAGCTTCTACGAGCCGATCATGCTGGTAGTTGGATCTGTGCAAGCCGATTTGCTGATTGCACCGAAGCATCTCACAATATTCTTTTCCAACCTCTCCAGCAAGATCGAAAAGTATTTCTTCACAAACCCCTGGCCGAAAAGACAACCTACCTCATACGTAACATGAATCACCTCAACTGCAACCCACATGATTCAACATAATCCGCCAGCTCTCTGCATCCGCTCGCTCCTTGAGCCATTCTACTCTTGAACTAATCTACTTTTCCACCCATTGGAAGATGGCCATGATTGTGGTGTAGACCATGGCGACCAGGCCAACAACCATTAACACGATATCCAAAATCTTGCTCAACCGCGTTGTAGCCGCGCCCTTGTAATGCAAGTATGCGGGATAAATGTAGACCAGGGGAACGCAGGCAAAACTGCCAATCAACGAAACGAACTTGTCCAGATCCGTAGCTCCGAGTATACTGACACCCACGCAGGCGACCATGGCCAACGTCCTCAGGCCGTTCTTCTGCCACTTGACGGCGGCGCTCTTGGCACCCGACGCCCGTTCTCCAAAGAGCGATGTTTCCAAGATTCGCACGGCCGGGAAGAGCTGCACTGGCTCGCCCGCAAGCACGGCTAAGGAATATAGGAACTGGACGACGTTGACGAGTGGCGAGTTTTGTGGGAAGTTGGAAATGATCTGGATCTTGGTGTGTTTTCCAAATGTCGCATAGCAGAGAGCGCCGACAGATGTGAAGATGATGGTGATGAGAAACATGACAAAGTATAGGAGAGGCCCAAAGTGCTGAGGCTTCTTCATGCTGGACTGGATGGGCAAAATGAGGCCAATGCCCTCAAATGTGAAGATGGCAGAGCCAATGGTCAATGTCCAGCTTCCAGAGTTGAACAAATGAACGGAAGGGTCCATCCCTCTCGTGGACAGGGCGGCGACGTCGTAGTACCAGATGTAGACGAGGCCCACCAAGATGAACACATCTGCTATGAGTGCGACGAGGCCCAGCTTGGAAATGTGACGGATTAGGGCCAGGGGGATCAGTGGGATGAGTTGCAGGGCAATCAGGGCCGAGACACCGAACACAACGTTCTGGCGGCCACCCGTGATGGCGCCAAAGAACGAGAAGAGATTTTCCGCCGTGAAGATCAGACCGGCGCAGACAAAGCCTAGCTGGGACAGAGCAATCGATGCAAGGATGAGCTTGCGAAATCGTGGCCCGACGATGGCTGCACCAAGCTCACCGTAACCGCCTCCGTACTTCTCTCTACAGTCAAGCAAAAGGCGGAAGCAGAAGCAGTTGATAAGCGAAATAAGGATCAGTGTGAGAGACGAGAAGAGAATGCCTCCGTTTAGGAATGCCTTGGGCAAGAACATGATGCCGGTTCCAATGAAGGCTTTCAGCAGCGTGAAAAAGGTCTTCAGTGTGCTCGCATCACCTTCTCTGGACCTTCGATGCGACTGTCGCCTGCTCCCTCTCGGTCTCGGCAGCAGCGGCCGATTCTCATCTGGTTCCTCCTGTTCATCGAGCGCAGAGTCTTCCTCGGTATCGGTATCTTCTAGGTCCTCGCCAGCGAAGCTGCCATAGAGGTCCAAGAAATCGACGAACGTGTTGGTTATGACAAGCGGTCCGCTCTCGTGTCTCTTACGGGCATTGTTGCGTACGTAGTGACGCCTAAATCCTCCAAGCTCACGTTGTTCAGGGTATGACAAGTCGTCTTCTGCCTGGAGACTTGGGGAAGGCTGGTAAGAAAACGTATTCGCTCGACGAATGGAGCTCGCACGGGCCGTGATTCGAAACAGGTCTCGGTGAATATCGCCTCCCTGAAGCTTTAGAGAAGATTCGAGAGTATCGGGGCTTTGGGTACGAAATGTGCCGTCGATCTGGCTCAAGGGGTTTCCGAGAGATGAAGAGGACGGGGGGTCCAGACCGTTCGCTAGAGACTCAGACGTCTCTCCCGAAGACTCACCTGGCTCTGCCTTCGCAACCAATGCGGAACTGGGAGGGCTGGAAGCCACGGGGTGGCCCTGGTTCTGGGGAGGAAAAGCGTTGTTGCGAGGCGCAGAGCCTGATAATGACGTCGTGGAATCTTGAATACCCAGACTGACTTCTGGATCGGCTGAGTACCCTTCGGGCAAATGGCGTTCCAGGATGGTAGCCGCCCGTCTGGTGGCCTCCTCGCTGTCGATTTCTGGGGTAAAGTCGGCCATGGTCAGCTAATGGCTCGCTCGGAGAGGTGGTTGCTGCTGTTAGAAGACCGAATGAAGAGTCTGCAGGGTGAAGGTCGCGATGTTTTGACGATACAAGCGATCTCTGGCCATCACATAGACGACGATCCGAATCAGCGGCCAAGGCTCAATGGGGGGCGGAAGGATCAATCACTGTGGACAAACGGGCACGAAGGAGAAAACTTCAATGGCTTCATTGCAGGCTGCCCTTGCTTGCACCTATTTATTTAGTAACATGTTCAGGCTCAAGCCAATCGGCGGTGTTTCAATCCGCCAACCGATTACCTAATGTAACCTTATGACATAATTGGACCTCTCGCCGGTCACGGAGCAATCACGTGGGTGAGGGGAGCGGCCATTGGGTTTGGCTAATGACGAGACCATGCATTGGCCTGGTGGTACAGTGTGCTCTGACCATGGCAGGCAGAATGGTGACGATGGATGAACGAAAATGATCGGATAAAGAAAAGACCTGGCAAACGTGGGATGAACGTGGTGGCCAGGAGCTGCCTTTGTTCTGCTTGAAATCCCTCCTACCCTAGATCAACACGCATTCAACACGACATCTTTGTCCACAGATTCATGGATCACTGCGCACAGTACGTGTGTCTCATGCTCGATGAAGGCTATTGCACTTGACAGAGATCCTGTTTTTCGCGGGGCTATGGCTTGCCTTTATTTCGCTAGCTTTGTAGGTGTTGTTGGTCATTTGACCAATTCCAAGCTTCATCCAGGAAACTAACCCCTAGAGGTAGCGGCCTGACAGCTTGGGCCTCAACACCCTCAGATGACGTGCGCATTCCTTTCTGATGTCTTCTTTCCGGAACGAGTGGCCGTAAAGTTCTCAGCAATCTTACCGAACATCAGAGGGTGTGGGTTGTCAAGACTAGGATTGTCAACGGCCAATGTGCCAATATCTGGTGCATTACAGAACCTCCATGGCTTCCAACCGCACCCAGTCCAGTGCACAGCCGTCATTACTTGCGTCCTACAATTTCCCTATGACCAATTCGAATAATTGGCTTCTTTATTTCAAGGTCAAATGATGCCCAACTGCGGATAGGCGTGAATTCTATTAGACAGTCGCTGAGTCTAAGTCAGTTGCTACAGTTCTTCACTTGGCTGCAACCAGGTGAGGAAAGGAAGAAGCTCAAGCTAGACGTATGAGAAAAAGAGATAATATCGACTTCACCTGTTCCTGGTTTAAATCCAGCTTGCGATGTCAACCGAAAATGGAATAATGGCAGCGTTCTGGATAGTGTACTGAGATCGACAAGGGCGAAACTTTATGCTATCAGAAATCCCTCGTTTTCAAAGTTCAACATTTGATATATGATGAGGATAGGATCTGTAAGCTGACCAGTCATCGTGAGGGTTGACTAGCACTGCTCGAACTGGGACTGGACTGCGCACACCAAGGGTAAAGCTATAGTAAAGGATCTAGCAGAGCATGACACATGTTTCATTCCTCCGAATTTAATACGGAAGAGGAAAGAAGCATAACATGGGAATTAGTTAGTGAAGAGCCTTGTCAAAGCTAATTTGGACATTTGCACGACTGGCATGTGGAAGGAAGAAGAGATTTACACAGTACAGATAGAATCAATTTCCATGACATTGATTTATTAGCGTCCATCATGCCGATGCATCCTGAATGTTTCCTGAATGATGTAGGCTCTCGAATATTCTGAAGGACTAGATAGTACTTGCCTACTGTCCTTCGCGTGATGTAGAGAAAAAAGACGATGGCGTGCGGCTCGACTCATGGGGCGGCAAGACGTGATCTGGGGTTAAGAGATCTGAGACATTGAGAACTGAAACATGAAAGAAGCTACTTTTTGGCAACTCAGTTTTCAGTGGCCACATTAGTCCTTCGGCTAGTTATTTACCTTTCATTTTAGGAGAGGAATTTCTAGATGCGGTGATGGGAGTTCACGATCATGAGATTAAGTTCATGCTATTTTTGCTACCCGTGGGAAAAGAGACGTGCCAGTGCATTCCTGCGCTAGATTTCTTGTCATGGCCCACCTGACGCGTGGAATGAAGCTATCAAGCTTATATCCAATTCCGGAAATCTAGATTGCCACCCGACTGCCGATATCTCAACACATGGCAGTTCTGGTATATAGATGATGACACTCCACGATCACGGCAACTATGTTCTTTGGGACGTTCTCTTCTCTTTGATTCATTCCTCTAGTTATAAGCAGCGTATTGCTGTCTCTCCCCGGCTGCTTCAAGCTCACGATCGCTCGTGTATCCTTGGTTCAAGATGCAACTCACATCATGGGTCATTGCCACCGGCCTACTCGCTTTGACTCAGCGGGTGGCGGCTATGCTCCCAGCATTTGATGCGCCCGCTGACTTCGGATGCCCCAACGATCCCTGCAGCTCTGGCAAGGTATGCCGCGTCCAAATCACCAGCGGCAAGACGGCCCCGATCATGGTTTGCGTGCCGGACGGGACTCCTCCTGGAACATGGCCCGACGGAACGACACCTCTCCCGGTTGACTCCTCCACCTCCGTCTCCCCGTCTTCATCCGCAAGCTCATCTGCTGAGAGTTCATCAACCGAGAGTTCATCTGCTGAGAGTACATCAACCGAGAGCTCTGAATCGGCTTCTTCAACGGAGAAATCCTCTTCCAGCAAACCTTCCGGTGCTGCCAAGGCATTTCCTTCCTCCAATACCCCTTTGCCCGAAGCAACTCCTGACGAGTTGTCAGAGGAAGTTGCCTCGAGTTCTGCTAGTTCGTCCGGAAAAAGCTCGACCAAGACAAGCTCGACTGCGGAAGCGTCTAGCACCGAAGCTTCAAGCACCGAGGCGTCTAGCACGGAGACGTCTACCACGGAAGCCACCAGTACTGAGGCCTCCAGCACGAAAACCTCCAGCGCGGAAACCTCCAGCACGGAAACCTCCAGCACGGAAACCTCCAGTGATGAAAGCTCCAGTGATGAAAGCTCCACGTTGACGAGCTCTTCATCTACTCGTTCGACGGCGAAACCAAGTTCCACCAAAAAGTGAATAGTCTGAATAGTTTTGGGGCTATCACGGGATTGTTGGGAGAGACTCGTGGATTACACAGGCATTGACCTAAGTGTGCCCGCAGCACCTCCGACGGGGAAGAGCTTGACGATCCTTACATTTATATTTACCATATTATATATCAGTAATGTTTAGTACAAGAAAATCATCATCGTTAACATGTATTTTTACTATCATTACTATGCATGTGTGGGTAGATTAAATAAAATGGAAAACATTAGCCGACTGTCCGTAGACTGGCTTATTTTCCCTAATACACAATCGATTCAGTTCGTTGCTAGATGATTTTTTTTGTTTCTATTTCGTGACCTCAATGAAAACTGTCAATTATAGCTTTTTTTGGGCAACATGAGTTGCACGATCCTGCCTTGAGGTCAAAATTAACCCGAAATTTGGATCTGACGGGGTTTAGGACCACTTGAAACCGCCCAGAGCGTAAAACTCAAATACTTCCGTGTGTTTACGTATTCACGGTAACCAACACATCCAAGTTGGGTGACACCGGCTTGGTTGCCAGAAGCAATCTTGCTCCGAGAATGCCGGACCACTGAACCAAGCCAGAGGGAAGAACAACGTGATATTAGGCTCCTGTATTTGACCTGATGATACCTCGGAATCTAGGGAATTACCGGCTACCGATGGGTAGCATTGGTTCCTCTGGGCAGTGACATCTGGGTACTGTAGCGTGGCGATGTGGCTGTGTCACGTCGCGGGCCGCCTCACCAGCCACAATCACTTACGTCTGGGTTCAAGAGAGTAGGAAATACCTATTTACATAATAATAAAACTATCACATGTCGCTATTGATGACTGGCCGATCGATCGCTTGATTCACCGGCCTGTAATTGATTGATTGACAGGTTGGCGGGCAATGGGGTGAGCGGACGGGTCGGGTGTCGATCGCATGATCGTTCTCAAACAAGCTACTGTTTGGGCTCGTGGTGATCGTCATCTCAAGGATACCGCCACAGAGTGCGCCCTTGATTCAGGACAATGCGGAAGGCCAAAGATGCCACGCTGGTATCGGCCAGCCATTACGCCGCTGATCGGCTCGTAATTCGTCGGCGCAGTCATCGCTCTAACCAAGAGAGGCAGGCATATATCCCAAGCATTGGCATTACCGGCTGCCTGACTTCCCCAGCGATCATTTCCTCCGCCACCAGAAAGTACTCGCTGTTTCTGGTAGGTCCCGGACGCACGCAGGGTCTACGAGCGTACCAAAAAAGCAGCTCCTGACCCAAATGCGGTTCTTTTGTCCTGCGGTTCACGTCACCATCAATAAGACCCTCTAGGCTACCCTTTTTTGAAGATATTACTTATACCCGCTCACATCTTATTGGGGGCCTTCGCTTTCTACATTTCAATCACCACCACTTACAATACTTCACTTAAAATACGATATCTTACAAGTCCAGTCGACTGAAACACGATCAAGATGATGCCAAAGACCGCTTTTACCGTTCTCGCCCTTGCCACTCTAGGCTCGGCTGCCAGCATCCTCCCCATCAAGGTTGACCAACCCAACACCCCTCAACCACGAAACCCAGAATTGGTTAACTCGCGAGATCTCGAGACCAACGATGTGCGCCCCGATCCCCGTGGCCTGATCCAGGTTCAGGAGTGCACTGTCACCGGGTGCGATAAGAACGACAAGAGAAGCAGCAACAGCGATAGGACCAGGCCGTTCCACTTCTCCAGCAATCTCGGTGATAGGAATGCCGAAGCTCAAGAGGCAGGAAAGAATGGCGACTTTGCCTCGAGAGGATTCCAGGCCCAAGAATGTGGCATTACTGGCTGTCTCGAGAAGGTCCGGGATGAAGCCCGCCAGCTTGAGGACTACTATCGCGAGAAGAGGCAGGAATAAGCTTTTATTGGAATACCCGAGTCCAACACACTAAGAAATAATCTCACGTTCTTTCGTATATTTATCCTTTGGCTCAAACCAGAATGGCACATAACTACCTACATATCAGTGTTAGCTGGCCTCGATCGAGGTGCCAGCTGGCCTTGCTTAACGCTCTCCACGACTAGCTAGAAACGAGAAATTAAATTGAATATTTTTGTCAAGAGAATCAATCTGCTAGTGACCTCTCTCATTAGATAAAGAAGAAAGGTCTAGTCTTTCCCTCCACGTGTTCCTGATCAAGTAAATATAATAGGTGTAAAAATCTAAGCACATGAATGAATTTATAAGATAATTCAGATCGATTTTTGTCAAAATATGGAATACATATTATGTTATGGTAAGCTAGTAGTGATCGGAGAAAGCATCACGAACACAGCGACTGCAGTATCCTATTTGAATATGATGTTATCTGCCCTCTCATGCATCAAGCCAGGCATTTACACATCCCACTGTGCTTATCCCACTCGGCAATGCCACGGTCTACCCTTGTCACTTGAAAGTTGCACTGTAGCTGTCCTTTGTGTTTGGATCCTATTGTATGAGCAATCGCCATTGATTTTTGCGTTGATTTAGGTAGCTAGCTTCGTTTCCTCCAGGCGCTTGTTTCAAACCATGGTTCATTGCATATTACCAAGCACCAATTGATCCATTGTCCGAAAAAAGCACGCCCTCGGTCTTATCAACGACGACGCTTACAAATTAGACGTTATTGCCGGGCCATCTCGGTGAGCGAAGGCCGAACGGACAACGCATTAACAATATTATATATATCCATCAACTCAAACATATAAAACAAGGAAGATCTTTGAGTGGAAGATTTGGTTTGCCACAGAGCTCACCAATTTTTCGAGACTCATAACAAACAGCACAACTCCACACAACCAATATGGCGCAATTCAACCCCGATGATTTTTCAAGATATTCCAATTTCAATATACACACCACCACCTATAAGACAGTCTCTGAACACCCAATAGATTGCCATGTCTTGATACCAAAGACCATAAGTTCCGCCGCGAAGAACTCATCTGAACCTCGGCCTGTCATCTTACGCTTCCATGGCGGTGGTCTCGTCGGCGCGTCCGGTCTCTTCCCGGATTTCTTCGCGCCCTGGCTCTTGGAACTGGCATCTCGCAACTCCGCTGTCATCGTCTCGCCCGACTATCGAATGATCCCAGAGTCCTCCATCGACGACCTCATCGAAGACGTCGAGGATTCTCTGAAGTGGACCCTGGCAGAGCTGCCAGGTTTTGTACGGGGGAAGACCGACGGGAAAGTGGACGTCAATACATCCCGGCTTCTGGCCGCGGGTGAGAGTGCTGGGGGATACCTCAGTCTCCTTACAGCACTGAACCATCCCGAACAGATACGATCTGTTACGGCTGCCTACCCAATGGTTGACCTCCTGTCTCCCTATTTCACAGAGGATTACGACAAGCCGATTTTCGGCATGCCACAGATTCCATACAGCCTTATTGAGGAGCATCTGAAGAAGGTCAAGCAGGGCGAAGCGCCGTCAATTGTCTCCAGTGATCCCAAGTTTGAGAGAGCGCAGCTCATGTTCTGTCTGTTTCAGCGCGGAGGTTTGAAAGATTTCTTTACTGAAAAGAATCCGGAGTTCCAGATTCTAGAGAAGCTCAAGGGTGGTGCCAGATTCCCCAAGGGCGGTGTTTTTGTCTACCACGGGAAAACTGATTCTCTCGTTCCTGCAGAGGGGAGCACTAAGCTTGCAGAGCTGTTGCGTGAATTGGATCCGAAATCGAAATTTCACCTTGAGTTCCGGGACGGAGAACATGGCTTCGATGGGGATGCTTCTCTGGATGACGAATGGATAGCGAATGGCGTGAAGGATGTCACTGCAGCTTGGCTAGCTTAGACGATTGTGTGGAATAGATGAAAATAAATCCTTATAGATTTTTGTTGTGGGAACCTATTGAACAATGCTGCTTCTAGCTTAAACGAGTAAATGTAAGATGGCTTCGGTGATCGGATGAGTTACTCTGCTTCAATGTAGAGCGGCACAGGTGAAGCTCAATGAAGTTACCAAGACTAAATAATGACTTCTTCTCATTGTTAGCGTAAGCGTAAAACTCTTAAGCCAATTTACCACATGCTTGACAATGCTCTCGAACTTCCTTGACTTGGACACTTCGTTCACATAAGAACGAAAATTAGGCAAGAGCTGTAATGCTGACGACCACAAATTCGGATTTTTTAAATAAAAGGAAACCTCAGGATAAGTTGAAAAGATATTTGATCATCTGTTTAGCCTATGTGATGATCGGTGCACGTGGGCTTGGCCAGGCTTGGCAGTGTTAGCACTGGGCAAGCCTCTGTGTGAAAGTAGATGTGTCTTTGGATCAAAACAGGCTATTCGTTATCTACTTGCTGAAATGAGGTCATTCAAATGGAAATATAAAATCTGCAGATGATAAGTGAATAGGAAAGTGGTGCAGGGGTGGTCCAAGAGGATTGGATCTTCCGGGGGTAGTACCATCAAGTCCCTAAAATTCAATAGTCTCACCCTACTCAACTAGAATAGATCCTACACACACATAATCTACTCACAGGGACAAAAGGGAGACCACTTCAATTGGTACAATGCCGCAAACCCTCATAAGCTCCAACCAGGACCTGGGAATTGCGCTTGATGGGGGTCGGACAGCCTTTCGCCCTGGGGAGGTCGTGGTTGGGCGCGTGTATCGAAGCACACCAATTCTCAGCCCTGCCGCAACCCTGATCATCTCGCTTCACGGCCGTGCAAAGGCAAAGGCTGTGGAGAAAAAGGGCACCAGAATCGAGTATCGCTCTCGAGTAGACCTGATTAGCAGCGAAAAGTCGCTCCAAACCCTCTCCAGCGGCCCCCTCCACATCGCTCTCGGCGAGGCTGGTGATGCCAAGCAATGGAACTTCGAAATGAGGATCCCAACACATGTCGACCCTGATGCCGTCAAGTCAGAGGCTCTAAAACAAGGGCTGTACACGCCAACAGGAGACGAGTCTATTTTCCAACAGACCTTGCCGGCAAGTTTCTATGTCCAGTCACTCAGAAATGAGGCATTTGTCGAGTACTACTTGGAGGCGAATCTAGAGGCCCGGCGTCAAGACTCTAGTCTGAGTTGGACGGCGAGATTACCTATTCAGGTCCATGAATTTAGGCCCGGGCGGCCCCTGATGGATAATCAATTAGCCATCAAAGCAGTCCCGCTCTCAATTCGGTCACAACGCCTTCTACCCAATATGGAAGATTGCCAGCTTACTGCTTCGCAGAAATTCCAGAAGCTGATCAACGCATCATCGATCCCCGCGTTATGCTTTGAATTGGAAGTCACACTCCCTACCATCCTTCAGATAGGAAGAAAGCCAGTCCCATTCCAATTGAGAGTGGTTCCAGACATGGAAAAGTCGAGTGAAGTGCTCCATGGCGTTCCACAGACGATCACTTTGGCGAGTATGAGGGTGGAATTGGAGAGTTTGTATCAAGTTCAGTGTCGAGGGATGTTCAATAATATTGCGGCAGCTTGGACAACTGAAACGGATCTGATGGGTGGAAGATATCTATTCCATCGTTCTGATACTTATGAGATCCCTTATTCGGAGGAGCAGCCTATTGATTTGGGAGAGAAGGTCCGGCTTCGGGTCTTGAACGGGCGAGGGCCCAGCACGGAAGACAATTACATCACACCGGACATTGTGGCACCCAACATGCGCCTGACGCATCGTTTGAAATGGGAAGTCAAGTTCGAGATAGCAAGGGAAACAATGCGGGCGAGCGGTTCAAAAACAGTCCGGCTGTTGCCACCAAATGAGCAAGGCGGAGAGGAATACGCCAATCCCCCGCCGGAAACTGATCAACAAGACGAATGGATAAAACCTCCTCACGAAACGGACCTAGATGATCACCTAGTATTCATGTAGATGAGAATGGAAGCGCTGTTGGTTGTGGAAAAATAATTATCGAGAAGTTTCAATGTACTTGGGGGATGATATTCAACTGATAGGAAGCAAACGGTGAAGGCCTGAGGAAAGAGAATTCTCCGCAGCAATCATACTGCCATTGCCTGTAAAAATTCATGGGCGATTGCTTCTATTGTTTGTTTAATATTATGAAACACTTGGCGCTGTGCTTGGCGGGCTATCACTCTTGGCACCGATTTTCTGCTTGTTGCTCCGTGTTGGATTGGTTTAGTTTCATAGAGACAGAGGGAGAATGCTTGATTGACCAAGGCTCTTCTAGAACAAGGCTTACCTGGATAATTTGGAATTCGCGGCAGTTCTTTGGCGGGAAAATCCGTCCAGCGCAACCTCGCCTGGGCCGTGCCCCTGGACAAATCGCACAGCGTAACATTTGCCTCCAGCTGCCAAGTTTCTGGGCATCTGCTCATCTCCCCTAAATTCTCTCCCCTCGCCCAGGACGATTTCTTTCCAACCTCAATCGCCCCTCTGCCGGAGGTGCCCAACCAGGGCCGCATGTACATACGATGCGGTATTTCCCGACGAAGCTGTCAACCGCCGGATTCGTGCTCACGGGTCTCGCGATCCTGCTGGCCATTGTAAATGCCGCCTGCGCCCTCTGTGGACTCGGCAAAGGGGGACGGAATGGCTACAAGAGCACTCACTGGGTGCGTGCATCCGCTCTCCTGGCCATCATGTTAGTGCTCCTCTTCCACCTTTAACTGCCTACAACCAAATGCTAATAGTCGTCTTAAATTCCAGCTATCTGGCCTTTTTCTTAGGCAGAGACGTTCGCCCCCAGCTCCAACTACCCTTGCACGCTCTTGGGGGCGACGAGACTTTTGCTCAGCTCGCTGCATTTGCGAACCTGTTTGGCTACCTTGTTTCCGCAACAATTCTGCAGACCCAGTTCAGGCTGGCCTTTGATTTATTCTCCATACGCGACAAGTTTGCCCATCAAGTTGCTGCTGCCTTTTTCTTCCTCTCGCTGGCGTTGAGTCTTTCTTGCTTTATTTCCACTCAAGTCTGGGAACACGTCAGGTCTTCCAGTGACGTCCCTGGCTTGCATCCATCGGCGTATGCCAACAACGTCTTGGAATTTCTGTTGAGCTTTGTGCTTTTTCTGGCATCGGTGACTACGGTCATACCCAACACAAGAGGCGGGCCGAGAGCGACCGGTGCTAATGATACGGTGAGTTGTCTCAAGCCATCGGTTCGAAACACAACAGCTAACGCCCCATACGGGCATCCGATTTCCTGCTCGCAGCGAATATCTTGACTCTCATACGGCAAACATGGACGGTCATCACCGATGGCATGGATGACATTCCCGTACTGATCGATAAACCGCACCCAAGATATCCGCCGTATTTCTTCCTCATCTCGATGATCTTTGATGTCTGGATCATGGCCATCGTCGTAACGCTTCTCTTCTTTAGTGCCAGGTTTGGACTAAGAGGGCGTGAGCAGATCGAGGAACGGCGGCCAGTGTCTTTAGAACGGTATTCGGAGACCAGGGAGCATTTGGGGTAGCATCCTAGCCTGTGAAAAGAGGCGGAAATGAATATTAAATAATGGAACTATACAATGTGATGTGCAGACTGCCGTGATCGAGCCAGAACCGACATCTTCTTTTCCTATTTTTTCTATGAAAGGACTAGCTGATATCGTGCCTTAGTGTAATTGAGAGTAGCATTCTGATTCTTGTGAGTTGTGCGCCGGCCTTTCATCTCTTTTGGAGCTGACGGACTGGCGGCCCCAACCCAAGTAATTGGTGCACCAACGTTTGCGTACCAAGTCTAGGCATTTCAACCCGTTCATTGAAGCGTCCTGGGGACTTTCACATGAATGGAGGGATCAAAGTCACTACACACAATTATGTTGAACTTGAAGAGATGCTGGGGCTCCATAAGCTTAGGCCTGTGGTTCGTGTATCGGTGAAGAGAGGGTCTCAACTATAGGCTAGGCAATGTCCACGACATGATGAATGAGCAAGATTGAAAACTCGCCACATAATGCCGTGATGAGAGACCCAAATTTTCATTCTCTGCACCGTTGTTACTCTTTATCTTTCCATAAACTACTTCCCTCCCAACTGCACATCTGAGGTCAGTCGTTTGTAGGTGGATATCCGAAGGGGGAAGAAAAGTGTGCAACATCTCTTGCCCTGGCTATTGATTTATGCATGAAAAAGGAATGCAACTTTCATAGAATTCAGATAATGAATCCTTCGTTCTCCGTCAACATCTAGAGAATTGACCAAGTCAGGGGCCAGCTTCAGGCTCCGATCGAAGTGGAGATGAAGCGGCGCCGCTAGCGGTCCATCGCCGACACTTGCATGAGTGTGTCTTCTGTGAGTGGTATTGTAATCGGGGAGTTAGGAATTAACCATGGTTCTGATTAGAAATATTCTCATCCACCAGGGAGTTGAATTGGCTATAAATTCTTTCGAGTTAGGCAACCGATCGATACTTGGATCTCGTAGATCAATATACCTAATCAACACGGATTCAACTAGTTCTGAATATCCGACAACAAATGCAATGTCTCCTCCCTCAGCATTCAAATACCTGAACAAGCTTCAAGGTCAACGTGTCCTTGTACTCGGTGGATCGAGTGGCATCGGATTCGCCGTGGCCGAGGCAGCAGTTGAACATGGTGCCAAGGTTATCATCAGCAGCTCCAACCCAGCTAGGGTGCAGAACGCCATTGGAAGGCTCCAAAAACATGCACAGGCTACACAAAATGCGCCTGATAGCATCCGTGGAAAAGCCTGTGATGTGTCAAACGCCGATACCGTGGAAAGGAACTTGATCGAACTCTTGGAATTCTCTATAGCCGAAGGAAAGCTCGACCACGTCATCTACACAGCGGGAAATGGCATTTCCATCCCTATCCTTGCGAACACCAGCCTTGATGAAATATATGCAGCAAGCATTGTCCGACAACACGCCCCTACCTTGTTGGCAAAGCACCTCCCTAGTTACGTGACCCAGACCAACAACAGCTCCTTTACCCTTACTAGCGGTAGCTATGCTCGGAGACCTGGGCAGAATTGGTCAATCATTGCGGGTATTGGAGCTGCCGTCGAAGGATTAACTCGAGGATTTGCCATTGATATCAAGCCCATTCGCGTTAACGCGGTGAGACTTGGTATTGTGCCTACAGAGTTCTTCGACCACATACCAGAGGAGCAGCGGCAGATTTTCATCGAGGCGTCCACACGGGATAATGTCATGGGGAAGCTTGGAAAGCCGGAGGAAGTAGCCGAAGCCTATTTATACTCGTTGAAGGATACGTTTGCAACAGGCTCGATCATCACTACCAATGGTGGACAACTGATTGGCCGTAGTGATGAGTAGAAAGGGGTTCTGGAGACCTGTTGCCAAACATTACCTAGAGAGAGGAGAGAATCATCACAAGAGCTACATTTTATTCAGAACACCGTGAAATCCCATGCCGTGAAGTTCTTGATTGATTTATGATCAAGCCATTATACCCCATTCTGTCCTCATAGAAGAATCATATCCTCCGTATTCTCTTATGACGGCCACCGATCACAGATGCGGAGCATATCGAGCAATGAACCCGCCTTGGCAGCTCGGGAACGCTCTTCATCCATCGTCATAGAGTGAACAAACGCATCGTAGCACTGCTCCCCCGAACGACCTAGCGATACTTTGAAATGGCGGAAGATGTGGTAAAGAAGGTCAATATCAGCTTTCAGGTTTTGATATTTAGATGACGCAATGGAGGAATTCCCTGACTGTCGGGAAGTCGTATCGTTGGATGATACGATATACTCAATAACTAATATTCGACTACCAGCATATACTAGAGATGCCAGGAAGGCATTATCGGCAAAGTCGGTGGAGGATCTGCACATGTCGCGTAGCCCTGCGACAAGATTCCGGGAGGCAGCAACACAATGAGGCCAATTTTTGGACATTCCACTGGGCTCATCAAGGCTTTCTTTATCAAGAAGAGGTTGATGATGAAGGAAGACGGTGTTGGCTGTCATGATTGCATTGAGCCAGATCACAAGCTTGAAATCCCTGGGGTCGGCAAAAGAAAGGTCTGTAGCCTCTCGAGGTATAAGAAGCCTGAGCCTTATCAGAGATGCGCTCAAAGAGTCCAACACGGAAGTGCCCTTGGTATAGTCGAATTCATTTTGATAAATTTCGCTTCCAATACGTCCAAGGAGCATATATGCCGCTACGATAAATTGGCGAATATTTGTGTTGTTGCCCAGGCGAACTTCTTTCTCTATTGCATCCATGAGCTTGTCGATACTTGGAGTGTAGCCAATAGGCTCAATGTCAGTTGGCTCATCTTCGCTAGAAAAGATGTCGTCGGCCATGGGAAGATTGATATTTAGTTGCTGGTCATCAATGACTAGTGCGAGATCCAACGAGCACAGTCCACGGTCGAAGATGAAGAGCATCCAGAGAGCCCGCCGGCATTCTTCCTTTTGCATCCAGCTGTTTCCAACTTCTAATCTCAATTTCAGTGGCGTAGATCGAAGATTCCCGTCCAATCTTGCGCACCCCGTCACCACCGCAATTCTCCAGGCATCGCCAACTAACAACCATGACGTTGAGTATTCGGTGAATATAATCGCCTGATAGATTACAATAACGGCAGCCTGTAGAGTAGCCAGGACATTTTCTGGGGAATGGAGAGATTTTGAAAGCTCCTCTCTTGCCACGTCATACCAACTGCGCTGCAATTCCCTTATGCCGGGATTGGCGTGTCTCCCAGCTGAAACGGCACAAATTGCGAAAAGAAGCACCTGAGAGCATCCTTCTGGGCCTTTGTCGTTCAATTCTGCTAGAAATCGGCGTTTATGAAGGATTGGGATGTAATCGTATATCCTTTCGAAAAATATGTCAATTAGTTCTCGAAGAACACTTGGTGGTGGCAGTGAGATTGGTTGACGCGAAGGAGAACTCGGAGCTTGTTCTCGAGCTGTCTCGGAATGACCGAAAGCGGAAGGGTTTGTAATTCCAAATATTCCAGATCCAGTGTATTCTGAGGGAGTCTCAATTACTGGAAACTGGATGGGTGTAAGGGGATGTTGAGGTTCAATGTTGGTAGAAATTTGGCCATTTTCGAAGTCTAGATTGAATCCTGGATTGGAACCGCCCAAAAAAGACCATGCTGGAGCAACAAGAGAAATGCTGTAGAGGCATATCTCACCTCTTCGGAGGCACGATGAACAGCAGGGACGCTTGCCCTGGTGTAGTGTTTCAGGTCAATAGAGAGGCCTCCTGGGGAGCTGACCAGACTTACATCGCACTTCTTTTTCCTCGATCTGCAGCCAGTGCAGACATTTTCGGATTTTGCTAGAGGCGGCATCATATCTTTTTGTTTCCTCAACTGTGATGTGTTGATAACATCGTTGGACAGTTCGAGAGAAATGTTAGCGAACTGATTTGTCAGCATATCTCGTGGATTGCCCAACTTTGCGATTCAAATGCATGCCGAATACCTAATAACCTAATTTTGACGTTTGATGAAGCTTATTTATTTCTAGCATTAACTAAAAGTCAATTAATTGGACAGATATCGACGAGTCATAATGGTGGAACGATCGATCAGACAACAGTGAACACACACACACACACAACTATTCGAGCAGGCCGCCCCGGAATTACCGCTCAACTTTGTTTCATGCCATACCCGTGTCTGTGGCAAACTTCTGAACCAAGAAGCTCGAAGCTATCAACTGACTGGATGGTTTGATTAAGGAAGGATTCACCCTGCCTAGCCGGAAAAACCGGATACATCCTGGTGAAGACGGCCCTGGATGGCCCACAGAACGATCGCAGAGGCCAATGGAGAGAGCCGATTAAATGACTGCAAGCGACAGGTCCAAGCGCGAAGTAAGACAATTTGAACAAAACACGCCGGATCCGACTAATTTTGCTGCCCTTGCGCGCGCGTCCTTCGCTTCTCCCGATTGCGGTCATCTAATCTCATTTCTTCAATTCTTATTAATACTTGTATCGACGCTCATTCCCTCCCTTGTCGCCGACGGAAGACACGTTCGTTTTTGTTCAGCTTCGGAGCCCCGTCACACTCGTTTCCTCAATCACATCATTCCACCAACCGCTTCGACAATGTCGAGTTCAATCACCACTTCGCTCCTTGTCAACGGTGTCGGCACTCAGACACTGGTGGCCGAGGTTCTGGGCGCCGACGCGACCGCAACCACCTACTTGCTCAACTGCCCCAGCGGCACCGACAGCAATGACTGCGGCATGTACAATGCTTCGGTCACCGTCGGGCCCTGGGCAAGCCAGACTCTCCCATCGGGCGCCAAGGAAACCGGCAACTTCGACTTCTCCATGTCAATGGATACCTTCCAGTTCTCCCTTCACTGCGAGATGAGCAAGACCGTCGCCCAAAAGTGCACCACTGTCAATATCGGCGGCAACAATGACGACACCCCGACATTGACCATCTCGGCCAGCGAGCTTGAGCAGTATAGCTTCACCTATGTGCCCGTAACCATTACTGCCGGCCAGGAGCTTCTGAGCGCGGCCACTGCCAGCGAGACGACGGCTTCATCTTCAAGCAGCTCGGCCGATGCGAAGGAGACCGGCGCTGCCGCTTCTCGTGCCGTCGGGATCCTCGCAGCCCTTTCTGTGGCTGTCCTTACGACAAGCGCATTGGTACTGTGAAGGGGATAAAATATGCTATTTCGGGATAATTAGATGGTGAGGGATAATGCGCGTGAGCAGTCTACCCAGATTGAATGATGTAGGTGTTTGATCTTGAATACCCGGGACTCCCTCCCTAGGCATGTTTATGGATATAACCCGCCCTATCAAGTTGCTGCTCCAATTTCAAAGACATCGACTCCAAGTTTCGTGTCACTAATATCAAGCCAGAATAAGCTTATGAGACCTATCCCAAAAGTTGCAAGAGTAGAAGTGAATGTAGTTGATATAGCCCGTTGTTGGGAGCAGGTGTTCCATGCTTGCACTTCACATACAAGCTCGAGTCTTGGCCTGACATCATATCTGTGCCCTGGGCATTCTTACAGGAAGAGTGCTACCTACTTGCGTCATTGTGCGTGTTGAGTTGGAGGAGGATATCAACAACCCTCGTGTCTGCGATCCCGAGTGTCCAGGCTATGCATATGAGACATGCTTGGTGCACGACCGAGAAGGAGTGGTCGGCCGAACGAGCCCAGGTTTGCTAGCCATTTGATTCATTGGCATACTCAAGTGGTTTTGCATGATGCAGTAAATAAGAAGGCTTGAAGCGTGGATTCAATGAGACATCACGTGGAAAAGATGTTTTGATATGTCATGTAAATGCACTCCATCGCTGTTCTAAATTTTCTAACATTCTTTTAGTATCATAGCAGTACGCTTTAATGTGATGATCTTGATAACAGTGCTTGTCTGGTTACTGTTATACTGCCCAACCCTCGACAACCTTGGCCAGGGTATTCTCATCTCCTACATTCCCGGGAAAGACTACAAATGGAACACCCCTGTGTCGGCTGGTTTCTTCTTCGCACCTCCAAATCGGAACTCCGGGTGCAGCTTGACCAAGAATCCTAGCTCTTCGCATTCGCAAACCTTTCGTGGCTGCATCCGATGAGGTGATCCCCCCCTTTGCAATGACATATCGTGGGCGGATAGTAATATTTTCCAAAATGCTCACAAGTGCTGCAGCAACTTCCGAGCCAATTTTGAGAGAAGTTAGAGCATCGTCAGTCTTGATCAGCGCTCGCGAAGTCATGACCAAGACGTCCTTTCCGGCCGAAATAAAGTCATTGGCCTGGGTCACTGCGTTCTGAACAACCACTTCGGCGCTCTCCTTTGACTTGATGAGCTCGGGAACTTGGAGCTCAATGACTGCTAGCTTTTCGCCCCTCCTGTCACGCAGAGACTGCAGCTGTGTTGTCGTCTTTGGCACATAAGACCCTGCTAGAATCAACCCACCCGCGGAGGAGTTGCTAGCAAATGAAGACTTCTGGAGATCGTCCAATGTCAATGGCGGAATACCCCTGATCCCGAGTTTTGATGATACGAAGGCAGCAGCCGTTCGATACAAGTAGCGACGGCCTTCAGCCTCGGCCGCCATTAAACCTGAGACGAATACATCCATGTCGGAGTCGGCAACAGCATTGACGATGATCACATCGTCTGATTCACGCGGTCGGCCGAGGAGCTTGCTTTTAACTTGGTCTGGCCCTCCTTGTCGGATATCCTCGAGTGTGATGGATAAAAATGAAGAACTGCTGAATCGCGCGCCACACTTCTCCAGAATATATGCCTTTAGGTCTGAGTTCTTATAGCCGAAGGTAGCATCTTGTGCGAAGGGGGTCTGCGCCGCTGGTACAAGGTCTTCTCCTTCCTGGATGTAGTGGACATCATTAATTGTGAAGCGTCCTCCCTGACGGAAGAATGGTGCCAGTACCCATCCATCGGTCTTGCCTAAAACCTCCTCTACAGCCTCGGGCTCTTCGGGCAAATGCCCACGGAGGGTTGAGTCCCCCCGGAGGACAATTTCGAAGTGCTGATTGGTAAGCTTGGCAGCAAGGTTGATGTTTTCGCAAATGCCTACGATGAGGGGGCGAGCCTCAACAGGAGGGAGAGCACGGCTATTTGTTAGAATGAAGAAACCCCGGGATCCTGTTAGAAGTTGTTCCTTCAAAGTTTCGACATCCCATATGGTAAGAACATCAATATCATGACAAGTCTGTGTTCCTGTGGGATCATCATCAAGAACAACGAGAACCGGAACCTTGCCCTGTGCGACCTCTTTCGCTGTTGAGCTAAGCAGATCAACCTGATATTCCTGGGGAAGTGCTTTGAAAACTTCTGCTGCGGGCTTAACTTCAATGTCTTCGTTGGTGTGTTTGGTTTGTGGCGGCTTTGATGCGCTCTTGCTCACCGATGCGCCAGCCGACTCCCAGAGGCGACAAATACCGGCGTCAGCCTCTTTGGCCCAGCCTCTGGCAGCTCCATCAAGATAAAGTGTATGCGCGGTAGAAGATATTGGTGTGTAGGAAGTAAGTCTCTTGGCCTCTGTTAGAACAATACCGAGATCCTTGACAAAGATGGCCAGCGCAGAGTGTGGAGTCCAGTCCGCGTTGAGCATCTGAGGTACCCTGTTCTCAAACATCCAACTCCAAGCCGGAGACTGGTTGAATAATTCAAAGACAGTCCTGGTATCAAGGCCGAGGCGTGATGCGAATGCCATGGCCTCAGCACTTGCAGCAATATGAACTCCGGCTAACAGCTGGTTGATAAGTTTCACGGACGAAGCAGCGCCGACCCCACCGTTCACCCTGCATATGTTGCTTTCAATTCCTGCCATGGCAAGAAGAGCGCCATGAGTGGCCTGGATCGCTGAGTGATGGCCTGAGCATATGATCTACAGTATGTTAGAGATTTGATGTTATGAGTGGCACGACAAGCTTACCGTCAACTGTCCATTAGCGGCACGTACCACGCCGCCACTCACGGGTGCATCAACCAACCTGATTCCGCGTCCTAAGCCATGGAGTCTCTGCTCTATCTCCTTGGCAAAAGATGGTGGTACTGTTGAACTGAGAACCACTGACGCTCCGTTGGGAAGCGCATCGGCAGCCTTTCCGGATCCGAATAGCACATCTTCAACTTGAGCGGCGTTTTGCACAACAATGACTAGCACCTCCGAGTCCTTGGCAGCTTCCGCCGGAGACGATGCTGCTAGGGCATTGCCACCAGCAGAAACGAATTTCTCGATTGAAGGAGGATAAATGTCATACCCCTTCACGGAGGCAAACCCTCCTCGAACGAGTGATCGAGCCATTCCCTGGCCCATGGCACCTAAGCCAATAACAGCAACATTGGAGACTTCGGAGGATGGTGGCGTTAAGAGAGCAGCGTGAGGATCGTTCGCCGGTACAGGTGCTGGAGAGTTTTGAGATTGTGCTGGGGCAAACAGTCGTACTAAGCCGGCGACGTCTTGATCGCCATACGATTGCGCGGCCCCCGAGAGGCAGATTTGTTCAGCCGTTGATCCCAGAGGTAACGGAAAATGAAGCTCCCTTGCAGCCACAATGGCGGAGCCCTAACTAAAGAGTTAGTGACATCTTTGAATCCACAATACGTGGAATAACTAACCAGGTTTTTGAGCAGAGCACTGAGCGGAGTGCCTGATTCCCACTCTTTTCTCAGCATAAGGGGAACAAGACTCTCGTATACTGTAGATCCACCAGCCGCATTTCGAACGATTTCGTATGCCTCTGTAAAGAGCCCGGCCTTTTGAGCAAGTCCCGTGGCTTCGGCAGCAGTGGCAACGTGAATCCCGATCAATAATTGACTAACTAGAGCCACTTTACTGGCTGAGCCCAGACCGCCAGGAATCACATGCAGCCTGCCGGAAATATCACGAAGAAGGCTTTCTGATGCTGTGAGGGCCTCAGTTGTACCAGATACCCAAATATTGACTGTTTCTTCGGCTGCTGTTTTGCCACCACTGCTGGTATAGTAGTCAACAAGCAGGATGTCTGGCCTGCCTGCCTGAGCAATGCGCTGATAAAGTGTGTCATAGTACTTGTGCGATACTGCGCTTAGAAGAAGTACTGCTTTTTGTGGCAAATCTGGTACTATCAGAATCTGTATAGCTTCAGGTTTTCCAACATGTCACTCACTTTGTAGAATTTTGGATTCTTCTTGGAACAAAACTTCGTCAAGTTGTTGCAAATCATCTGTGGCAAAAATAACGAAACTATTTTTGGCGACTTCTGTGCTCAAAGAGTTATCTTTCGCATTTATTAGTGATACATCATGAGAAGACACCTTCCAATTGGAATTTGCTTCAAGTCTGGAGCTAATCGATGCGATAGCTGCACCAGGGGCAAGAACTCCAACAGAAGTCATGATTTCGCTTTGTGTAGGATTATGGATTAGGCTCCCTCAACACACATCTTGCTTGGCATGTCACGTACAATATCGCTTTTAAGGCACCCCAAACTCGGAAAAGCTCCGAAGCTGGCAACCCACCATCTATTTGCGCCTCAAGATCTCGAACTCGGTCGTGGAGACTATCCCCACCGCACTAGCATTCAAAGCATGATAACGATCCACATATGCACGGAGTGAAGTCCACTCCTCATTACTTATATTGGCAGCCAGTCCATATTGTATGACGGGCTGGGCGGTGTTCCATCCGCGCAACACTTCAGAGTCCTCCTTCGTGTGCAGACGGCCCGAGCTCCGTCCACGGCATTTCACCCGCGCCTGAACCTGTGCCATCAAGGATTCCAGTAGATCTTCACTCATACTCGTACGACCCGCGTGACAAGATGAAACGCGCCCGTTTCCTTGACTCCGAGGACCCACAAGAGCCGGATGAGAGCCGTCAACACCAACCCAAGATCTCACGGAGGATACGTGCCTGTAAGTGACCCCCAGCACTGGTTATCTGAATACATCTCAAACCAAGATTAGGCCAACGATGTCAGAGCCGCAAGGTCAAGTGTGACATTGAGCCTTCTCAGTCTAAATGTGTAAGATGCCTACGTTTCGGGGCGGACTGTGTATTCAACAAAAATCTGCAAGCAGTCCTCGCAGACAGAGATGACTGGAAAGAGGGAGTCGAGTCCCAGCTTCAGTTGCTGCAGACATCTCTGGCAGATGTCCAGAGCCAACTAGCTTCACTGCGGGCATCGCAAGGGTTGGAGTTACCGGTGGCTCGCAGCACACCTAACACAAGCCCCAATCAGAGCCTTCCAACTCCCAATGTAACCGCAATGACCCGAGAGAATTCGCCCGACAACATGAATGATGGTGGGAGCGATGCCGAGGCCAGAGATGATCAGGTGATTGTCGGCGCACCTATGGCTAGTCTCTTCAAGGTTACGAGGCTGAGAAACATACGAAGCGATCCCGGCTCTCACCGGCATGGGCCGGTGACATCCGACCGGGGCCAGCCCATGGATTTTATCGACGAGGACCGAGCTTGCCTAGCTGATGCCGAGAAGCTTTTCACAACCTTCAAGGGGACACTTAACGCATATTTGTGGGGAGGAGTAGTATTGGCCCATGATACTCTGGCCTCTGCCCGCCAGTCGTCGCCACTATTAGTGGCAGCGATCCTCGCCGTGACCGCCCTTCACACACAGGATGAGGGTCAGAGTTTTGACCGTTATTACCCGATACTGTTGGAGATTGCTGGGCAAAGCCTCTTTCAAAGATACCACAACCTCGATGACATCAGGGGTTTGTGCATTGGTGCCTTTTGGCTTTCCGATGTTAGCTGGAAATTGTCAGGTCTTGCTGTGCGCATTGCCACCGAGCTGAATATCCATCAGTCATGCGCAAAGGCACTCAGAGGTGATGCAGCCCATTTTGAGAGGGCCAGGCTCTGGTACGTCTTGTATGTGTGTGATCATCACTTCAGCATCGCCTACGGGCGACCTCCCGTGATCAACGAAGACATGACCATCACAAATCATCAAGCGTTTCTAGACCTGCCAGGAGCTACCAAATCCGACATTCGACTCCATAGCCAGGTGGGAATATTCATGATCCTCAGCCGCGTTGACTTTAGCTTTGGTCCCGATAGATCCAGACTTGTGGCGAACGACGAGTTTGAGTCCATCCGGCGCTATGGTGCGGACATCGACCAGTGGAGGCGAAAATGGGAACAAAGGCTAGGTATGATAACATTTCCCCTGCATTGGATATCGTCCTGTAATAGTCCTAACGAGGTGCTAGACCCCAACCCAGACATTGGAGATTATCCAGCTAAAGGAGTCACCCTCCATTATCACTTCTCTCGGCTGCAATTGTTCGGTGTAAGCCTCAGAGGGCTTAGTCCCGAATCGCACCCAATAATCTCTACAGAGAGGCAAGAGTTCATTAACGTCGCATTGAAAAGTGCTTCCTCGGCCTTGCACCTGATCTTGGAGGACCCAGACATCCGCAAAGCCGTAGTTGGTGTTCCACTATACTTGCTAACTACCATCTCGCATGCGTCCATCTTCTTAATGAAGGTCCATTCCAAGTGGAGATTGGCCAATTTCCAGGTTGGCTTCCATGAAATTGTGCATCTTATCGAGGCAATAGTGGTGTTGCTCGATGACACCAGGGGCTGTTCCAGGCATGTCAACCAGTACATTGCCAATGGGCTCCGCAGCATGCTGGAGAAGTTCCGGAGATGGGAGACGTCGAACGAGATACAGATGCAGACTCCAGCCAACGACAGCAATATGCTTCTAGGCTGGAATGAATCCCGACAAGGATGGGGCACAGAGACGGATTGGGGATTCGGCGGTGCCGGGCTATCAGACCAGTTCGGGTTTGGCTCTGACTACTACCACATGGATCTCTTGGGAATTCTAGGATCCCAAATGCCCGAGTCATGAGCTAGTTCTCCCCTATTTTATCCATCACAATGCATACATGCTTGGCGCTTGTAGAACGAATTGGCCAATCGGTGTGATGACCGCCATATCCAAGGTTCCGCTAACAGGAGAAGGCCTAGATCCTGGTCCGTCTCCACATTGTTATGTTGGAGTAGGTTGGGCAACTGGGGGCGGATCCCCTCAGGGCCGCTTCTCCGCACCTTCTAGACTTTCTGGGGAATCTTCAGACTACAAAAAGGAGGTGTCTCTGTCCCATTTCAAGCTCAACTTCAACTCAGACAGCCAACGTCTCCCTTAAACTCCAGGAGAACACAGCAGTCTGGAGTCAGAAAAATGGCAAACGACAAGGCATCCATCGAACTCAAGGAGGACCTGGAGAACAGGGATCTCAGTTCCATGACTCCTGAACTCGCTGAGGCACTGCGAAACTATGTGCCAGGATCGCCTGAGGAGAAACAACTCCTCCGAAAGATCGACTTTTTCCTCATGCCTATGCTCTGGATCATGTATATCTTAAATTACATCGACCGGACAAACATTGTGAGTGCTCTACAAGAAGCGAGACACAATCATGATACACATGATCTAATTCTTACAGGGAAATGCCATGATCGCGGGAATGGGTGACGATCTAGGGCTCACAGACGAAAGATATGCCTGGGTTCTGTCAATCTTTTTCTTTGGATATCTTATCTGCGAAGTTCCCTCCAACATGATCCTCAGCCGAAGCCGGCCATCCATCTTCCTGCCTGGTATCATGCTGGTCTGGGGTGCCCTCAGCGCTGCCATGGCCAAAGCCGATAGCTACGGCGCAATGCTTGCCTTCCGGTTCATTCTGGGCTGCATTGAGGCTGGCTTCTTCCCCGGCGTTCTATACCTCCTCAGTTGCTGGTACACCAAGAAGGAGCTTGGAAAGCGGTTTGCCATTTTCTACACGGCAGCCGTACTCTCAGGCGCATTCGGAGGCATCTTTGCAGGTGCCGTCACCTCCAAGCTCCACGATGCGCACGGAATTGCTGGGTGGAGATGGCTTTTCATTGTTGAGGGTGTTGCCACTGTTGGGGTCGCAATCATCGCCTTCTTCGTCCTCCTTGACTACCCAAGCACCTCCAAACAGCTCACTCCGGAACAGAGAAACCTGGCTGCTATCCGCATCATCGCCGACGGTATCGACTCCGGGGACCAGAGCACAAGCCGCCTTACCCACTGGCAGGCTTTCCTCGCAGCCGTCTCCGACCCCCGAACATACCTATTCATCGTGCTCTTCATGCTCGATGTTGGCGCCGGAACGATTTCGTACTTCATCCCGACCATTACCGTCACTCTTGGTTACGACAAGACCACTGCTCAGTACATGACTGTTCCCATCTACGCCTCTGCTGCGGTTGTGCTGAACATCGTTGCGTGGTCTTCGGACCGTCAGGTTGAGCGACGATGGCACATCACCGCCGCCCTGGCCCTTGGATGTGCTGGCAGTGTTGTTTGCGCAGCCGTCAGCACACCCATCGTTCGTTACATCATGGTGTGCTTTATTGCTTCGGGTATCTGGACCGCATTGCCTCTTATTCTGTCCTGGACCAGCGGAACAATTAGCCTGCCACCTGAGAAGCGAGCTGTCGTTCTGGCAATGGTCAACGCATTCGGTAATTTTTCGAGCGTATACGGTAGCAGAATTTGGCCCTCGTGGGACAAACCTACATACCATATCGGCTTTGGAGTGACAGCCGGTTTCTTGGGTGTTGGTATGGTTTTGGCAGCAGTGCTTCCAGTGATCTTTAACCTCCTTCCGAACAAAGAAACTGCTACTCATACTGAAGCGGAGGACGAGGAGCGACCATGAGAACAGAATTTGTGTTATGTCATAGTAAATGATTCTACAATTAGCACTGTAACATGGCATTATATGTTAAGCCTTTCCAATTCTGTAAAAGGTTGCCAAGTAATAAAAATATACGCTCTTCCGCCACGAATTTCGCTCGACCACTCTTTGAATGCAGTCACAAGTTTGGGCCTCTAAAATTTTATTTAGATTTCTTTACATAATCGTTAATTGAAACATAAGAGAAACATCTATTTTGTTGAGTTAGCTGCTGCGTGTAGGTTGATTCTTCTTTTGGCCTCGAAGAACCACCACTTATTGGGGACTGCCCATGATGTAACCTAGGTAATCCAAGCACTTAGTACCCTATTCTTCTCTCAAATGGCCATAAATTGGGCGGTCTTCTTTCGAGAGCACAATGAAATGGTAGCCAATCCGCTTAGCCATCTGGAAGTCTGTCTCGCACCATACTTCCTTCTTTCGCCGAGCAGACATCATTTACCTCGCCCCAACGCTAGAAGCGGCCGATTATATTCCATATTTAATCCAAATACGAAAATAAAGCTTATGGTGCTTATTGCTCTCTCATCATCAATCCTATTCTCTAAGCAAGGATACGCACCATTGCTAAGGTCGTATATAAAGAGTTTTTAAACTTTGAACTCAACCACTAGTTATCTGCGCACCGCTTCTCGATTCATTTTCATTTCTGCGGACGATAATGTCAAATAAAATGGAGAGCCTGGATGACGATGACATCAAAAAGATGGAGGGTATTCATATCAGCAAGGGTAAACATAGCGAATATGAGATTGCTAGATTCTCCTTATTACTCTTCCATCCAACGGTAACTCACATACCTACAAATTTGAACTAGGTCATCAGTATAATCCTCTTCCAATGAGAAAAGGAGGGGATGGAGAGAATGGAAGAGAATGAAGACGCGGGGAGCGAGGATGGTGAGGACGAAAGTGAAGAAGGCGCCGTTGAGGAAGAAAACGCGGTATATGCGAAGTACTCACACTTCAAAGAATGGCCACTGCTGGACGTCGGCCTCAAATGCGACATCTGTGATGATCCTATCCTTGGGCCCTATATCCACTACAAGAAATGCAACGATGCCGAGTTCGATATGTGTCAGGGTTGCCTCTTCCACGGATTTGGCTGCAAAGGCAAGGATCACGAGTGGCTCAAAAAGTATCCCAGGCGCTTCTGTAATCCGTGTGGCCAGCTGATCCGGGGCTGGTATTTGCATTGTCCCATTTGCAACGACGGCTATGATATTTGCCAGAGCTGTGGAGAAGAGACATCTGGAACAACCAGCAATGCTTTGATCAGCCAAGCCACGACTACACGTTAATTTACATTCTTCCTCGCCACCATTCATGGATAAGGGGGGTATATTTTGTATTTTAACATTGATTTCAGTTTAGATAAAGTTCAACCCGGATTTGTTGTATTTAGTTCAAACCTACTGAACGTGAAACGGGAGCTCTGACCTTTTCGCACTACGTGATCTACAACCTTGACAGTACATTAGACTGAAAGCGAAAATGGGTGAGCTCTCCCATCTCCTAGAACAATAAATTCTTGATAAGAAAGCTCATAGCTCATAGTTTTGGACTTGGCTGAGCCTGAGTGTTAACGGTAAAGTTGTTGTCTTGGGAAATGATGAATATGCTATAGGGTAGCCAGTAGCTGTCTAACAGAGACTGCAAAGGCACCTCGACAAAATTATTATGGCAGTCAGTCACATATTCATACTTCCTATTGTATAATAATAAGTAGATAATATTGCCTAATAACCACTCAATAATTGACTACTATTATTAACTATTGTGTATCAATATCGTGACCAGTATTGGAAAGTTGGGATTGAAATACCTTTGCAGTCCCTGTTATTCTGACGCCCGGGACAACCCCGGCATGTCATGTGGGTCTTGGATCACGTGATAGTGGGTCTTGATTCCAAAACGAATGCAGGCGCCAAGGCTACCAACCTCCACATTTCTCCCTCCTCCACATTTCTAGGACCACAAATCATCACCTTCACCCTCACCACCACTCCTGCATCACTACCATCACTTCGTCACATCAAACCGGTCTGTTATTCTGCAAGTCTCGCTCGGCTAAGTGGACACTCGATCTCAGGTCGCCTCGCAACCAAGCCGGTCTAAAATTCCGTGACCTACTCACGGCGCGCGCGCTCTGAAAGGCACGGGGCATTGTTCTTTGCGAGGCCCTCGATTGATCCGGTCGTCGGACGGTCAGTCAGACAAGCAGAAGAAGCTGCCGGCGGTTCCTTTTCTTTCTTTTTCTCGCTACAAACTCCTCACCTTTTCATCTTGTTCGACATTTCGATACTGCGATCGAACCCGAGTCAAGGCTGCTCGGACCAACTTCAAAAAGCCTGGGCGGGCGGGATCTTGCCCTCTGTTCTGAGGGCAAGGGCCTTTGTTTTTTCCCCTATTTGATACTGACCTTTTTTCCAGACCTGAATCGCGATGTCCTCCGATGAGGAACCCAGATCCGATAAGGCCGACGCGTTTCGAACCGAATCTCGCGCGACCCAAAACGATGGAGTGCGAAGGGCCGGCCTGCCCTCAAAGTCCGAGAACGTTCGCGTTCCAGGCGTGTTGGCGGTGGTATCATGGGTCGATCCGGATGGCCAAGAGCAATTTCTTGACACTAGAACAGAAATCTTAATCCAGTACTGCACACCTCCAGTCAATACACTGTTCATTCGACTTCAGTTCGAGATATCTCAACCTTCGCGCAGTGGTCCCAAGCACCTTTATGTCTTTCTTCGCCCTCATCACATACAGTCGCTAGCTGTCATGGGCGAGCAAGACGACCACCCGAATACAAAAATGTTTATGAAGAAAGCGTTTGGTTCAGATGATGCACATTCTTTGTCCGTAATCACGCACGAGCCAGGTGCTTTGGTGATCCCAAAAGATTTCAACTCTGGCGCTTTCAGTCCCGATGCACAGCAGGTTGTTTCTCTGATGGAGTCGCTGAAGGCTGGACTCCTGTCGCGCAAGTCCTTCAACCTTCGCTTCCCACGCCATTGTATCTCCGAGGGCTGCTTGCTAGGGCTGTGCGGAGCTGCTTCGACTCCAGGCTTACTGAAGTCAGATGCACGCTTGGATGATCTGAATAGCCTCTACGGAGGGAGAGGGGGTCAAGCTATAGCACTCAATTTCCAAGTTGCTACGCTTGACGTTGACTCTCCTCCGTCATACGAGGCAACTCATGCCAATGCTTCGGCTGAATCACTCTCATCAGACAAAGGTACTAGGGCCACAAGCTATTAAGTCTCAAGTACCATCTCACTAACGAGGAACCCCAAATCGTAGCGAGACCACGTAATAAGAGGCGGCGGCGAGAAACCCCTTCGGCCAGCAACCCTTCCGTTCCAGCAGACCCAGACGTGACCCCCGCGACTTTAAAATTGTTTAAAGACCACATCGACAGTTTCATTGATGCTCGTATTGATCAACGTATCAAGTCATACACTGACGACGCCATTGATGCACGGATAAACAATAGATTGGTGTCCCATATTGACAAAATCATTGACGAACGGGTTGGCACCCGCATCGATGCCGCTGTGGAGAAGTTCCTGGCACCCATAGAGTCAAGGCTCACTACAATCCAGACATCTATTGAGAGCTCAAAGACGGAGTTTGAAGATTCACGGTATGAATTTGAGCGAGACATCAAGGATCTACGCGAAGAGACCGAAGATGTCTTGAGCACAAGATTTGATCAAGAGATTTCCGAAGCGAAGGAAGATATACACGATTATGCTAGAGCCCAAATAGAGGATGCGAAGAAGGATATTATCAGGCGTCTTCGCGAGGAACCACTCAAATGTGTGGTCAACATGGAATTTGACACCATTTGAGGTTGGATACACACTATATTCTAGCACATATGAAGCAGTCCCCTGTTGACGAAGCGCATTCTCACAGTGATAAATGCAAAGAGATGCCCAAACTCATCCCAATAAGAACTGGTTGTTAAGCCAGGGTGCACGAGAATCTCGTGATATGGGTGAAAATCAGTCCCCGCCAAGATTGTCGACGCGTAACGGCAATATCGTGCCGCCTCGGTCATCGTCTACTTCGAAATTCGGTCTCGATTTATGGAATAATTACCACTCTATCACCATAAAGCGGGGGAATAATAGACGATGATCGACTTGTTGTGCCATTGGCAAGGCGCGTTCCTCACTGAGGTACTGTATGTTGTCGTAGGCATCCTACTCTTGGTTTCGTATTTTGCCTACGGGCAGAAGGCATACATCGGAAGATAATAGGCGGACCACGGCCAATCTCATAGCTTGATATGAGTATCCAGTCTGGCGGGTAATAAGAAAATCCCTTGTCACGGAGAGTCAAGTGCCGTGTGCTACCCATCCCGATTGGGATGGAGGTCTGAAGCTTGCCGCGATTTGATCGGGTATGACTTCGTTAACCAGGGTAGGGCTGAGCTTCCAATTAAGGCCAGCATGTCGTGCTTTTCTTTTACAGTCCGATGCCAATCTGAGCCAAACATTGATCTCTCCGCTGACTTTATTTATGCTGAACGGAGAGGATTGAGCGACGCGTCATTTGCAGTTATGCAAGTGATCTCATGCTCACATATCTTGGACTACAGATTGGCCCAGGGAGTCCGACCTGAAGACCAGGGTTGTCGAACGAAATTAACATAGTCCACGTGTGGATAGATGTTAAATTCTTGCCGTTGCTGCATTATTATGTCCGTCGGCATGATCCCGATGTTCCATATTGCCTCCTTGAGCCTTCTGGGAATATGCACAATACACATTCATATTATATAAATGCAGGAAGCCATTCCGTAGATTTCTACCTACCTTTGTTCCTACAACCTGTGCATCCCCAACCATAGGAGACTAATCCTAAGCTCCGGCACAGTCATTTCTCCAATATGAAGTTCTCAACTCTCTTCTCGCCGGTTGCTCTGGCTGCCCTGGTGCGAGCCCAGAGCAAAGGTACGGCCTTTGGTTTCGCTGCCGGAACCACTGGCGGAGGTACAGCCACTCCGGTCTATCCCACTACCAATGACCAGTAAGTGTTTTGATAGTAAAGAGACAGATGATGTGATTGACAATCCGGTATAGGCTAGTCTCGTACTTGACTGACTCCTCGGCTCGTGTGATCATGATTGACCGTACTTTTGACTTCCGGTCCTCTGCGGGCACTACCACCACCAACTGCTGCAGTGATGATAGAACCACCAAGTGTCCTGGCGGAACGTCCCAGGGACAGCTTTGGATCCAAACCACTTGCGACAGTGGTACTTGGGTGTCCTGCACTTATTACAATGCACCCAGGACCCCAATTGACGTTGGGAGCAACAAGTCTCTTGTTGGTGTCGGAACCAAGGGTATCATCATGGGCAAGGGCCTTCGTCTCCGTGGCGGCGTCAGCAACATTATTATTCAGAACATTCATTTTACTGTGAGTGGACCTGTGGAAGAGAGAAAGAGCACAATCTTCATTCACATCTTGGCCATATCTGACACCCTAAATAGGAACTGAATCCTCAATTCGTCTGGGGTGGCGATGCCATCACCCTTGATGGCACTGACAAAGTGTGGATCGAGTAAGGTCCCTCCCAACAAATGCTTGTTGTCTCTGTCCGAATTGAAACTAACGTGGCACACCTCAAGCCACAATAAGTTCTCGCTTATAGGAAGGCAGATGATTGTGTCCGGCTGGGGAACCGGTGGTCACGTCACCATCTCGGACAACGAGTTTGATGGTAGATCTACATGGTCAGCTGGCTGCAACGGGAAACATTATTGGACGGCACTATTGATTGGCCTCAAGGATTGGTACACCCTCTCCGGGAACTATTTCCATGATCTCTCTGGCCGCGCTCCTCATATCGGAACAACCGCCACGTCTTCCGCGATCGTCATGCATGCCATCAACAATTACTTTGAGGTAAGTGGTATCTACTATTCATTATGTTGAGATGTCGGGTCTGGCATCTTTATTGCTGTTTTTTTTCTTCATACTCAAGGTCTCACCATGACTATAAACACAACCATTGCTGATCAACTGAGTTCTAGAACATTGGCGGCCATGCTTTTGATGTGGACAATAACGTCGACCTCCTGATCGAAGGAAACTACTTCCAGACAGTGACCACCCCCATCACATCCGCCAGCTACACCAACGGCGGACGCATTTACTATATCCAGACCGTTGCCGAGGCCTCGAATGCTTCCGGCCAGCTTGGCTATATCCCCGAATGGAACCGCGGATCCGGCTCTGGCACGAGCAGCACGCTCGCCAACACTAATGCTCTTTCTGTTCTGGGCCAATACAAGAGCGCCATTACGTGGAGTCACTGGGCTGTTGCTGATGTCCCTGCCAATGTCAAGTCGATTGCTGGAATTGGGAAGATCGGCAATTGAAACCCGAGAGGTCCCTGAGTTCTTGGCAACAATCTGCGATGAACGATGGTCTCAAACTTATTGGCTGAGAGATAGTAAACGTGAACGATGTGATGATAAAAAAGCTTCTCAATCTCGCATGCGACGCCGTGGATCCTGTGAATTTAAATTTGACTGTAGACTACTACAAAGGGTAAGCTTGGGATGCTTCGTAATTATAGTGATGTCGTGATTGTCAGCACAGGGATCATAGAAAATAGGAGTCGGACACGAGCGGGGTTGGCTGGGCATTCTTTCCAGAACACCATCAAGATACCTCACCCCATCTAGCCTTGGGGCCTACGACAATGGCGACTTCCACCGTGGTAGATGTCGAATATAGTGTTGAACTGACTCAAGTTGGCCCCAGCAAAGCGGACGGTCCCAGCAGCCACAATGAGCCCTTGAGCGAGCCGGCAGACCGATCAGCAGGACGGAGCTTAAACCCAGAGACCGACATTGGACAGCAAGACGAGTATCCGACGGGTGCTAAACTATGGCTCATCATTCTGTCTGTGTGCGGGGTTCTCGTTCTCACCAGCATAGACATGAACATCGTCGCTACAGCCGTGCCCAGCATCACCGACCATTTCCACACGGTTGCTGACGTGGGCTGGTATTCGTCTGCGTTCCGGCTCTGCCTCTGCGCCTTTCAGTTCATGTTCGGCAAGGCGTACACCTTGTTTTCCGTCAAGTATCTGTTCCTGCTCGCCAACGTCATCTCCATCGTGGGCTCCTTATTCTGCGGGACTGCGACCTCCTCAAACATGCTCATCATGGGGAGGGCCGTGGCCGGATTGGGCTCAGCCGGCATATTCTCTGGGTGTTTTGTCATCTTGGTGCAGTCGCTTCCTCTCCACCGGCGACCTCTGTTCGTCGGCATGATGGGAGCAATTGAAGGGCTAGCAACGCTGTCCGCTCCGCTGCTTGGCGGTGTCCTCACGCAGTCACTTGGCTGGCGATGGTGTTTCTACATCAACCCCCCCCTGGGAGTCGTCACACTGCTTCTCACCATGTGGTGCTACTCGGACAAGCCTAAGAGTGCCGAAGTCGATCAGATGACCTTTGCACAGAAGATTCTGCAGCTCGATCTGGTGAGCAACTTGCTGTTCATCCCGGCACTGACGAGCCTGTTTATTGCACTATCATGGGCCGGCACCAAGTATCCCTGGAATAGCCGCCAAGTCATCATTCCGCTCGTCGTCTTTGTTGTTCTTCTCGCTGGCTTCATCTACAATCAGTTCAGGCGGGGTGACGCAGCTGCACTGCCTCCTCGGATTATCAAACGGCGAACCGTCATCGCGGGCTTCATCTTTATCACATGCACCAACAGCACTGCAAATGTGCTCGAATATTACTTGCCTACCTACTACCAGACTGTTCGCGGTTATTCTCCTGCTAAGAGTGGTTATTTGATGTTCCCCATCATCGTTGGGGCCACCGTCGGCTCAATTCTCCATGGGACCGGCACGAGTACGTTCGGCCACTATGGGCCTTTTATGTTATTTGCCTCCATCATCATGCCCATCGCTGCGGGCCTCGTGACGACGTTTGAAGTCGACACGAGCATGGTTAAGCTCATCATGTACACTGCCTTGTGCGGCCTCGCCTATGGGATTGGGTTCTCGGGGCCCCAGAACGCGGTACAGACGGTGTTGCCTGCAGACGAGGTCCCCTTGGGCATGTCCATCATGCTATTCGCCCAGTCGTTCGGGCCAGCCGTGGCCATCGCAATTGCACAAGTTATTTTCACCAACCAGCTCTGGACCAACCTCAGTGGCTTCGTTGAAGGATTAACTCGGGCAGAGATGGAGAAGAGCGGCCTGAGTGAGATTGTGTCGAGCGTACCATCAGAAGGAGCGGCGCAGGTTCTTGAAGGGATTGATAAGAGTATCAACCAGACATGGTATTTGGTCGTTGGATTCGCATGTGCGACCATGGTTGGGTCATTATTGATAGAGTGGCGATCGGTCAAATCGAAGCGCGCATAGAAGACCTGCTACGGCGAGGGGGAAGGGCCAAAGGTTCCTGCAATTATTCAGATATTCACCTCATTGCGCAAGTAAGATTGAAGCACTGTCTGGAAGTGGCTGCTGGAATTATATTTTATCTAGAATGTTTCGGGCTTTTTTGATACGAATAGATGTGCAATACCACCCAATACAAAAACGAACTTGATTTTACGTTAGTGAACCGCAGGTGTAGGATCTCTAGTTTGTTGCTCACCGCTTGATCGATGAACTGTACGCCCAAAGGCAATGCAAGGTAGGCATCTCCATCATAGAAGGCTCTCAGAGTATGCCATATGCCTCCAAATCCACCCTTTGAAAACACATCGTTGAAGAATCTGGAACGCGACCGGGCAGAATGGTTAGAGGTGACACGTCCAAACACTTGGGAACTGTTGCTACTTACAACGCTTTGTAAGCTCCAGCAGGGTCGGGTTTCTCTCGGAAGATTAGGCTCTCGCCTTTGAAGCCCTTGACGCTGTGGACATCTCGACGTCGCACAAGGACATCAGGATCCCCGGCGTTGAGAATTGTCGTTTTACCGTTGAGAGTTATTTCAACTCGACCCTCTACCACGCTTAGATATTCTTGGTGATTCTGACACCATTAAGAAAAGAATAAGCTCAAATCCGCCACATGTACGTTCACTAGCATCACTATCATCACATACCATATGCCAATGCGGTGGGATTTCAAGAGGCTCCTCGCCGGTACAGATTGTGTCCATTACCCAGCGGTTGATAGAATCCTCTGGTTCGGATTCGTCAACAGTAATGTCCATTCTTTGGCCCTGTACGCATCATTTTAATACCCGTTGGAGTTTATTTCAAATGAAGCAAGTGGATCGTAGTGTTGAAATACCTTGCCCACGCAGAGGGATTTGAGAACTGTGATGGAACTCATCTTGCTCTTGTAGCAACCAGTTAGGCTAGAGACGAATTTTTACCGGTAAAAAGTTGGGAGAACTCCAAGGGCCGTCAGCTGCAGTCCACCTATTTAATAGGTCCTACCTCGAGCATATATACCCTAGCCGTAGTGAGACGACCCATGCCATAAGCTGCTGTCAGATTATAGCCCAATGCCAAGATGTAAGGCACTAAATAGACAGTACAGTATCTCAGTGTCGCAATATCATATAGTGTCGGCGTGGTGTATGCGTGTTATTCAATTGCTATACAACACGATGTGATTGAAGTGCGACATCATCCCAATTTAAGGAATAAATCAGTCATTTTACATTTATCAAGACAGATCAATGAGCACTCTGGAATTTACCTTGCATGTGCATAACGGTTCGGGGTACAGTCGATGCTTGAGGTTTCACTGGGTGAGATGGATATAGAATACTATTTGTTCCTGGCATCAGGTCTTGTATCTCTCTTGCAAGGCTATAGCACTAACCTCAGACACAGGCCATCCGGTGCGCTCGTCACATTTGCCGGCACCTTTCCAGCTCCGAACGCCGCACCTTTTAACTTCCTTGTCCTCTCCATCGTCGTAGAGCCCATGTAGCTGCACATGCTCTTCGTCATTACAGAACTACTCGTTTAGCTACCAAGGACTGCTACCAAGGACTGCTAAAGAGTCAACCTCGGATTCTTTATGGAAAATTATAAAGCTTTAATGCGTGATTAAAAGATCCGATATATACTAATTCTGCTCAAAGTGGATTGATAACGTAACTTCCTGTTATATAATAAGGGCCGACTTTGAAGTATTACCATGGGCTATATGGTCTAAGGCGTACTTTCAAAGAATAAAGTGATATGAATGAAGTTGATATTGGTTCGGCTAGTTATTTCTTCCTTTCTTTCCTTCTTCCTTCCTTGTTTTATGGATACCTTTTTAGATATCACTTACGCCGTGTGGTTCTTACCTTTTGGTCACATCTCCAGTTTGCTATGGAGGTTTTGAATGTGATGCCTAAATAAGCATCACGTTTCTATACCCCTGCAACGCTAACTTCCTGGCCCCTCCTCCGGTCCGAGGCATGTCGGTTCGGAGCTCAAAGTCAGTCCGAGACTACGCCTGAGAAGATAGTTAGATCTTGATTGCGTTAAGGTAGAACTGGTAACATGACGAGGCCTCCAATATCGACTTGAAAATGTATGAATCCGGCATCCTCTGGAGACAAGGCCACCTTCATTCACTTGATTATAAATACGACCTGCACGAAAGTGCCAAGTGGGTCGGATAAATGAGAGGAAGCAACAAGGCTTTTCCTGTCCCCACAAGCATCTAAAAGCGCAGTCACCCCTAAAATCTACTCGACGCCTCTCCAATCCCCATGCTCTCACATGGTCACTGATTTCTCTTAACGATCCAATACCACATCGTCTCTGATGTGACCCACCCCCGGCCATCTTGGTATCGGATATTTATTTTTTCAATCATGTCAGTCTCGACGTCAAGCGATCTTGAAAAGGCAACGCAGCCCGGTGGGTCGATTGATTCAAAAGATGGCGAGAAGCAAGGTTCGTCAGAGGGCCCGGATGCTCTTCCCACAACGCAAGTTGGCGGTAGAATCACACAAGAATCCATCGTAGTATATGTCAGTACTCATCCTTCCTAATGGCGAAGCTTCTATTGCTCAACGATGATCCCATAGGATGAAATCGCAATCGAGAGAATTGTGACTCGCCATTCGGCAGCGAGCCGTGCCCGTCAGAGTATGTTTAGTAAGCTCTCCAGGAAGACCAAGTCGAGGGAGAAACTGCCTCCGCCAGTGCTCCCAATCACTGATCTTGACAATGGCGTTGTTGGCTGGGACCATCAGCAAGACCCTGAGATGCCCCTGAACTTTGCCCAGTCTCGGAAGTGGCTTATTGTCTCGTTACTTTCACTCATCACCGCCATGACTCCATTTGCTTCATCTATTCTAGCTCCGGCGATAGAATCTCTTGCCAAGGACCTTCAGGTCTCCTCACTGACGATGGCATCAATGCCCGTCAGCATCTTCCTCCTCGGCTATGCTGTTGGTCCGCTTGTCCTCTCCCCGCTCTCCGAGATCTACGGACGTTACGTGGTATTCATCTCCGCCACTCTCTGGTTCTGTGTCTGGCTCATCGGCTGTGCCCTTGCCCCATCCATTGAAACTCTCGTCTTCTTCCGCTTCATGTCCGGCCTAGGTGGCTCGGCATGCCAGACCATTGGCGGTGCTATCATTGCCGATGTATTCCCCGTCAGCGAGAGAGGTAGTGCCATGGCCTGGTACATGATGGGCGCAATTATCGGCCCCAGCATCGGACCGGTGATCGGTGGTTTCGTTTCCCAGACCATTGGATGGAGGTGGACAAGCTGGATCACCCTTATTCCTGCTACGGTGGCTACCATCGGCTTGGCCATCTTCTACCCCGAGACGAATCACAAGGTTCTCATCGCCCGGAAGACCGACAAGCTGCGCAAGGAGCTGAACCGCCCGGAACTGCGTAGCTGCTACGTGAGCGAGGATGCCCCTTCCGTGTCCAAGAGCGGAGTGCTTCTAGTTGGCTTGATCCGTCCCATCAAAATGCTCTTCACCTCGATTATCATCTTCGGCGCCTCGCTGTACATTGCTTTTGCATACGGATGCCTCTACCTTCTCTTCAACACGATTCCCATCGTGTTTCAAAAGACATATCACTGGTCGTTGGGCGTTACTGGCTTGGTTTACTTCTCGCTCTTAGCTGGCAATTTTGTTGGTCTCGCCATCTTTAGCAGGCTATCTGATCGCACCGTGGTTCGGATGACGCGCGAGAACGATGGCGTCTATGAGCCTGAGATGCGGCTGGCAGACTGTGTCTGGTTCGGGCTATTCCTGCCTATCCCATTCTTCTGGTACGGCTGGGCTGCAGACCAAGCCGTGCATCCTGCGGTTACGATCGTAGGGCTCGGCTTTTTTGGCCTCGCGCTGAACGGGATCTGGCTCCCAACTCAGGCATACCTGGTCGACGCATATGCAGAGTACGCTGCCAGCTGCTTGGCCGCGTTTGCTGTCCTCCGATGCACGGTGGCAGCTTTCTTGCCATTGGCAGGGACGCAGATGTATGACACCATGGGGGTGGGCTGGGGGACGTCTCTCCTCGGCTTCATCGCTGTGGGGATGATACCCATTCCAAGTCTTATTTTCAAGTACGGCAAGGTAATGCGGGAAAGGTTCCCTGTTCATTTGTAAGATATAAAAGGGCCATACGGCCCAGGAGGATATAAGGGCTTGCATATAAAAACGCTCTAATAAAACAATTAATCTTCACTTCCGGGGTTTGTCTCCTCCTCAGAGTGCGCTGATGCCATTAAACCTATGCAAGTGATTGTGACGAGGGCGTTTTTCTGAAAGGGGCCTTTCAGAAAGAACGTAACCATTTTGCCAGCGTAGCAAGACGCCGACATCTTTTCAGTACCTCCTCGAATTGCTACCAGCTTATCTAGGCCTTCGAGGTGAATCTTGGCAGCCTTGGCGTCACCACACAGAGTCTGTTGGAAAAAGGAATATCAGTGCCGTCCAAGAAAGAGAAGGGGATGGACAGCTACAGCTCAGCCTAGGTAGGTCAACTTACGGCATCGGATGCGAGCGCGAACGTCTTGGCAATCGTGAGGTCGCTTGATGCTTCGGTCTCGTCTTTCAGCGCATTACTCACGTTCTCCAAACATTCGCCGTTGTATTTAAGTGTGAGGGCAGTATATCCCGCTGGGTGGTGGTAGGCGGAGAGGTCTCGGCACGACATTTGCAACAGGGCGGCCAGTATGCCCGTGTCTATGGCGGCCATTTGCGTCCACCATCTCCCCGTTTCCTGTACAAAGTCCGCTTCTTCTTGGCCGCTTATAAAAGGGATGCAGACTGTAGAAAACATAGCCACATGTCGAATAACTACATGTATTGACGTATCAGGATAAGTCGTTGCTTAAACGACGGAAGACGTGTTTTACTCACAATGGTCGATGAGGAACCACTCTAACCGAGATACTTTACGAATGAAGGTATCGAAGGGGTCTGTCCACGCCGCACTCAGGGTATGGGATATGCGCGGGGAATGGGCAGTTAGTAATGCCTGTGCAGTTGCTGAGCCATGCTGGCCTGACTTCTCTTGGTACTCGGAGACTGTCCTCTGACGTTTACTGGAGTTCCTAGCAGCATGGGAGCGGACCTGCTGTCGCCGTGCGTTTGAAGGAGTTTCGCCTGGGGCCGCGATGTTGATGAACTGGAAAGAAGGGCCAGGGCGAGCCGGCGTCATCTTGGCTGTCCGTGTCTATCCGCCAAATCCGAGGATTTTAGCTCCAGAAATACCAGGGGGATGCGCCGACAGCTGTATTCGATGAACGAAAGCTCGTTAGGGTCACCCGGCCTGTTGCACCGGAACTGGACATAGGCTCTCCTGAGACCTTCAGAGCTCATTTCAGTGTCTGCACTGAAATGAACAGACAAGGAGGCATGGGCGGGTCACCTGATCACATCGTGCTGACCTGACTCGCACTAATAATTCAAACAGCCATGGATGACGGACGCGTCTACCAGTGACGGAAATAAAATATGGCCCACCAAAATGCCGCCGTGTTAGACCAATTCATCTCTAATTAAGAACATCAACCACAATGATACAAGCCATTATCTTGGCGATTTTATGACAAATTTCTCGATTGGTTTTGATATCATATTAATTCCAATATCGGTCACTTTCCTGTGTCAAAACCACTTGACAGGCTACATGGCCAACTACCTATTTTGGTTAGGATCAGACGGCATACTCTACGTCGATGGAGCGACGGAGACTCGAATTGGGCGACAAATCGCATTGTTCAATTTAAATCTAGAATGAGTTGGCGAGAGATCTAATAAAGATTGAAAATATCAAAATTAGGAGAGAAGCTATGTATATTTCATCCTGCTTCCCTTTATCCCGCCCGGACCCCCCTGCTGGATGTCTGAACCCGTTGTCATTATCCACCTAATTTCAACTGTATTCGATGGAAAATAATTTAGTGATATCGATCGACACATCTAGACTAAGAACGAACATACAGAGACTTTGGGCAGTGATGGGCATCATACTGGTCAGTCTTGGCGCTGACGATGACAACAAGCTAAGCCACCAACTAAAAAAACTCCCACGTACCCAGCTTTCTCTGAGAGTTACACGTGGATTCTTCATGCAAAACTCAATAAGCCACAATCATTCAGCTGGACATGACGTGCGGTTTCAACCTTTACCCCAATAGTATAAACTACGGCGGGACTTGGAGAAGCCGGTGTCTTCTCGGCATTAAGAACCTGAGACAGAGTCGTCAGCCGTGGTGGATGAGTTCTCCAAGCCTCCATCTATATGAGATTCATAAGACGGTGAAAGAAATATTCTAACCTGACAATTCAGCCTCTAAAAAGATAAATAGAGGCTTTCCTCCGACTTAGCGTCTTACTTAAAATCGTCAAGACTCCATTCAGCAAACAATCTATACATTCAAATTTCTACTCATCAAAAGCCGACATTTTGGCCTTCGAAGATTAACAATCATCATGTCTAACCAGAGCTACTACGGATTCACTAACTACCACAACGCTCCTCGACAGGTGAGACCAACAATTTGTTTACTTCCTCAGCATCACTCGCTAACCCTCATTCATCTAGCCTCAGCATGTTCAACATCATGCATCTCCCTCTAACCAACACGGAATTATGCAGGGTCGTCATGAGACGGCCCCAGTACCCGATGGCGAGCGAGGACTTGGCGCAACTATTGTGGGAGGCGGTGCTGGGGGTTGGGCAGCACGCAAAGCTGGTAAGGGCGTCCTGGGTAGTCTTGCGAGTGCTGCCGCCGGTGCCGTTGGTGCAAATCTTCTCGAGAAACAGCTTAAGAAGTGAGCCATAAATACTTGTTTCATTACTACGTGTCCGCAGACGTAAACTAACAGGAGTAATAGAATTCGCAACAAGAAGCAGCGCAAGTAGTGGTCAAGGCATTTCCAGGTAGTGTATACCATGAATAGCCGTGCTATTGCACTCACACGCATCAATAGGCCTTTAAGCAGGTTCAGATCACAAATAAATTAGGGCATGACGAGAAGAATGAAAGTTGCATTTTAAAAATCCCATCCGCATTGTGGGGTGTAACAATGGTGTATGTGTCCAGGGACACTCTGGTCCCCTACCTGATAGCACCTAGAGGAAATTCAATACTGTCCAAGACCCGTATTAGTGGTCTTTGTTGATTGAGGCGAATGCCTCTAGTATCACGTTCTCTGTATCCGCCGTTGTAAAAGCCAGCTCGATGTCATTGACCTTCTTTTCTTGGACCTCTTTCAGGGTGGCCCAAACGAATTTTTGGTGTTCGTTTGGATCGAGTTTAACCTCCAGATGGCCCTTGGAATTCACCTCCGCCTGGACGAGAAAATTGAATTTGCAGATTTTCTTCCCGGATCTGCTACGGAACAAGTGAGGTTCTCCAACTGGGCCGCTGATGTGCGTTGCCCGCAGGCCGGCCTCTTCCCACAGTTCTCGCGCGGCAGAGTGCAAAATGCTCTCGTCCTCGTCATCGCAGCCGCCTCCGGGGGTCTCCCATCTGTTGGGCATGCTGTCGCCAGGGGATCGCTGGAGAAGTAAGATCCGAGGTTCAGGCTGAGTGGAGAGGTCGAACACTAGAGAACCAGTCGCTAGCACGTTGTAATTCTCATTTTGATTGGCCGCCAGATACGACTTTGGAGAAACTGTGAAGGTGGAGGTCGTAGGGTCGGCGGTGAAGTTATAGCCGGGACCTTTGATGATGGGCGTGTCAGACATGCTCGTGGTTTTCCTGGTGGAGACAGTAATATGACTGAGCTTCTGGAATGAATCAAAGTTTGGAGGAGACAACGCGGGCCTACGGGAGGTTTTATATTCATGAGAACGCCTGGAATCAATTGCTCGGTCACGTGAATGTCTACTCTCCAGTAAAAGAGGACCATTTCATATATCACTGCCTAACTCCTCCAAGCCAGTTAATGTACATATTCCTCTAGTCTGCCCCATGAGTCATCTGTCAAGTCAGCCTACAGGAAATTTACCACATCACCCCTTTGTCTTACTATTGATTCCTTGCTGCCTTTCCCCACGAGTCAAACCATCGCACTGCTTGGAAATACGCCTCTTCCTTGGCAAACTTGATCTGAGGAATCGACACGTTGCCTCGAACACCGAATCCATGTTCCGTCCCACTGTACAAAGAGAGTGAATATGGCTGCGTCGTGTTCAAAAGCCGATCTTCGATATGGCGGCGTTGGTCAGTTGACATGGCGAAATCGTTCTCCGCGGCTGCAATAGTTACGGGCCCGGTGATTCCCAAAATCTCGTCGTCCTGGAGCAGGGCCGGGTGGGCGGCAAAGCTTGCACTGACGCCTCGGCCCTCAGCCAGGACGCGGAAGGCATGGCGCCCGCCAAAGCAGTACCCAGACGCTACGATGCGATTGATGCCCAGCACGTTGCGAATGTAACGGATTGTGGCATCGATCATTGGGTCGATAACTTTTGGGTTGTGACGGGCTAGAAATTCGGTTTGATTGTAGTTTGGGTTGTACGGATCTCTCCCCGCGGGTGCTGGAGTGCCATTAAACAGATCAGGGGCGACGGTGAGGTATCCTGCACGGCCGAAGCTATCTGCCAGCCTATCGAGACACACGTGTTAGCCAGTCGTAGATGGTGGGTTAAGACGCGATGTACATACAGCTTGTTCTCCGGTTGCACAATGCCGGTGGCATCTGTCAAGTACAGCACGGCTATGTTTGAATGCTTCCCTGTAACGTAAAGTGTCACTGCGTGGGTGTGAAAGTTGGCTGTCAGATTTTAATCTCTCTCATTCTTGTTGGGGAAAAGACTGACTGTTCTCGTACACAACCTCCCTGCCGATTGATGGTCCCGCGTGGGCAATGGCGCAAACACTGGCCACGGGACATTTAGCCAACGTCCGCGACGTGAGCAATGAGACCACTACCATGAGGGCATAAAAGGAGTTTATCTTGGCCATATTGAAGGCTGCTGCTTGTTGGCAATTGCTGAACTTTAACTTCTTGCCCTTCAGCAAACTCCATCATGACTACCATGAAGGAGTACCTAGCTTTATATACTCAATTTCTGTGGGCGGGACTGCTCAATGTAGAATATTCTTAAGCACAGATAGACTAGCGTTTTGTTACTGCGCCATTGCGTCTTTTCCTAAGCTGTATTGAAGGACATATCTTGATCTTATTATAGGCATTAAAGCATAAGGAATGGATTTCCTCATTAGTAGATATGGCGCGTGTCAGCCAATGAGAATATGGAGTGCAGCTGTCTGCCAAGACAGATCAGCCTTCTCAGTAAAGTTATGCGCTTGACATGTCCAACTTGAGGCATATACCGCGATTGATTATGCTTGATCTCAACTTATGGCCCGTCTTCGCTTGTCCTTCTTTCACTCTGGCCCCTTCTATGACGAGCTAGAACCCAAAATAGCAGTTTAGATTGCGAGTCAATTGACTGTGCCGTGAGGGGCATGTCGTCAGAGTAAATGCCACCGTGGCTGTAAAGGCCGAGGTGAATGGTAAATATATGCTAGGTTTCATGTTGGTATCTTCACTGTGTTAAAGATGCGTCATCCCCAGCCATATAAAGCTCGAATCCCATAACCGTTCGTATAGCCGCTTAGTATGACGACTTGGCCGCGGTCCGTCGAAGGGTAAGAGGTGGTTCAAACAGTAGCTTAGGTTTAATTCGAATCACTCGTAACAGATGTGGCATCACGTCGATCACGGTTCCTTCGTGTGTGTCCGTAATTATGCAGCCAAGTGGCATTCGATTGTATCTTGGTATCGTGCCTGCTCTAAGGACATCATTGTCTATCTATGTACACTCTATTTAGGAGGTCTAAGCCCATCACCTCTTCTATCTAAAATTTTAGGACCATCCGTTATTGCACGTCCGGATAACGCTGACCCTACTGTCATCGGTTGTAGGATACTTAGGCGCACTGCCAGCAGCTCGCGCTCTTCAGATCCTCACAGTCAGCTTTGACCGTAGTCTTCTGTGGGTAGGGGCAAATGATTCGGTTCCAAACACTGGAATCCGGGCCTTTGTATGTGACTGGAGAGTTCTCGGGTACTGTGCCATTCTCAACCCAGGCGCGCAACTGTTGGAACATTTCGACGGGCTGCCCGCCAGATCCACCGGCGCAGTGAGCAAGACCAGCGATCTCGTAGTGCTGGTAAAAGCCGCCGACTTCGGGGATCAAGTCTTTGACCTTGCGGAAGTATTCGGCCGTGCCCTCAGGAGGGACACCATCATCAGCCTAGAGTGGGCACACGGGTCAGTATGAGAGCAGAAAAGGGTGGTGAAGATTAATGGAAGTATAGACTCACAGTGCCATGCCAGCTGATCAGTTTACCGCCAGCTTGCTGCAAGGGAGACAGATCCGCGTCATCCGTTTGGAAATATGACGCCAGCTCCTGAGCAGTCAGACGCACGAAACCCTGAAACTCTGCCCTTGTAAGATTGTCGATGCTGTAGTCGGGATTCTTGGCTCCAAAGTACTTCATCCAGTTGTTTCCGAGCGTGTTGTACAGCCCTGAGCACGCCCCGTCGCCTGTGCAGTTTGTGCGGCAAATACCGTTTTGGAACCCAGTGGTACCGGTGAGGTTGGTTCCTGGGTTCAGGCCGGGCCAGGATTGCCTTCCGGACAGTGGCATCCCTCTCCACGTAGCGTTGACCACAGCTGCCGCGGACGCGCTGATCAGGCGTGCCTCTCCAGAAGGCCAGCACGTAAAGTTTCTGCCGACTTCGCCGAAGGGGTCGAACGTGTCCAAGCATTTCTCATACTCAGCAATAACTCCGTCCTCAACGCCATCGAGCTTGTCGCAAGCAGAGATGGATGCATGAACAATAGCATCGATCTCGCAGTCGTGGGGGTGTTCTCCGATCTCGTTCATCACTTGCTGGGGCCAGAAAATGCTGCCTACAACCTTGGGCAGGTTGATTCCCGGCGCGCCCACGAGGATCCCGTCATACTCCTCGGGGTAATGCTGCGCCAGGGCCATGCCCTGTCGTCCACCCTGGGAGCATCCGTTGAAGTAACTATACTCAGGCTTCTTGCCGTAGAACGCTTCTATCAGTTGCTTTGCAAGAACAGCCTGGATAATATGTCAGTCTCATTTTGATTCTGTATTAACTTGTGTAAGGCTGGTCAGTGTGTCTACCTCTTCCTTGAGCGAGGTTGAGCCAAAGTTTTGAACCAGCTGTAGGTTCACGTTTCCCGGACTTTTCAGTATCCAGGGGGCACCAGTAACATCGTCCAATGTACTCCCCAGGCCGGCATCCGAAGTGACGGTTGCGAAACCCTCCGTGAGAGCGCCAGCCATGCCGGTGTAAGGGACCAGGAAGCGACCAGCGCCAAACCCGCTCCCACCAGCAGTGTACAACCTCTTATTCCAGCTTTCCGAGGGCGGAAGCCAGGCCTCAACGTATACTTCGTCATCGGTGTCTGAGTGAGTGTAGACAACGGTGACATTGCAGAATGATAATCCTTGCGCAACTACTGAGGGTGAGGTGTATCGTAGCGAGGAGTCGGCCTCCATGGTGAAGTTGGATACCACAGAGGCATGTACAGCGAGGATCTCGGTGCCAAATACCGGCGTCAACGCCGAGAAGGAGTCAGTCGCACAAGCGCTGGAGTTGAAAATGAGTGACATCGTGGTGGGTGTTTGTCTACCTTGTCAAAAGGAATGAAGTAAAGAGTAAAAATAGAAAATAAATTTGAGTTGAGGGAATGCAGCTAATGGAGATACATCTCGTCCCGAGGAAGAGCTTTTTATCAGTGATTCATTATGGGGACAATGGGAGGGAGGATGGATGGATGATTGATTCCATTGTGTCTCGCTTCGAATAAGGTACATGTACGCGAAGGCAACAACCAGGGCAATTCGGATTTAATCCCATGTCCAAACTCCATTGTTTCAGAACAGAGGTCGGACAAGCGAAATAGCGTTGGGGAACAGCGCCTAGGCTTCCGCTTCTGGAAATGATGAAGCACAAAGTGTCAGAGCACTGCACGCACAGAATATATCAGACACAAACCTGAGGACGATCGTGTGGGGATCCGAAAGTGAGCAAGTTTTTGTAACCAACAATCTCCCTTCTGACCCAAAGAATTAATCGCCGAGCCCTGTCAGCATGGGCATTGATTGGTGCCTATTGACTCAATAAGACCAGACGACGCCAGGACAGATTTTTGGTCCTGCGGCACCGAATACCAGCAAATGAAACCTGATTACGCTCCAAAATGCCAGGCTGACCCGGCACTTGATTAAACAACTCTGATTGATCGGGATCCGAATCAGCACACCGCGATCTCACTTGGATTGGCCCTCAGTCACCTCCACCATTTGATCCCATCCCCACTAAAAGCGTTGTTGTCCAACAGCCCGAAACAGGCAGGCTAAGATTTTCTAACACACTCTTGCTGACGGTAGAAACTCTTGGTTCTGCGAATTAACTCAGTTCGGAGAGCCTCTCAGATTGTCAAGTCGAAGCATTATCCAATCTGAGCAGTCTGCCGGCTATTTCTTAGATATTTCCTAACAGGAAGAATTCCTCAGGTCATGGGTAGGATCGCTCTCAAGCTCTAGATGACTAATACTAGTTGTACCAATAATGTTACTCATAGATATCACCACGTGCAGGGATCAGATTGTGACAAGGCCAATTATCTTCCCTCATTCATGGGTGATGTGGGTCAACTGCCGAATTGAATTGAGTTGCTGCCAACATTGAACGCTGCCCCGAGCGCAACAGTCCAGAGGCTGCGTCATTGATGAATCTTCACGGGATTTGAAGCTCATCTACCCCTCGTCTTCAGGTCTTTCTCGATGTAAGTCGACGCAACGTCTATATGCAGATGCAGGGTCGGTCTTCCCAGACGGTGCAGGGTAGCCACGTTCCGCGATCGCAAAGGGGAAAGCGCCGTGATTTATCTCGCTCGGCTCAGTGGAGTTCCGCCAAAACACCGCAACCAACAATCTTCCTTCTTCGTCCTTCGTCGTAAGCTGCAGCATAGCACCACGCCCGCCATGTCTGTCCTTCGGAACGGGGCCCGTGTCTCAGCACGACTTTTCCGCCAGAACCTGCACCAATCCATCCGTGCACCATCAAGGGGGCCCGTTGCCCGGTCGTTCAAGACACAAGCTCCCAGAACAGCTGCCCCCTTCGCTTTCGCCTTTGAGTGAGTCAGTCACAAGCTGTGTATCACCACTTTTCCCTGTGTTGCAATCCATACTGACCCGCCGCTGCAGTATCGATGGTGTTCTTCTACATGAGTCGCGACCCATTCCTGGTGCTACCGAAACACTTCGGCATCTCCAGACTCATCAAGTACCTTTCATCCTGCTCACCAATGGTGGCGGCAAGCATGAGGCGGAGAGAGTCGCCGATTTGAGCGACAAGCTCAACGTCCCCCTTTCTGTTGACAACTTCGTCCAGTCTCATACCCCTTTCCAGCAGCTTGTGGGAGACTTGCACGACCGCAACATCCTTGTCACAGGTTCCAACGCCGAGAAAATCCGCACCATTGCTGAGCAGTACGGATTCAAAAACGTCATCACACCCGCCGACATTCTCCTGAACCACCCCTCAATATGGCCTTTTGAGCCCCTCATGGAATCTGTATACGCCAGTACTGCGAGACCCCTCCCGAAAGGAGACCTCAAAATCGATGGTATCTTTGTATTCAACGATCCCCGCGACTGGGCCTTGGATATTCAAATCATCATCGACCTGCTTCTCTCGGAGAATGGCGTTCTGGGAACCTACTCCTCCAAGAATGGACAGTCCGGCCTTCCCAATCGAGGTTGGCAATCGGATGGCCAGCCGCTTGTGTATTTCTCGAACCCTGATCTCTTCTGGAGCGCAGCCTACCACCAGCCTAGGTTCGGCCAAGGTGCTTTCCAAGGAGCGCTTCGTGGTGTATGGAGTGAGGTCACTGGTGGCACCGAGCTGAACTGCCGCACCATTGGAAAACCCTACACGTACACTTACGAGTACGCAGAGAGAGTATTGAATTCCCACCGACTGGCACTGCTGGGGCAGGATGCTGCGTCTGATGTGCTGCCCCTTCAGCGTGTATACATGGTTGGAGATAACCCGGAGAGCGATATCAGAGGAGCGAATGAGTATAATAGCTCCGATGGCGCCGAGTGGAAGTCTATTCTTGTCAGGACAGGAGTTTGGAATCCAGCCCGCGGAGACCCGACGCACACACCAGATTGGATTGCGGATAATGTTTCCGCCGCTGTGAATTATGCTCTGAAGCAAGAAAGCTGGAAGGGATTCTAGGCTTGACTTGATGGGTGAAGAGCTTGGGAACATCTGGAGTCCTGTTCTACCGTAATAGAATAATACCATATAGAATCTGCTTGTTAATCATATTTCTGCCTCCCGAAACAGAACCTTGAACCATAATTGAAATAATTCCGCGTATTGTTGGCTTAACGGCGTGCGCCTGCCATCTACGGACGGTCGCCTCCGAGAGGTAGCGGAACCTCCCTACATTATGCTATCCGTTTACACATTAACCTTGTCTTGAATATCAGCAGCCATTGTCACAAATTTATACCTTGCTCGTGATGCTTCTTGATCTAATCGGGCTTTTGAAGAGTTCGGTTCATCTGTCGTTGACACTGAAGAGTCTACCCTTCCTTCTTCTACCACCAACAAGATTGTATACGAACATTCCTAAGCAAGAGATGACTCTCTGTTTCACACAGAAACTTAAGCTATACAACGGTTGTCTCAATCCTAATATTTAAGTCAAAGTTTTGACGGAGTCCTTAAACCTACTTACATAGCCTCCTGTCGTTTAATCCGCCATTACATCCTCGTGTTCAATAGGGTGTCTGCTCGTCATCTGTCAGGCTATGGCCGTGAGTCGCCGTAATCCAGGCGGGTACAACTTCTCTGCTCTTCAAAAAGGATTCATTCAATATCTCCCCTTAGAACCCGTTTTGCTAGAAAGATTCGTGACATCCTTTTCAGGGTCATGGCTGCTCGAAGTAACGCCATTACAAGCCTGGACCCCGATCTTTATGCCAGGGCAGATACCTTACAATATATAGATCAGTTGATTGGGGTTTAGATGGTTAATAGAAAGGGGGAGCCTATGGATACTCCCAACAGCGATTTCAAACCTTTCTTTAGCCGCTGGCTCATTTCAAAGACAGCCATCACTTTCAGTTTCGATAGCCATGCCCAGTATGCGCCTATGATACTTGATAAGTAAGCAAGGTTCTGAGAGACCCAAGGTTGAGTTCCGTTGAATGACTCCTTCGCCAACCTTGCGACGCTTGATTTCATAAAGAACCTCCGTCTTTATCATTCACTAGCTTGCAAAATATGGCATAAAGGACGAATAGATTCGGATTGGCATAATTCAGCTCGTCGTCTATTTATTTGCCAGTCCTATGTAAAAATATGTATGTCTTACTGAAGACTACATTTTCGGATTGATTTTCATTATGATTAATCGAAAGCTGTAGTACACAAACATATCCTCCGAATATTAAACCAGCCTATCTCGAGGGCTCATGGCTTTATTGGTCCCTGCCATATGGGAAGCTGACCTGCGAATACGAGATATCGCATCATGCTTGACACCAACTTGAAAGCATACCAAGAAAATGTGCCTCTGTGGGTCATGTGGCTACCCCAGAATGACTGATATCTTCAGCAGCAGCAAATGGTGACTGTGGCCGCATTTCATATCCCTCAAAAGCATGCTAGATTTCAATCAGCAGATTGCCAACTCCTCACGTAACAATTTTGGGTCTAGACCAGAGCATAGAAGTGCTTCTTCGTTTGAGGGCTTGGTATTTGTTTTCCTGATCTTGGCCTCTGGCAACTTCACGTAGACGGGTTGGCTTACCTCCGAAGCATTCCCGGAGGCTTCCCAAACCTCTTAGCGAGCCCCAGGATCAGCAGACCCTTGCAGCACAAAGGTCCTCCCGGGGTGAGCAAGGGAGGCTAGCCCCATCGAATCCAATTCAATTGTGCCTTACCACTGAGATGACTTTGTGGCCTGACTGTTGCAGTGCCTCCTTCCACAGTGTCGTATAGACCTCTCAGCCGCATCGAAACCAATAGTCCCGGAAGTGGTATGTAGTACATTCGTTTCTCTCACAACAACTACAACGAATGGGCCGGTCCTCGCCAGCATCTGATGCTCAATGAGTCATGTAAGCGTAGGCGTAGGGCTCGTGGCGAAGCTGCCTTATTGGTGCAGGTCCGAGAAAAATTAACCAGGATTCTTGGCCTTGCCCAGAAATAAGCAGCCCCGTAATGTTCCCATCGTACCCAGCAAATTAACTTATGCCTGCAATGTATTTAAATAATCTCGCCATTCCCCCGGCAATCTTGCCCTTGGACTTTTGCTGTTTCCTCAAACCCACCGCTCGCTACCATACACTCGCTACCATGAAGATCACTCACTCTTTCTGGGCCTCCGCCGCCCTATCGCTGGTCCCAGCCGCCTTTGCCCAATCGACTACTACATCTGCTCCCTTGGGCACTACCACTGCGCCAAGCTGTACAGCTTCCCTCATCACCAAGCTCTGCGACTACAAAGACCCTGTTATTGCTGCCGCCATCGAGAGCAAAGACTCTTGCTTGTCCTACTGCAACAACCACCAGCCCTGTAGCTTTGCTATATTTGCCGCTGGCAACCCGTACACCGGCACCGGCACCTGCTGGCTGTACCCAGGCGAAAGCTATGACGCGAGTGCCGGCACCAGCACTGGCTGCAGCAACCCTTACCTCTCTGTCTACGACAAGCCAGTGTGCGCGGGCACACCTACATCTACTGCCGGCGCCTGCGCGGCCACTGCGAGTCCCTCTGCCGTTGCGTCGATCTGCGGGTACTCACCTCCGGATACTTGCTTCAGCACCTGCGTTGCCAGCTCAGGTGCAACCCATTGCTTGAGTGCATGCGCAGAGGCTGATGCCTGCACCTACGCTGTCTTCAATCCTCACAACTCGAAGAACTCGCCGTATCTGTCGGGCACTTGCTGGATCTACACCAGTGGCACATACGATGCTGGGAACGCAACCACTTGCAGTGGCGAGCCCGAGCAGTATGTATACACAAACCCATGCCCTAAGCCGTCGTCTTCCTCATCTTCCGCCTCATCATCTGCTACAGCATCTGCTAGCGGTAGTGGAACTGCCAGCGGTACTCCCAGCAGTTCTGGAGCCGCAAGTGCTACTCAGGACTCGGCCACCGACAAAGAAAACTCGGCAGCCAGCGTCGTCTCATTAAGGAACTCTTTGGCTCTGGGCGTGGCGATGTTGCTGTGGCAGGGTCTTGCATAATGTTATTTGATTAATGAAGCCATAAGGGATGATATAATAGTTAATATAATTTTAACAAGGATTCACGTTAGCCAATATATGATCATGTTTCCAATGCAACCATCTGTTTCTAACTCAGCTACATGTACAACCCAAGTGCTGAAACATGCTGTTGATGCGCACGTGTGCCATAAATATCAATTCAAGAAGAGTACGCTCATATTCAATGCCCAGCTGCGACCTATCTATCGATGATATCCTACAATTCAATAGCATTTTAGACATCTATGCCTAAGCTTTAGAACGGAGAGATTCCTCCTTTGGGTTCTTTCGAGAATTTCGAGCGGCTACCTTCGTGGTTAGATCAAGGATCAGGTGGCGCTGCAGTGGCGTTCGCCACCAGAATCTAGAACAACTCGAAGAACATTGGTGGGGCATATCACAGACAAGAGAATAAGTGGCATCTCAGCCAATGTGCTTCATATTTGAAAGTCCACGGCCATGCACAGTCTCTTCAAACTGATGGCTGGGTGTTTTAGGAGAGGTGAGAAATTGATGCGTAGAGGTAAGGCAAGAGTTGTCCCAGGCATGCTCCTTAAGTTTAGTAGATCTCACCAACCAAACAAAATATCCTTACTAGTTGCAAACCCTGGCGTCACTTAAAGTGGTGATTAAGATGGTTGTTCAATGAAGCGGACTACCTACTTTTTTCACAGTCCTATGCCATGCAAAGAACTCGATATGGATGAGCATACTTTCTCAAGCAGCTGAGGGAGATTATCCAGGCTTGAAGAAATGGTAGAGTGGAAATACAACATATTAGAGATGCACATCTAAAATTCTTTCGGTAGCTCTTTAGAGAGTTCTAGCGGGCTATGCTTACGATGGTTCATGAAACTGCGACAGGAATGGCTCAGTTATCTTATTATACTATGAAGGGTTGGATGGACTCGAGCAAAGTAGGAGAGTTCGTTGAATTGAGGTGTTAATGGACTCGGTTGTTGCAGTCATGTGCTATCCGTAAGAAGAGGGCGGTTTTAATTGAGGAAAATTCACTGATATTGCTGTCAGCTAGCAGGAGGCTCCATGAATATACTGGTGAAGATGATCGCTTTGTGTGATGCAGTCAATATATGACCGTTAGATTACTGAGCAACCAAGCATCCTGCCTGTTAAAGTACCGTTAGTCGCAATTTCTCTGGGAGTACTTCATCCAACTTATATATAACCAAAATTGCTAAATTGGTTGTAGTTTTAATTTCTTTTAGAGCATGGATATGGAAGGTAAGAGAAGAACACGGTTGTAGAAGGATTGTAGAAGGGAATGGTCGGGTACTAAGCTAAGACGTGAAGGATATAAATGTTGGTAAATGCCACGTGCAAAGCCATAATATTAGAGCTAGATGAGTTCATTGAAGGGGGATTTTGCCTTCAGATCAAACTGCTTGGCGGCCATGTTGTTGGCGATGTTGCTAACCTCCGAACTAAGTCTGGTGCATGGCGCTTGGAGGAGCACAACGAACAACAAAGTCTTTGAATGGCAAAAGAACATGCTAAGTAGTCTAAAAACGAAGACAATCCTACGAAGAGAAGGACTACGGTACCCGTATTGTCACTCAGTACACATAGTTGTATGTGGTAACCGAAGCCATGGTGAGACTTAGAAAAGGGCAAAAAAAGACATACAACAGCAGGTATTCGCTGGTCGTCACCGACCCAACTACTAATCCGCCCCTCATCCGTTTAACTAGGCGAGAGCGGACGGGATCGCGTGTTTTCGAATGGGTATGGTCGTATGTGATTGTTGAAGCTATCGTGAGGGCTAAATACCCTAACTACACAAGACTCCACCGCAAAAATGACAAAAAGCATACAACAGCGGGTATTCGCTGGTCGTCACCGATCCAACTACTAATCCACCCCTCAGAAGCTTATCTATGGGAGAGCGGACGGGATCCCGAGTTCTCTTCTGGGTATGGTCGTATGTGGTAGACAGCAGTCATCTTGAGATCTATATATCATTTGGTTTGGAGTTGGTGTGTGAGTTGTGAAGCCAGCAGGAGGAACAGTCGAGTTTAGGGACTTTTGGGCGGGTTGTAAGCACTGATTGGGTGGTCTGACTACATACGCTGAAACGCTGCACTAAAACGTCATTACAGTGAGGCGCTAGGCCGCTGAATGCGGTCGCCTCATGGCTGCATTTGTCCTTAACGCAACCTCAGCTTGGCGCATGTCAATCCTCGCCTTGGGTGCATACACTGTCTGCATTGTGATCAATGGTCGCTGGTAGCTCAAGCTCAACAATGTTCCGCTCAGAATTAAATGTACTGAAAAGCACCGTATGATAGTCTAAGCCTACCCAATCTTTTCTACAACTTAACCACGCCTGAGCAGAGCATTTCGACTAAAGACTTGTAGGACAGCCATGGTACAGGGTAGACTTTCGAGCATAGCACTCACAGTTTTCGTTAAAGAAAGTCGTCCCTCACCCTGATCAGCCGAGCGTTCAAGGTTTCGAATTTATTCTGCTCTAGCGACTGAGATACTACTAAAGAACGCTTCCCCAGCTACAGCTACTCCTGTCGCGCCGGTTGCCAGGCGTGTGTCATTGGCGACGAGGAGCGGGCTGGAAACATCGTCAACGAAAATCGATACTTCAATGCCCAAAGCTTTGATGCGCAGTTTATGCTCCCCGCTCTCAATAATTGCGTCCTCATAATGAATGACTTCCTCTTCGCTATTCGTCGTGATGCCAAACTCAACGCGATCGGAGCGCACCTTCGCCCAGTAATGACTGCTGTCTGCCTCCATACTCGATGCACGGAAGATCAGAGCTGGGACTGAGGTAGAATAATCGGCAGAAGATACCGTCGCATCGAAAACAAGGTCCGTGAAATTCGTATCCAGGAAAGCATACGCAGGCTCACCCCCAGAAGTGCCCTTGAGCCTCTGGTCCTCCACCGCCCACTCGCCGGCCCCCGATGTCTTCCAGGCAATCATCTTACCATCCGCAAAGTTGTCCTTGACCAGCATTTTGACTTTCCGGATCGTCCCGTCGTCCTCGAAATACATCCTGTCATAGCACGTCACACGGTGATTACCATCAGTTTCGCTGAGCGGGCGTCGATGGTACACAATGTAATAGATCTCTGTACCGGGGACGTGGATGACGCCGTGATGGCCGCTTCCTCTCGCCACTGCGCTGTCTTGCTCCAGGATCTTGTCGCGGCGCTCAAAGGGCCCAAGCGGCGAGTCGGACATGGCGTAGGAGACGACGTAGTTGGGTCCCCCCCATCCGCCTTCGGACCACATGAAGTAATACACGCCGTTGCGCTTGATCATCTGCGACCCTTCGACGTAGTTCTCGGGCGTGATCTCCTTGAAGGTGGTGTTGTCGGAGAAGGTGCCGAGGGAGATCATGTCCTCGTTGAGTTTGGCCACGTTGGCGTGGGAGTGCCCGCCGTAGTAGATGTATGCCTGGCCGTCGTCGTCGATGAAAACATCCTGATCAATCGGCTGGGCGCCGTTGTGGAATTCGCCGATGAGGGGCTTCCCGATGGCATCGACGTAGGGACCCTGCGGCTGGTCTGCGACACCGACCCCGATGCCTCCCACCAGGCCTTGCTCAATCTCGTCGACGAGGATGTCGTTGGCGCCGAAGTACAGGTAGTACTTCCCGTTCCTGAAGATGGGGGCGGGAGCCCATATGGCCTTATGCGCCCATTTCACCGTCTCTGTCGTCAGGATCCTAGGGTGCTTTGTCCAGTTGACGAGATCTGGGCTGGAGAAGGCGTCAAGAAATGTCTGCTTCTCGTAGACGTCCGAGTAGGTGGGAAAAACCCAATACTGTCCATTGTAGATCTCCGTGTCTGGGTCCGCATACCAGCCATCGAGAAATGGGTTCCCCGCCTCAGAGGTGGTGTATTCCGGCAAGGACTCTTCCTTGGAGGGATTGCCTCGGGCAGTTGCCATCTTGGAGAGAAGCACACCCATGACGATCTGCTTCAAAGACACAGACGGCCTGGCTGCGTATGCATTTGTGATGTGGAGGATCCCCATGATGGCACTATTTACGGAGGGGCTAAGCTAAGGGGTAACGCGGGATTACGGTACTCCTGGACCCGAAAAGGAGAGACATGACGGCCTCAATATATTCATCTATCTTGAGTCAAAGGATCTCTGGATCATAGCCGATCGCATGACATCTCTTTCGCATTGATTCCTACTACTACGGTACCTTAATTGCCCCTCTCATCTCTTACATAGGTGCGGGGAGATGATACGACGAGCGTACTACTGTTAACATGGCGCTATTTCCCGGTTCGGTAGGAGGAAAAGAAAGACCGAGCACGCTCTCAATCTTTTACAGGCATGTGCAAATCCACACCGAGAAATGGGTCACATAGTCTGTCTGCGCATGGAGAACGGTAGCACTTCTGGAACGGCGAGGGCATTGGAGCTTTATGGCCTTCTGTATTTGGCAGGAGAACTAGCCCCCGAGCCCGGCTGATCGGCGTGTTCCTCAGTTTCCCAGAGAGGGGCATGTTGTATTAGGGACACTACACTGGGATGGCTCACCGTCAGGTGGACAGGTGTTTCTAGATACCTTGACTTTTTCCCGAGCGGCCCGGCTATACCCAGTGAGTGCCCGCTAGAGACCAAAATCAAGAAGCACTAAGCGAAGCTATTGGAAATCAACCAATATATAGCCTCACTCAAATATTACCTTTTTCGTATTTGAGATGGTGAATGTAGTTAACTCCTCTTAGGTATTCCTTTAGTTTCTTATGCGTTGAAGCTCACCGGTTCAGGAACTGGCTTAGAAGGTGACGTCTTGCTATGTGGGATCATTGGTGACGAAAAGGGGAAAAGGTTAGCACAGCAAATGCTAACAGGAGAAGAACTTTCAAATGCATTCCATTAAACTCAGAGCTGTCTAGGAATGCGAGTGCGGTTGGTTGGATAATGAACACGGGCCCATGACCTCCGTTGGGAAAGGGTTCAGTTTGACGGCTTCTTCT